TAACAACATCTATCACAACTTTCAAAGTAAGGATCGAAATTAATACCATGACTAAAGTTTTAAATAAATGGTGTCTCTGTCCTTTATCTTCCGTTTTGATGGTATCAAAAATACAAGTGTCACCATAATTTGATTTATATGACCATTTATGAAAATCAAAAACATAAAGTTGAAGTTTGATAGAGTATAATTTAACTCACTTTCTACTTTATTTTGAGTTTATGATAATAAAATGTTTTAATATACGTCTGCATTACCCAAAACACGACACATATCCTAAAATTAGAACATCTTCATATATGGTAAATAAACAAATGACAAAATATGAGTGCACTGTATTTTTTGATGGTTTATATATAAAAACAACACATAGGACTGGATAGGGTACTGGTTCCTCTTTGGACATAAAGTCTTCACCAGGTTCAGAGGACTCAAGTATTTAGTAGTATTATATCAGAATACATACCACACATTCCAATACTATAGACTGCACTTCCCTTCATCTCAAATTAATCACATCTTAGATTTCCAAGGTATGAAATAAACAGAAAATCTAATATGCTACAAGCATTAAGCAAATGTGATTTCATCAAATAAGACTTTCTAAAAAGATTGAAAGTTGGTCAATGCTTTAATTTCTTTCACACATGAGCCTGTGAAACTCGCTATTTTAAATGTTACTCTTTTATCAACTTGAAATTGATTGAAAATCAAACTGGTTAAAAATGTGATTTTTTTATTTTCAAAATGTCCCATTCATTTTAAAAAAGTGACTCAGAATGTTAAGAATTCCAATCTAAATATTTTTATTTCTTTGTTTCATGTCTCCTAACATGCTATCAATTGCTTGCTAAAACATACGAACACTGAATAAGTTGATATAAAAGCGATGCTTTCAGAATCTCTCCAAAGACCAGTAGTAAACTTGAAACAGCACAATTTTTTATTGACTCGAGGTTGCTTTTCAAATATACCTGATAGGAATAAATAGGCAAATATTTGGTGGTAGGTACACATACAGAATATTAGTATTCTTTGATTTGGAATGCTGTTGAAATTCAGAGCTAAATGGTGAATTATCCCTTGTATTAAAGTTTTCTTATCACAGACCCCAGGTGTGCTTTTTGTTCTCGTTATGTTTCCTCTCAATATCTTCGTAAAGCTTCTGATCTGTTGATCGTTGGTTCAATAACAGATTGAAAACGAAAACTTTGAACTTTATCGAAATATACTTTAAAGCTACCTTATGACCTCACTGTTATAAGATTTTTCAAAATGTTCCCCAATTCAGATTTTGACTTAGGGCACCCGGATCTGCTTCAACAAAAGATATTTTCATAAGACCTGGGGATTTCATCTCACTTATACACACATTCAATTGTTATATTGAAAAGGAAATGCCATTTGACTATATCAACTAGACCCAAGTTTAAATTGAGCAGTATTTATTTACTTTTTTCTTAATGTTACCTGATGACGAATAAGGAATCTCAGAGCCTAGGAGAGACCCAGGGCTCACTACTAGAAAATGAATGATCATATACAGACAAACATTTCCTCTAAAAGTTTGTTTAAACAAAAAGCAAGCCGTCTTATACCTGAATACTAGGCTATAATTTGTGTATCAGATTACTAAACTTTTTTAAACTTAAAAAAATCTGATTAAAGTAACCATACAATCTTTCATATATATTTTATCAAATTCTATTTGAATTCAAGATATCAACATATTGTAAAGATTCTTTAAGCTACAAACAAAGAAAATAATAAAGTTAATGAAAGGGACAATGTGTGATTCATCTTCAAAAGTTCAACTCAACTTCCATTTTTTACAAAAACTAGATCTCAAATATCTGAATTCTCCAAATATATATATTTTCACTCAACTCTATCTTTAAATATTTAAATCTCAAATCTTAATTATTTCAAATAAATTCTGCCCCTAGGTCTCAGCTATTTTCAAATGAGTGCCCACATCTATATGATAATGTCAACCCCAGGGCATAAGGATCACTTATAATCTTATTTCCTCAGTCCATTTGTCCAGGTATTCTAGCTATCAACTTTCTGAAAGTGAAATGTGCAAACAGAAAATGTATTGTAGGTAGAGTGATCGAAGCTGCTTAAGTGGCGCCAAAAGTCGCTATATACACACCTGAACACTGGAGCTCAGAAGTTCCTGAGTCCCAGCCTTTCAATCTACACCTGCATTCAACAGGTAAAATGCAACAGATTTTCAATGGGCTTTTTATATGCGACATCTCACTCTGCCGTATTAAGGCCTAAAGGACACATCAAGGCACTGCCCTCCTGTCAAGCTTTTTTCACTCCTTCAAAATGACATTGATTATAGATAATTTAATGTTAACTATTGGCTGACAAACTCAAACAGTTTTAAGTTGCTTACATGCAGAACTTGAGGTCAATTATGACATCACGATTCTAAAAGAAAACTGGATTTATAAAATAAAAATAAAAACTACTTGGATTTATGAGATTTGACAAGCTTAGAACCTTGACATGCCCCACAGATATTCAATATTGACCAGTCAGATTCTGTTTGTTAAATATTGTACTAATGATATTTAAAAGTATTTTCTCTTCACCAAGTCAGCTACAACATAAAAGGCCAAGTGCCTTGATTTGTTAACTTATTGAAAAGATAGTTCAAGATTTTTTGATGTCATACGTGCCATATTAATGGCACTTGAAGTTTTGTTATTATATTAAAGGATAGCCATTGTAAACTGAACTATACCAACTTGACTTTTTGGCAGTATATCTATCAGATAATCCCCTAAAATTTTTATAATATTATTATTGCTGCACGATAGCTTCAAATATAGACCATCACAAATTAATGATGGAGTCTAAATATCTCTGAATAACCTACGAAATATTATTTTATGGACAGCTTATTGGCCAGCGGGTAGTTTTAATGAAGTTAGAATATGCTAAGAAATTGATGAAACAACGCAGGTATATGATGCCCTAGGTCAAACGTCAGTCAGATTAGAAGATGTAGAAATTTTCTTTGATCGGAGAACCTCAGGGGACACCAGTAGGAGTTACGATTGACAAATCAGGCGTAACTCTCATTTTAACTTGGTATTTCAAGCGTTTATTGAGTAAAATCCAAAACACACAAGCATATGGCTGGGTTGATGCCAGTTATGCCAGATTATAAACTGTTAATCTTATTTAAGCTCAATACGTTGTTTGGTCCAAAATGACCAAATCTGCACTCGATAACAAATTCTGCATTGATTTAGACATATGTCAATTCTTCACTATTTAAAGTTATATAAGACGCCTGAGGTTTTCAAACCAATCTGATCTACAATGAGAATAGGTTTTTACAGCTTCATAATTTCGTTTTGGGGATTTATGAAAACATGCTTAGTGGCGGTAAACTGTATACTAATATACTCATGGAACCCGGTAGCAGTCACAGTAGGGAGGCAAAGTAGACCCCATAGAGGCTAGACAACAACAAGGGGGTGGGGGTTATATAAATACATATATAAAAGGCCAAAAGATTACATGGATTAATTATATTAATCCAAAAGCCAGTTTATGAATTAAATTCATGTTAATATTTTTTGTATGAAGAAACATAAATGCAAATACAACATTAATTTGCTTAAAAATTTGATTAGTATAGTATTTAAGGAATTTTTATAAGACAAAAAGAGACTGTTGTAACTAGAAAGAACTCTATACGTTTGACTGATAAATCTAGAAAGATGTATTATTCCAGTGTCTTGCCAATGTCAGAACTAGTGAATAGTTTGCTGCCAAAGGGCAGACCATTGGACCTTGATTGAATAGATTTCTCAGGTCCCTAACACAGGTGAAAAATCTAATCAGCACCTGTTGAATTTGACCACTTGGCTATAACTTCAGATGAACTTTCAGGTTCATCTCATTAGAATTACATTCTTTAGCCTGAAATATTCAATCTAAAGATTCATTAATATGTGGGTCATTAATAACTAATATTGCAAAAGCCTAAGAAATCAACTCCTTGGACTACAAGATCCAGGTTTACAATAAAAATAAATCAGTTTTTTGTCTATTCTTTCTGGTCACTGATTTAAATAAAAAATAATGCTTTCAAAAATAAAAAATATTTAGGAAATTAAGGCTACATTCTCTGGTTATAAAAACTTATATGGTCAAAACTTTTCAAACAGTTCATGTCAAAATTATATGTAAAAGCATCTTAAATTGTTCATCTCAAATTTTTCCTAATTTCCCAGTGATAAATCTTCTGGAAATAATCAGAAGTTATGGAATATCCCAAACAGCCTGGTACCCCATGATATATCCTTATTGTATTCCCTTCTTGAAGGATGTTTATAGGATTAGCGGGATTAATGGTGTGCTTATCAGCTGAAATGAGGTTTAAATGATATGCCAATGTTCTGCTAAGGCAGAGCATCTGTGTCCTGCAGTTATACAAAATCATATTTGGATTTGGTCTTATTCTACATATATCTTCATGACTGCTTGTTTGCTAAATCTCTTCTGTTGGTTAATGTTATAACTTCACAAACAGTAATTCATATTTTCTACTTTAAGAGGAAAATGAGCTTTGTTGACAATTTTGCATTCCTTCTTGAAAAACATGAAAGAAATTCAAAGAGAATTAATTTTGGAATTATTTTAATTTTAATCATACAAAATGACAATATCACGCATCAACCCAGTTGATATCAAACTGTTTAAACTATTGGAAGTTCCTTGCCTTTTGGTTTTGATCCGAAATGAGAAGTGAGACTTGGTTCAAATCAAATTAAATCAATAATATCTAAGTAAATAAGTATTAGTACCAAGGGAAGCTACCTTAACTTCCAATTTTTGTTAGTAATTTCTAGTACTGTAATTTCCTTTTGTAAATTCCAGTACTTATATTTGTATGATTTCAAGTTTTATGTTAAAAAACTTAATTTTCAAATTTGTAACTAACAGTAATTATTTTAGTGTAAAGTACTTACTTTGAGCATATATGGCAGCAACAGTACTAAGAAGATAGAAGCCTAATAATAAAATGTGGACCTTCATTGTAGCATGTTGATTCGTTGAAGTAATCCTGTAAGAATAAAACAAGTAAATACATGGACTACGCTTCTCTCAAAATATCACAGACTTGGCTAAATGTACCTATTTTATGTAATTGTTTATTTTTCTCTTTACATGGCTAAAAAACAACAAATGGGGGAGGGGCACAATTTCTTTTAAATCCCCTCCAATGAAAAATTCAGGGCCCTCATTAAAAATTGGGGCTCATTATTTCTAGATGTTGTTTCTCAAAAAATAAGGTCTGAAAATGAGGTCAAAAGGCTTATTTTAAACATTCCCATATTTTTTGAAATGTCAGAGAATGATGTGAAAAGTATTATTTCTAATTGAAAAACCTATGTACGAGGTAATTATGCTATCATGCATGCATCTTAAATTATATTAGATGAGATTTTGATAACTAAAACACAAAATATTCAAAGCAAAACTCTTGAATTAAAGTTATGAGGCACTTTCTACATGATTATGATAAGAGTAGTTTTAAAATTTAAAACCAAGATTCATAGATGATTCCCCCAACTCATGAACTCATGGAGCCCATACTCAATTTGACTGGTGCATGTGTCATGGATCCTTATATAATTTTACTCATCCTTAAAATCAAACTAAGACTTTTAGAATCAACCGTGAAACCTATTATAGTCAAAACAGTAATGTTTGTGAGTACTTTGAATTTAAAAAATAAGCAATCAAATAACCAAATTGAAACAATTTATGTAGAAATAGAAACATTTATATTTATCCTAACTTTTGTATATTTTAGTTTGTTTTCTAGTTTAGCTATCATATCTGTGTCCTCTTATATTTTGATACTTCTCTGCCATGTTATTTTTGGAAAAATTAACATTGCTGAAACTCCCTAAATTACAAAAGGCCACAGCTTTGCTGCACATTATACATTACTATCTGAAATATACAAAAGTTAGGATAAATATTAATGTTTCTATTTTTCATAAACTGTTTCAATATGGTCATTTGATTGCTTATTTTTTAAATTCAAAGTACTCACAAACATTACTGTTTTGACTGTATTAGATAATAAATGAAATAGATTTAGTACTTATAAAATATATTAAATATAACGAAAATTTCACAGTCCATACAACCATGGGCTTTCAAGAGAAACCCCATGATAAAACTGTGAATGCCCGGTGTGAAAGACGATGCTAAAATTGGGGAGATGGGCACATATAATTTGTCATCAAAGGATCAAGAATTCAGAGCCAACAATGTTTTACACTCAGATTTTGAAACTGCACAATTATATTGAATATCATAGCTATCCTAATGATGATCTCTAATACTGCATCCTAGAAAGGTTATTTTTATAATATGGCAATAAAAACAAGGCAAGGTAAAAATCCATGGATTCCAAAAATTTGCAATCAATTTTGAAAATATCATGTCCAGTCAGAACATAATCGAATTAGAAAAGAAATAAGTAATCAAAAATCATTATTTTATGTCCTTTCGTCATTCCCTATACTAACCAAAAGCAGAGTTTAACTGAATAAAACTCAAAGTTCATCGTGCATCCATCTTTGAATTTCAATTTGCATGCCAAATTTTGGAACTGTTCTTTACAACTTTAAAAAGTCCTTTAAATTATGAAAAAGACTTACCAAGGTTCATGAAGTGTACCTGTGTCACATCCTCAACGTTATTCCGAACAACTTGAAGTCCATAAGTTTGTGGAAAATAACGAAATTATACGATAATTCAAAGTTGATTCGATTCTGTTCGCTTTTGAGTGCTACTTGATTTCTTTGATTATGTCACGTGACAAGTGGCACTTGGTGCATTCTGTCTAAATATTGTTTACCCGCCATTTTAGTGACATCTATACAACTTGTAGAAACCAATAGGATGATGGCTTTTTCTAGGGTCACTGACCGGTCAATCCAGGGTCTAAGGTCGAGGATTAATTCCCGGGGATTAATTAGGCCTACCTGACTTTTATCACATTCAGTGTTCACCTTGGAATCACTCATTTGAAACCACTTTTTACCATGGCAATGCCATGCATGATTTTCAAAAAGCAATAGTCAGTAGATAGAAATTTGATAGTTAGTTTCTTACCTACATGTGGTGAGGTGATGATTTTAGATTTGAGTGAATTATAATGCTGTTTAAATATCTGCATCTACAAGTTGATTCTGCAAGTGAAAACACTTTCGGTATGTTTTTGTTTGTTTTACTTTTTGTCCCCAAACAGCATCTTGATTTTGTTAATTAAAGATTGAAAAGATATTTTACTCAGTTCCTGTATTGACTCAGATACATTTGAAGTGCAGGGATCACATAATACTGAAATTATCAAATTAGGGGGTTATCCGGTATCCCATGCACACAACAAATAGAGAAATTTGACAAATATTTTTGTACCTTTTTAGGAGTTGTATTTGTTAAAAACACTTTAATAAAACAATTTGGGCACCCCACCCTAAAATATATAGAGGTTAATTAATGGGAGGGGCAGTATATGAATTTTATTCCAAGGGAAAATATGATATTGGCCAAGGAAAATATCATATTTTCTCAAGGAAAATATCATATTTTCTCAAGGAATAAATTCATATTTCATCACAATCATTAATAACCTATTTACTCCTGGACCATAATATTTTTTCTGAAATGTATTAATTTTTAAGTTTTATATGTCATCACCTATTGTGGTGACATAAAAGGATACAATTGAATTTATCATTCAACAATTTCTAATTTTGGATTTGAATGGATTGGTATCCATATGGTGAACTGAATTCAACAATGTTTTTCTCTTAAACCAATTATTGAAAACATTCTTTAAAAAACACGGTCCTTTATGTAATGTTGACTGATTGACAACAATTCAATGCGAAAATTATATATATTTTATTATATACAGTATAACTGTTTTTGTTAACATTTTTTGTTTTTTGGTGCAATTGTTTTTTGTTCCTTTCTACCAATTCTTGAGAAAGAAGCAAAATATCTTTCCTAACCTTGAACAAAATAGCATATAGGCCTGCAACATTTTCTAAGACCTCTCAAAATTATAGTTATACAAAGGAATTTTTGGTTGATTTTAAAAAAGTATTCAAAGGATTAAAAATAAATAGATAAAAATTAAGATAAACCTTTTATTTCTTTAACAAGATACTTTTTTAAATCATTGCCAAACTTTCCTTTGTACAATTACAATGTTGAGAGACCTAATGTGTTTATGTCATTTCGTTTTCATTTCATTCCAAACAAGTCAAAAAAAGAAGTGTCTGATATGTTTTCTAAAACAATATAGAGAAATATATATATTTCAAATTATATTGTTACCATTCAAAAGATGACCATTAAATTGGTAACATTTTAAGAATTTTTTGATGACAAGTTTAAGAGAAATGTGTGTTCAAAAAGTTCACCATATCGATACAAATCTTTTTGGAATAGTTCTGATATGTGATCTGATACAGGATTTTGGCTGATACGGGATCCAATACAGAATCTGATATGGGATTTTGGCTGATAAAGGATCTGATACAGGATTTTTTGAATATCAATTTTATTCCCTGTTTATTTCCCAGGGAAAACATGTTATTATGGAATAAATTTAAGCATTTGTTTACTGAAGCACATAAAAGTGACCAGAAATAACCAGATAGCATCTTGAACTGGTATCTGCCTCCTCGCTTCCCCCAAAAATTCAGAATTTCTTATGATTGATTCAAACATTTGAAAGTGCCCAGAAATCAGTGAATAGGATCTTCTATTCTAATGTTTTTCCAAATTCTTCATACAAAATATAAAACCAATTGAAATAGTTTGATACCGATTCGGATAACTCATGCAAGACTTTAAGTTTTTGAAAAATTTTCAACCGAAGATATACACCTATCTGTGATCTATATTGAGCTAATACTACGTTTCCATTGGCCTACCGGAATATGGATAACTAATCAAAATTGAAGTAGATTAGGGCTTGCAGATCAAAAAGTGAGGGGCAATAAAGAAATACAAAATGACTCAAACATCTGACTAAACCTAATGGCCCAGTTATTCACTGCACTGCATAGATCAGAAAGGTTTGGTTACCCAAACCTTCAGATCAATCATTCTAGGATTCTGCATATGTGGAACGAAATTGACCTTCAGGTGAAGAATTGCAGAATTTTTGATCAAAGGCTCTTTATATTGCATCATAAAGTACACTAAATAATGATTCCTAATCCTTTGAATGACAACTTCAGGCCTGTCAACTTGGGAACACCTAACATGAGTGACTTGGAAATGTTGAGCACCTCCCCTCAAAATGTGGACACCTTGGTCCAAATCTGAACACCTTGATCCAAATTGTGAACACCTTGGTTTAAATTTTATTACATCTTGCCAAATTTTTGGGGGGGGGGGGGGTAGGTACGAAAAATTTCGAGGGGGGGGGGTAGGTACGAAAAATTTCGAACGGAATGCGTGACATATACGTGATTCGCGTGAAAAGTCCGAACGAAATGCGTACTTTTTTTCCGTCGTTCGTATTTTTGCTGTGTAGACAATCTTTTTTTGAAATTTTTCTACAGAAATATTTTTGCTTGACAATTACCAGGTAAAATGCGTATTTGCGTGACATTTTCTGTCACGCAAAAATAACTGGCGTGACTTCAAATTCTTCAGCAAATGCGTGACAAATACGCAAATTGCGGGACAGTTGACAGGCCTGCAACTTCAAACTGAGGTTATAACTGGCCGTGCGATAATTATGAGTCTTACAACTGTCGACTCTCCTAACATATTGGATAATATAAATATAAATACAACAATTATTGAAACTATTTTTCAATTTTATTCTTTAATACATGTACATTAGTACCACAAGGAGACCACAATAAATGTACTTTATTGTCCACCGGCATAACTGTACATTCTGTCTGTATTTGAAAAGAATCTTCAAAAATATTCATAAAAATATTTGGGGGCTCATTTCACTTTTTTATATTGAATAATAATGCAGAAAAATACATATTTATCTGATCTAGCAAACTCGTTAATGTAATTCACTGGGAACTATTGATATCTGTTGTACAAAGAATCATATTTTGCAAATTGAAATGTGCATTTAAATTTTTTCCATTTTTTAGTTCACATTATAACATTTAATCACCCACTCTCAAGAGTAAACCTTGATGACAAAGCAGGTCAACTTGTATTCAATTTCTTCTGAACATAGTTTACAATATCATTCAATGAAGAATGGACTACATCTTGTTTGGAATTATTCTTTATTGTAAATGTCCATGCTTCATAATCATCTAATCCGCATTCAGACTCCGCATCGTCGATGCCTTGGGTTTTAACCCAACCTCTAGCAATACGTATATTGTCATCTGCCACCACACGTATGGTAGCTAAAACATTGGTATAATTTTGGAGAAAATAATTAATATCCGTCCTTCTCCTTGCATCACTTATAATCCATACAGGCTTGTGTGATTCTGAGCCGCGAGTGGCAAGCTTGCAAAAATAAAATGGATCTTTTTGTCGCTGAGTTTCACCCCATTTAATCATGTCAGCCCGATATGTTTCCTTGTATTCAGATGCATCAAGTAGTCTCGCAATATCAAGATTGTGCTCTTTAGCATATTGGGATTTTAAAGGTCCAGATAGGCGCATAATTCCACAATTATCTTTCCCTATTAAGTCCTGGAGTTTGTCACTGATGAAGTCTTTTCCAGACTTCCGTTTGCCACTGAAAACAATAACAGCTTTTGGAATGTCGACAGCCATGACACCTGAAAACACAAAAATAATAGGCTCTGGTTTTCACAACTTATATTATTAAAATCAACATTTTGTTACATTTCAGTTCTCAAATATACAAAAAATACCACCAGGTGACCAGGGATGAAGTTTTATATAACATATTGTCTGAACTAACTATAAGTTTAAAGAGAATAATTTACAATATAATTACCCTAGAAAATATGTTCACTGTAGAGGATTCCTTTCATGTATTAAAGATTTCTTATACAGTATTTACATATAGAATTCTTTTCATGTAACATGGATTTCATATCTTATATCAGAGAATTCCTTTCATGTACCTATAACCACGCCCGGTGATCGTGAATATGGGACGGAGGGGGGGAGCAGGCAATTTCTGCTAGGAAATTCAACAAATCTGGAAGATTTATTTTTTCAAGAAAAAGTTTACTATTGAATTGCTAAATGGACAGGCGCACGGTATGGTAGAATATGTTAGGTTTTCTGGGATTTTTTCTGAAACGATACGCATCTAAGGCATGAGATCTATTAAAAAAGGCGCAAGGCCATCAACAGGCACAAATCAACGTTTTTGCTATAAATCAAGCAACAATGGTCTGGACGACCTGTAATAAATACTTGTAAGTGATGTTATCATAACTAAATTAATGTCATTGCTGAATTTATAAAATAAGTTTCCATATGAGAAATAAAAAATAATCGAAAATAATGAATTTGGGACGGAGGGGGGGAGGGGACGGAGGGGGGGGGAGCAATATGTATACAAGACATGATTAGAGATGTTTCGCGACTTTAAGTCCTTTTACTCCAAATGTCCCCATTTTTCAGTCTCCAGGGGTATATCATCCAGTTTCTTACTAAGTTAATGAGTTCATTTTTCAAATACAAGAATTCGTGTGAAGTTGTTTCACTTTATAGAATTATTACTCCCCCCTCCGTCCCCTCCCCCCTCCGTCCCATTTTAATTATTTTCGATTATTTTTTATTTTACGTATGGAAACTTATTTTATAAATTCAGCAATGACATTAATTTAGTTATGATAACATCACCTACAAGTATTTATTACAGGTCGTGTAGTCCATTGTTGCTTGATTTAGAATTTCAATAGATCTTATATCTTAAAAGAGTACGTTGAAAAATAATCCTAGAATACCTAACATATTTTATCATACCGTGCGCTTATTCAATTTGCAATTCAATCGTAAACTCTGTCTTGAAAAAATAATTTTACCAGATTTGTTGAATTTTCTAGCGGAAATTGCCTGCTCCCCCCTCCGTCCCATTTTCACGATCACCGGGCGTGATAACATAGATATACTGTACTCCCGGTATTTTTCGTGTGCCATTTAGTTTCGCGCTTTTCGCGATTGTGATAAAATCGAAATTGTCAATTTAATCCCCGGGGATTTGTGGAATTTTTTATTACCTGGGATTCCATTGCATTTCGTGTTTTGTAAAATGTTTGTCAAGTGTTTTTAGGCAATAAATGGGATACTAATTAACAATGTCTGTTGCAGTGGCTTATTAGATCAAATAAACCCAAAAATTACGATGTAATAGAGGTTAGGTGCAGCGTGTTGTTCACTAAGATGACATAGTAGTAAGTGTACTTACTGAAATTTGCGAAACTTAATAGCTGCGAAATCGTGTTTTCTCAAAATTTCCGAAATTAAAACTAGCGAAATTAATAGGGAGTACAGTAACAGAAAAAGCTTACCTAGCAAGTCAATCTTTAGGTACGTCTAAGAGATAGTGTTGAATCTCACCACTAGATGTCCTTCCAGTGACCCACCTAAAAAACAATTTAATTCATAGTTTTTTATGACAATTGACACAAGAATACAAATCATTGTTATATTGGGAAAATCAACAGAACAACCAACTCTCAGAATTATACACAATTGAATTTGATCATGGCAATCGAGGGAAAACCCTTTCAAATGACAAGAGCACATGAGCGTCAGCAAACTCGGCACGCGTCTTGAGCCAGGCAGCCAATCAGATTCAAAGCCAGTTGTCAATTTCTTTGAGGATATCAAGAACTGCCATTTATGAAGTTTCTTTGGTCGTAACCAATATTGATAAACAATCAACAATTGATAAGCACAATCACAAAATTAGCACATATAAAGCAGTTGATTTTGGGCTTCTTTTTTGGTAAGTAGATATGTGAATATCGAATATGTGATATGGCCTAACATGCAAAAAAGCTCAGGGGGGTCTTGATTATGCTTTCCTATCGCCACATCCCTCTTTAACAGAGTTTCAGAGGATAGATTTAAGTTAGATACTCATATCGATTGTCACTCGACTTTTTTGGCAATTAAAAGTGCCAACCTGCATTCTATAGTTTTTCATTGTCTTGTATATGATTTTAAACCAAATTCTAATTTATTTACAAGCCTTTTGCTGATTCTGCAATAAATTCTATTTGAATCGGAATTTAGCCTTTCTAATTCGGAAATTTCTAAATGTTCTAACCTCTAGAGGGTAAGTAAGACTCCTAATCTTCAGATAAATCTTATTTTTCAAGTTCTACCGACGAATTCAGGCCATGAAATCTACTCTAACACAAATTTAATTCATGTTGAGCAACTAAGACAGGAATAGGTAGAATCTGATTTTCGCCAAATCAAACTGTAATGCCTGGACTAAGAAAAAATGGGACAGAATCTTTTCCAATCAATCGAGGTTGGGCCATGCAGCGGAAGGTAAGCCATATAACCAAAGGTAAGCCATACAACCGAATTTTGCTGATTCAATCTGACGGAGAATGACGAGCCTCTATTTTTGACCAATTAGAGACGTCCTCTTCACATCTGTGGTACCCTCGGCCAACTTCGTTTGCAAAGAAAATCTTCGGCAATCTCCGGCTTTTCTCGAGGTACCCTCGGTTGCATGCCAAAAGTCGACACCAAGAAGAAACAGGTTTGGAAATTTTTGATTTTCTATTGGGCGATAATACAATGAACTACACATTATCATGCAATATAAAAGCTTTTCTCACCATTTGTTCATGCTTTTTCTTACTTCGATTGCTCTTCCTTCTTCTCTGAATGCTTTGATTAGCAAATACACGACACTAACCATAATGTTCTGCTAATAATTTCGAAAATGACAAATACTTTTTGACATGAAAGACTTTGGCGCCATCTTTTGAAACTATTTTGCGGATGAATATGTACCTATGTTTTCGTTTGTTCTTGTGCTTCAGATTTCTTAACTAAATTGACATTGTTATACCGATATCAAAACATTTTTATAAGAATTCAATTAGGGGTCGGAGTTAGATTACACCACTGAATGTTGTGAAACGAACTATATTTTAGTGCGTAAAGAAAGCAGAACATTGAGAAAACAAAAATCAGCTGTTTCTACAGATTTTTTTCACAAAATAAAGAAATTTACGACCAGAATCAGGTATTTGATTGTATTGCTTTTTATCTAATATGTCCCTTTAATGGTCAAGGTTCTTTTGATTCTTTGACTTGGCTCCTCGTCTGTATCTATACTGAATAAAATTACTGTAGAATGGGATGACATAATTGATTTGGTTTTGCCACTTTCCTGGTTTGTTTTCTTTTTCATGTTTCAGTCATCACACTCAGGGGCGTAGTAGCACGGTTATGGGAAGTCCTCCATATATTACTTATATTATTTGTCATACCTCCTAGATGGAGGACTTCCCACTATCCGTGCGTAGTAGCCAGGGGCGGATCTGGGAACCAACAAGGGGGTGGCCCAAACTTCTGGTCTGAGAAAAAAAGTTCCGCGCTTGTGCGGAAAAAAATTTTGGGCCCCTAAAACCCAAAAGTGGGCCCAAATTTCGAAATTTTGAGGCCCATTTTCTTCAGAATTTGGCCTAAAATTAAAAAATAAGGCCTTAGAAGGCCCATTTATGACCAAAAAGGCCTACTTTTGGGTGCCTTTAGACCTTTTTTGGCTCAAAATTTTTTTTGGGCACAATTTTTTTTTCTGGGCCCACCCAAGGGGGGGGGCCCGGGCCCCTGGGCCCCCCCCCCCCAGATCCGCCAGTGGTAACATTTTAAACATTTTAAACGGAAGTGACGTAACGAAATACCAAGTTTGTGCTATTACGGAAAAGTTCGGGTAATTCCGTTATAACCGCCATCTTAATCGAACTTCGACCAAAAGAGCCATAAGAAACAAAAAGACCTCGTTCTGCCAACTAACCCAGACAATCGGCGGTTCCAATATATTAGAAGTTACATTTTGAGTTCTAGAATGCATTGAGGTAGGTTTCTTAAGTGGAAGGGGCGTAGATAATTCTCCCAAGTTGTAATCGTACAGGCAAATGTATGCGCTCAGTACAGGACTATAGTCCTGGAACGGGATAAAGCGCTATCATATAGAAGGGTAGAGGGCAATTGTGTAGGTTATTCTTGAGAATTGGTATGTTTAAACCCCAATCAATATGCATGCTGCAATCTACAGTAAGAAAGAAACAAACCTGGAAACAAATTGTTTTATTTTGACTTTTTTTGACTATTTTTAGATTAAAGCTTCATTATTCATACTTTCTAAAATATGTAAATTCCGTGTGAAATAGAGATGGTAGGGAAAGTTCCAGAGAGATGGGTCGAAAGTAGGTAATTTGTGGTTCACATAAGTAGCATATGTATGTCAGTTCGTGTGAAACATATCCTTCGCGCAGAGTCTAGTTTTAAACTATCCTCTGCTTAGTATAGACTATATTAAAATTTTAACAGCCCCGCCCCAAAGATCAGTGTCTGTTACAGCCCAGATTATAACTCATTTCAAATCTACCATGCTGACCCTTCCTCAACCAATCAGCGAAGTTGAAGGAACACGTGCTAAATACATGCTCATTTACTATGCGGTTATGTCATAGGAAATGACCATATAGATAGTCGTCTGTATTTCGTCTACGAACTCTGATTGGCTCGATAAGTAGATAAGAATAGTTCATAACGTAGTGTTTGAGGTCTTCTTCCTGGGAGTAGTGTTGTCGCGATGTGCCATAATCGTACATCGATGCATCGGCAATTTTCAGTAGTAAACATCGATGCCATCGCGATGTACATCGAGAAAAAGTCTGAGAAAAGTGCACTGAAATACCGAACACTAATGCACTAAAATACCGAACAGAACAAATTAATAAGAGTATGCTGGTACATCCGGGAACTTCTAGTAACGTGAAATGAAAGTAAAGTAGAGTTTTTTAGATTAATGGTTCATTTCGACTAGCTAAAACAGTTGTAAAGCGAAAGAATATCAGAAAACATCAAGGAAAATGAAATAAGAAATAAGAAAGGTAAGCGATTTGCTTCAAAATAAGATGAGAAAGGGTGATTTTTAGCAAATTAATTTTTTTTTAAAACATCGATGTTTTGTTTCAGACATCGATGCATCGCAAGAATCAGCTTTGGCGATGTATATTGCGATGTATCGATTAATCGCGACAACACTACCTGGGAGTAGGATTTTTTCCCTGATAGAAAGACAAAATTTCAATGACAAATATAAACTGATTTCACTACTAAGAACTTTAGAACTAAACAGTGGATAAAGCATAAAAGTGATGTAAAATATTTGTATATAAAGAAATTATATATAATCTAAAACTCCTCTAAAAAGCACAACACAAAATATTGAAACAATAAGTGCAATGTAGGAATATACTTGAATTTATCAGGGTTAAATATTTCCATTTTACTGAACCAATTCATGCTTTATCTACTCTGTACTCTGTGTCTTACTTGAAACTCATTGACCAACAGATAACCCCAATAAACTCATATGCTCTAAATATAATGGTATAATGGCCATAAAGATATAACATCAAAAGGGAAATCAGTGCGAATTGAATAATTAAATGCTCCATCCTGGCCATCCTTGGTCCAAGGATATTTCAATTTTTCTGTGAGTTGGGTGGCCGATCTTGAAGGATGCTTCCTGGCTTTATCATTATATTTCCATACCTGCAATGGTTATTGGTTATTGGTTTCATACTAAAAATGGGAAGGGGAGAAGCTTTTTGCTAAACATTTCCTAGTTTGAGCTTCTAATAAGCTTTTGATTTGAGACCTAAAAATGTAATATTATTGTCAAACTGATTACTGAACTCTTGGTGCCTTTATCTATGACAAATTAAGGAAAAATTTTCGAGATAAAAAATTCCCAAATGTCATTTTGTATTTTTGACTTCACCCCAGTGTTGTTTTGTTATGAGTGTGACATTTATTCGTTGTGACCTATGATAGATGTCATTTTAGCCATTATTCTGATAATTTACAATTATCACTGTTGCCTACCAATAGTAACCTATTTTATTTACTTTAAATCAATGGAGAAACCAGTCGTTTTCTAGGTGGGACCTGGACCAGATAACAGGATTCAGCCAGATTCAGATATATATAAGCTCAGAGTCAGATAGCATAAACATTTGTCAGTGTAACTTTGAAATTACTACTGCGCATAACAGCAGCAGATATTTATCTGAGCTAGGGAAAATACTGTGATCAGCTGATCTTAAGAAAGCATTATTTATCTGTTATTTTGATAATATGGAAATCTTGGGGCTTGAGAGTCGTTCCCCAGCTAATAACAATGCAAATACTATGCCTAATTTGAAGAAGCGGAAACGTTGCGTGACATGGTCTGTTTCTCTGGATGATGAGAGATTGAATGAGAATAACAATAATGGGAAGTCGTGTAATTGCTGGAATAATAGATATTGCCACTGTGGTCCTCATACATTACACGGTGAAGCACATCCAAGGTAAGATAATAACTGTGATAATTTTTTCCCATTCCAGTTAGAAAATCAAAAGATGAGTAACGACACCTTTTCCCTCCCGCTGTCCCCTGGTACTCAAAATGGAAGCCAAGAAAGCAGTGCATGCTCTACCCCTGTACACTACCCTGCAATGTTGGATATGAACAGTCCTGCATACGGCGATCATCGTCGTGGAAGCAAGAAACGAGAGGCACCACATAGGTAAACACAACCATTTGTCAATTTGTAACAGCCACAATCAATAAAGATTGTGGGATTCTTATATTTCTAGGCTTTGGTTACTGTTACATCTCATTTAAGTAGCATTTATCAGTTTCGGTTCATTTAACAGTCTATCTGTCTTTGAGTTTTTTAGAATTTAGTCTATTTCTTTGGGTAATGTAGTCTTTCTATATATGTGTAAGTTATAAATGTATGGCTGATTTATTATTTGTTTTGAATGTAGTAATATTTATTGATTTCCTGCTTATTTTGATTTTTTCTTTATTTTTAAATGCGCAATACTATGGTTGATTTATGAGTACATCTGTTTTTACCATTTCTTAGCAGTATATGTATCACGTCTTACTTGTTGAAGTTCAATTTTGAAGGATTTGAACAGTCTGGCATACACTGCATGAATCATGGCCAAACAGGTAGTTGGCCTATGTAATGAAGGAAGTATCACAACCTTAAAAAAGAGGGGCCAGTTGTCATTTTGTTCTTTCTTTATTCCTTGACACATCAGATTATCAGATCATTCCTGACCTTTAGAAACATGTGATCGCAGAAGGAAAGAATGATTAGATGATTAAAAATACTATACTGGGGTGAAGTCAGAAATTATAACTGGGAATTTTTTATCTCAGAAAATTTTTGTTTGACTCGTCATCAGCTGCTCGTCATACACATTTCAAATGAAGGCTATTTTGAACATCTTCACTATTTTATCATCCTGATGGTCATGCCGAGAAATAAATTTGAGACCTAGCTAAATCAATCGTTGTAGCCATAGATCCCGGCCAGATTCTTTTGTAGTAGGATCAGTAGCTCAATAAATATTCCTCAAGATGAGACACCTCAGAAAATTTCAAATTTTAAAATGACGATTATGGAGCCATTTCTGAAAAATATGAGACAAATCATACCTCATTCGAAGCATCTTGTTATTCTTTAACTTTTTTATCATCAATGACCATTATTCAAGCAATGCTGCATTGATAAGAGGCCAAAACAGTGATACTTTATCGCCGGACTCTTGTCTGTCCAAATCCGAATGGTGCTCCCGTGGTTCCAGAAATGTGACGTCATCATTACAATGATATTTGGACACACAAGAGTCCGGATTTCGTGAAAAATATTCGCCGTATTAAAAGTCAAATTACTGCATCCATAGGTTATTTACTCGAACCAAACAAGTGGAAATAGAAAGATGAAGATCTCAACTATAAAATAAGTGCAAAATCTGTCATGGGGAAGCAGGTACCATTTTGTATAAGGACATTTTTAAAAGGTGGTCATATTTTTTTTGAAATTTTCCAATTTAGTGTTGTATCTTGTGAATTATTCTTTGAGCCTATGAGATCCTACTACAAAACGATCTGGCCAATATCTGTGGTTGTAGCCATGAATTTGATATCATGATGTCATTGTAAGAGAACAATGAAAGGCTTCTTGGAATGACTGAAAACTTCTGGGAATGACTTAATTCTTGGAATCTGTTTCTGGAAAATATCACACAATTGTCACAGTTTATTATAACACACCATTGTCAAAGACAATTGAATGAATCATAAGCTAAATATTTGGAGATATGTACCCTGAACAGCATGTGCCAGCAGTTACAGAGAAGTTCAAGTAAGAAGACCTAGATCTAGTCCAAGGTTTGCCATCAGAGTAAACATGCTGTATTAACAAAATAGGGAAGAGGATGAATTTGAGAGAACTAACCTTGGCTTCAATTTTGGACTTGTACTGTAAATTTTTTACTTGTCTAAGCAGTTTGGGAAATTAATTACAGTAGTATGTGACTGTCTATTTTTGAACTTTGTGTAAACAAAAAATCCATCAATTCATGATACAGATTCTTGTTTTTGGTTCATTATATTTTGGAATGAACTTTATGCAATGTTAACAGGATCCAAGATACCATTCCAGGGGCCATTTACAGTTCATGAGGCTACAGTAAATAAAAATTTTATTAACATGTACAGGGGTTTCACTAGAATTTCTCACAACAGGCTAAATAAATGAAAACAATAGGCAAAATTAATGGATATCATAAATTTAAAGTTGAAAAATCTTCAAAAACAACAGGCAATTTTGTGAAAACAACTGGTGAAAATTGCCTGTTGCCTGCTGCTAATGAAACCCCTGATATACCAATATATTTGAAAATATGTTATATCTGAATATCTGAATGTTGAGGTTTTAATGCTGAGAGTAAGATTGATAAGTTTAAGCTTGGAGGACACTCACTGACGTTTTGTTGTTTCTCAAAACATATTCTCTCAAAATCAGGAAATGTGATGAGCATGGGAATTTTGTAGGGAATTTCAGCCACAAAAAATAACAAGTGACAGCTCACACTTCTTCCGTGTGTAATTTTATTAAGAAAACATATAATTTGAGTAGAAATATTTGTTATTTTCAGTAAGAAGAAATAAATAAATACAAAAATATTAAAATAGAAAGCCTGATTCTCCCTTAAATGAAAAGAGAAAAACATATACTTTAATTTCTTTAGCCTATGCAGTTTTATATTGTTTGTTCAGAATGATTTATAAATACTCTAGATGATATGAAACAAAAATATATACATAAGCACAAAACCTATGTAGCAAAACTCAAAATATAAACTTACTTTAAAGGTCACTGCACTAATATAATCAAGGAATGAATTATTTTAAGACAAGTATGAAAGGTTGTTTCTTTATATATTTTCTGTATTGATTCCCATGACCTGGTATTAATTTAAGACCTTTAAAGGAACCTAATGCCAAATTACTTTAATGTTTCCTTATTATTAACTGGTCTGCCTTATACAACTCATTAGTTTATGCTTTGACTATTTTAATATTTTTGGCATTTCTTGTCTAGTAATTTTTTGATTCATCAGTGAATAAGTGAGATCCTCTGATAATTTTATGAAAAAAATAAGGCCCCTTGTTTTATGTGTACTTTTAGATAGTAATAGCAAATAAAAAAGGATGTTAATATATGCACAGCAATGAATAATTTAGCAATAACTGAACTCATAGAACTCTTGAAACTTTATTAAGAGCAATGAAATTCATTAACATCATTATTTACTATACTAGGCTATAAGAAGCTCAAGTTCAAGAGAGTTTAAGATTGTCAAAATATATGTGTGCTGTAATAAACACTGAGCCAATTCATGAACTGAACCCAAGGTGGAGTACTTAGATAGGCAAATCTTCCAGAATCTCATGGTCAATGATGATTACATGTGTATGTACTGTATGAATGTTTTCATATTGAAAGATGGATGTGTCATTCTGATTGGGTTGCATGGAGAACTGTTTCTGCTAGCGATGTAATTTTGTAAAAGGTTGTTTTGATAAACAAGATCACTGTCTGAGGTTTGCAACTTTGACTACTGGACCAAAGTATACTTTTGATAAAGTTCATTCTTTGAAAAGAAAATGAATTATTGGATGAAAGATGTATAATTCTAGGTCAAGTTGACTTCTCTGCAACCCATCCTTTTGCTTGTTTGAAAAAAATAAAAATTGACAAAAATATCATGCCACATTTACAACTTTGATTGATGGACCAAAGATGATTCATCCTCAAAAAGAAAATGAATTGTTGTATGTTTGTAACTTCTTAGAATAGAAGAGAAAGGATTAAGGCCAAGAATAAAATATTCTTTTTTCTAGTCTAGTTTTAAGAAAAACAGAATTTGTCAACCTGGTCCTTCTTGAAATTGTATTTTTGATTTTTATTACATGAATCATGGTACATCAATTCTTTCCATTGTTTATCCTACCAGACATTCAAAGGGCATTTATCTCTTTTTTTATTTTGTTTATTGACTCTTTAGATGTCATATCATGACATATTAGTCACTAAGGTAGAGCAGTTCTTCCCATTGTCGAGTTGAAGAACTGGTATCTTTATCCTGGCTAGAACCATATTCAATTCTAGCCAGCGCCAGCCTTTTATCGAGTTAGCAGCACTCTAGTAATCGCCAGGTTATCAAAAACCTACTTTCACTTTGCATACTGTTTTTGCTATTTAAAATAACAAATGTTTTCATATTCAAAAAAGGCCTGACTATATGGTTTAATAGAAACCCTTATGACAAGAAATAAGAATGAAACCAAAATTTCACAAGCTTCAGGGGTTTCACTAGAATTTCTCACAACAGGCTAAATAAATGAAAACAACAAGCATAATTAATAGAAATCATAAAGTTAACATGAAAAAGTTGAAAAGTCTGTTAAACAACAGGTAACTTTTGTGAAACTGGTGAAAATTGCCTGATATCTGCTGCTAATGAAACCCTTTAGCTTAATGTAGGTTCTTCTGTAGGGACTGTACACTGTACATGAACTATTTGTAGCTCTAGCAATGCCAATCTGGCTTCAACTAGACTTCCCCCACATGGGTAAGCTTATGTGATATCAACCCCATAACACATCCAATTGTAGATCTAGTTCTCTGGCTTGAAATGATTATGTAACCAATAAGATAACAGGGGCGGATCTGGGAACCAACAAGGGGGGGGGCAAATTACAGGTCTGTTAAAAAAATTCAAAATTTGAGGCCAATTTTCTTCAAAATTTGGCCAAAAAATTAAAAAATAAAATATTAAAAATAAGGCCTTAAAAGGCCCAGTAATGACCCTAAAGGCCCAGTAATGACCAAAAAGGCCCAGTAATGACCAAAAGGCCCATTTTTTTAAGCTTGTAGGGCTTTTTTGGGCCTAATTTTTTTTCGGGCCTACCCAAGGGGGGATGCCCCTGGGTCCCTCCTCCAGATCCGCCAGTGTGTAAACTAATACTAGGGCAGCAGAAGTGATCTAATTGAAAATGTTTACAACATTTTATCTTGTGATAGTTAACAGCTGCTCCGAGCTTTGTTCTCTCACACAGGTTCCTGGTTCAAAATACAGTATAGACATAAATCTGTCAAGTTGTTTTCTTGTTATGGAACCAGTTATACAACCACTGAGCAAAAATACCACAACATTAAGGGGATTATTCAAGAGATGATATATCTCTTATGTTATTGATTTGTTACATAATCAGTTGGAGTCAGTCTAATTCAGATTCACACCTATTATTTATATTATATGTATTTATATTATGATTGTATGTCTACATTTGTTGTAATAGGTTATCACTTACCAATTTATATTGCATGGTTTCTCTGATGTTTGGATCAGGCCCCTGTGTGGCTGCCCTCCCCAAAAAGATACAACCCATATATACCTGTTGGTAGGGAAATAGATAATGGGGAGGGGGCTCAAGATAATTATGCAATACTAGTATACTACAACTACTTAATGTTTCTTGTTCCTAAGATTTTGAACCTTCAGTTTAGAGATCTATTATCTCAATACTGAAATACATATTTCATTTGAACTATTGATGCCTTGCTCTAGGTATCAGCCTTTTTGTAGTAACATTGACTCTTGAGCATCAGGCTTTTTTATTCACCTCTTTTTAATATCAACCTTTTTTGCTGGCAGATATTTTTTGAATTATGGATGGACTAGTCACCTTTATTTTGTTCCTTTATGTTTACTATAGTGAATACTGCATGTGAATGTTTGTTGTATAATGATATTTTTGTTTTAAAGATACAGACCCTATATAACACGTGTCATCAGATAACAGCAGTATCTGCAATGCATGCTATTGAATTTTTCAACAAGCACTTTGGATGCTTCTGATGTGTAAGAAATACACCAGTTTTTATGCATGTCATTGTTTAAGTTTGAACGTCTGGAATTATGTATATTTAATATACAACTCTCACATTTTGTCTCACCTCACAAATATCATTGGAAGTTAGACAGATATAAGATTGCAATAAGCACACATTAAAGCACATATTTTTGTAGAATTTTAAAAGAGTAGATAATTCTGTCTCTGTACATTGTTTTTGATTTATTTTATGCTTAAACTTTCATTTTCATTTTAATATAATCATCTTAGTATTTCAATTGAAACTATTACATTCGTTTTTATTGTTCCTTTATTTAAATTATCATTACATGGACAACTATTTATGTTATTTTTCCCAGAAATTATTTTGAATTTGAAAAAGATGAAAAATTATTTTAACTTCTTTTGTTATTCCAGAGTGTTTGTCAATAGGAGTCTTCATTTGGACAAAATCAAGTTCTTTGGCTTTGATATGGACTACACCTTAGCAGGTAGGTGTTTAGAGTAAAACATTTGTTTGTGAATACCTCTTCAAATGAACACTTCAGAATTGGAACACTTAAATTCCATCCCCATTTCAAACTGATGGAAGAAATGAACTCCTAATACTATATTAATAGTATATTAACTCAAATTTCATCTTTGAATCTCTATTAAAAGAAAAAAGAAATGGAGAGGATCCTGTGATGTAATGAAGGAGTCAAATTCATGTTATTAAACTATAGGTGTGTTCAAGAAAGTGCCTGCTCAATAACTCAATTTAACATGTATGTTTCAGCGTTTAAGTCACATAGCCAATTTAACCATGTATGTTCCAGTGTACAAGTCACCAATTTAACATGTATGTTCCAGTGTACAAGTCACCAATTTAACATGTATGTTCCAGTGTACAAGTCACCAATTTAACATGTATGTTTCAGTGTACAAGTCACCAGATTATGAAGCACTGGGGTTCAGCCTTATTGTAGACAGACTGATATCAATTGGTTACCCAGATGTTATCAAAGATTTTGAATATGATCCAACATTTCCAGTTAGGTAAGCATTCATTGATTTATTTTGTATAAAGAAGCTTCAAGAAGCTCTTATATTTGATAGGAAAAGCATTTCATTAACCTTGCAATAGTTTGACTCCAGTAAAGTTTAATCTACACTCTCATCTTTAACTAATGGACAGTCCTTTGATCTCAACCTTACCCAATCAGACAAGGTCGATCAAAAATAAGCGACCCAACCAGTTTTCATTCTCCATAGCTGGTGTACAGAATTTATTCCTCAGACTTCATGAGAAAGAAAGAAGATATTTTGGATCTTTGAGGAGCACTGTGCTCACAGAATATTCAGCATTGTAATCACTGGTTATTCTTCCATTAGTTGCTGGAATTTATTTTATAGAGCCTTAAATAGATATTAATTGAATGTTTGTTGTGCTGTATTTCAGAGGTCTCTGGTTTGATAATCTCTATGGTAACCTACTTAAAGTTGATGCCTTTGGCAACATCCTTGTCTGCTGTAGGGGCTTTCATTACCTCAAACCGTAAGTACCTTATTACTGAATATAGACTATTGCCACAGAGAAATTATTGTCAAAATACACTTCATACATATAATATGTACACTACAAATTGTGTGTAAATAATGATACGTTAAAAAGTGAAATTGAAATGCTTTGTGTGAATGGTTGTTAGTTATGTAAAATGCTTTTGATCAAATTAAATGAATTAGCATTTTAAAAAAAACTTTGTTTTTCCACAACTTCTACTATTTAGACGCCATCTCTAAATGTACGGAGGCTTTGCTGTTTGTCGAAGTGTTCCTTAGGCCACAAGGCTGTATGTTAGTATGTAACACTTCATTGGTTCAAAATCCTACTTGATCTGTTTTTAGGGTGGCTATGTGCACTCCATGTATGACTGTGTGTCTCTATTATGTTTAGGCCTATACATGGTCACTTCCTTATTACATCTTCTATGTTTCAGGAATGAGGTGAGAGAACTCTATCCCAACAAGTTCCTTCAACTAGATGACAGTAGAATCTATGTGCTCAACACATTCTTTAACCTACCTATTTTGTAATGGCCCATACATAGTCACTTCCTTATTACATCTTCTATGTTTCAGGAATGAGGTGAGAGAACTCTATCCCAACAAGTTCCTTCAACTAGATGACAGTAGAATCTATGTGCTCAACACATTCTTTAACCTACCTATTTTGTAATGGCCCATACATAGTCACTTCCTTATTACATCTTCTATGTTTCAGGAATGAGGTGAGAGAACTCTATCCCAACAAGTTCCTTCAACTAGATGACAGTAGAATCTATGTGCTCAACACATTCTTTAACCTACCTATTTTGTAATGGCCCATACATAGTCACTTCCTTATTACATCTTCTATGTTTCAGGAATGAGGTGAGAGAACTCTATCCCAACAAGTTCCTTCAACTAGATGACAGTAGAATCTATGTGCTCAACACATTCTTTAACCTACCTATTTTGTAATGGCCCATACATAGTCACTTCCTTATTACATCTTCTATGTTTCAGGAATGAGGTGAGAGAACTCTATCCCAACAAGTTCCTTCAACTAGATGACAGTAGAATCTATGTGCTCAACACATTCTTTAACCTACCTATTTTGTAATGGCCCATACATAGTCACTTCCTAATTACATCTTCTATGTTTCAGGAATGAGGTGAGAGAACTCTATCCCAACAAGTTCCTTCAGCTAGATGACAGTAGAATCTATGTGCTCAACACATTCTTTAACCTACCTATTTTGTAATGGCCCATACATAGTCACTTCCTTATTACATCTTCTATGTTTCAGGAATGAGGTGAGAGAACTCTATCCCAACAAGTTCCTTCAACTAGATGACAGTAGAATCTATGTGCTCAACACATTCTTTAACCTACCTATTTTGTAATGGCCCATACATAGTCACTTCCTAATTACATCTTCTATGTTTCAGGAATGAGGTGAGAGAACTCTATCCCAACAAGTTCCTTCAACTAGATGACAGTAGAATCTATGTGCTCAACACATTCTTTAACCTACCTATTTTGTAATGGCCCATACATAGTCACTTCCTTATTACATCTTCTATGTTTCAGGAATGAGGTGAGAGAACTCTATCCCAACAAGTTCCTTCAACTAGATGACAGTAGAATCTATGTGCTCAACACATTCTTTAACCTACCTATTTTGTAATGGCCCATACATAGTCACTTCCTTATTACATCTTCTATGTTTCAGGAATGAGGTGAGAGAACTCTATCCCAACAAGTTCCTTCAACTAGATGACAGTAGAATCTATGTGCTCAACACATTCTTTAACCTACCTATTTTGTAATGGCCCATACATAGTCACTTCCTTATTACATCTTCTATGTTTCAGGAATGAGGTGAGAGAACTCTATCCCAACAAGTTCCTTCAACTAGATGACAGTAGAATCTATGTGCTCAACACATTCTTTAACCTACCTATTTTGTAATGGCCCATACATAGTCACTTCCTAATTACATCTTCTATGTTTCAGGAATGAGGTGAGAGAACTCTATCCCAACAAGTTCCTTCAACTAGATGACAGTAGAATCTATGTGCTCAACACATTCTTTAACCTACCTATTTTGTAATGGCCCATACATAGTCACTTCCTTATTACATCTTCTATGTTTCAGGAATGAGGTGAGAGAACTCTATCCCAACAAGTTCCTTCAACTAGATGACAGTAGAATCTATGTGCTCAACACATTCTTTAACCTACCTATTTTGTAATGGCCCATACATAGTCACTTCCTTATTACATCTTCTATGTTTCAGGAATGAGGTGAGAGAACTCTATCCCAACAAGTTCCTTCAACTAGATGACAGTAGAATCTATGTGCTCAACACATTCTTTAACCTACCTATTTTGTAATGGCCCATACATAGTCACTTCCTAATTACATCTTCTATGTTTCAGGAATGAGGTGAGAGAACTCTATCCCAACAAGTTCCTTCAACTAGATGACAGTAGAATCTATGTGCTCAACACATTGTTCAACCTACCAGGTAACACATGGGTCTCATGCCTTAAACCCTTAAATTTCAGTATTCACATATTCTCTGTTCATATTGAATAGAAGTTTCAAAATAAAAAAGCAACAATTGATGCATGTAGACATCCCAGCAGTTTATATGATTTTTAATGTAACAAATTAGAAATGTCAAGCTTTTCTTATAGTCACCATTTTTATGGCTGATGTTTTGTTTCTGCATTTGACGTTCACCATTTTCATCTGTAACAAATGGTTGCACTTGTAATTTCAACCAGATTGTGCCATTACATTGTATAAGACTTGTGTATCACGCAATGCAATGTGATGTGTTTGTATTTTCATTACAGAGACTTACTTACTGGCCTGCCTGATTGATTACTTTACCAATAGTGAAGAATACACAACGTAAGTAGAATATCTAAGTCATATTTCTAGTGGAGGTATTTGGATTGCGTTGTATGACATTGGGATCTCATTTTCTTCTGTTTGTTTAGAAATTGTGCTGTATACGTTTATTATATGCATAGTATTTTTATAGTACCATGAAAATGTGGTGTATTGTAGTCATCTCTTCAAACTGCAATATTTTTTGCTGTTTCTCTTGTGTAGAATTCGAGCCATGCAAATATTTAAAGTTAATGCATGGCAGACATGTATTCTGATTGCTTTATAAATCTAGTCATTTTCAAATTTCATTACGAGTTGAGACATGTATCATTAAATTCCAATTGTTATGATGTGTATTGTATAATGATCACTGTTGACATCCATATTCACCTTATATTTTAGAGTACAATATTTATGTGATATTGGTCCATGCATTATTCATGTTATGTGTATTTATGTGTACCATTGACTCAACACTTTTATACCATTAACTCAACATGTATTTCTTTGTACCTCCAGCATAGACAAGGGAGTGAAGGGAGGTGATATCTTCATGTCATACAAGTCAATATTCCAGGACGTCAGAGCAGCAGTTGACTGGGTCCACATAAAGGTGAGATGAGAAACATACTCAATTGATTCTCCAATTAGAATTATTTTGTTGCAGTGATCTCCCCAGCATTGAAGCAAGTGGGCGCAGCACCCAATTGAGATTTTAAAAAACAGGCTTGCACCCACCTGAAAATCCATTTGTACCTACTTGAAAATGAGAATATCATGAAAAATGAGCATTTTGCACCCACTTCAGAAAAAATCTTGTGGAGAACACTGTGTTGTATTTAAATAAATGTTTGACATAACTGATGTTAGCTTTGTCAAATTAATAACTTATGATTTAATCAAGGACCTATAGTCAGTTGGGTAAGAGTGGACTGAAGTTTTACTTCTCTCTCTGTCAAGTGCAAGTTTTCCAAGTATATGAATTTAATTCTGTGTTTGGAATCAACCAATAACAACATTGATATATTTAATTGAAATGATATTCTAATACAATAGCCTCTAGATGATGATGTGGTATGTATATTTTTAACAATGGGGATCTCAATATACATTGTAATCTTTTCATTGGTAAATGGGTATTGATGAGTAATGTACATATAAGGTATAAAGGATACTAATCTTGGTTTTTTGTGTTGACGACATGTCCAGTGTTTAGTTAGCTGGTTTTAGGTGTTTGAAATATATTAACCCTTTCACGACAATAGGCTCCATATGGAGCCCTTTTACGTAATACTTCTCAGGAAGATAGGTTCCTTTTGGCACCATTTAATATTTCTATTTATATCCATCAATGAAATGACAATATCTCCAGGTCTATTCAGTATTTTTGCACCAAACTTTGACAAGTTGTTGAAATGTGATAATCCTTACTAAAAATTGTATTTCAGTGATAAAATTTAAAGTATAGGTCCTGGGTATAGATCATATGCAGTTTTTCCCTATAAAACCACTCTTACTTATCCGTCACCAGGCCAACATTTTCCTCTTATTTTCACGTCGGAAAAGGGTTAGCCTACATTTATGTTTAGTAATAACCTAGCTATGGTCGAATATATTTTGCTATTTACAAGGTGTTGGTAAATGTCCAACTACTTATATGTTTTATCGTTTTGTTCTGATATGATATTTGAAGAGCAAATGTTATGGTATACAATACAATAATTGTCCATGTAACATTGCAAAGAGCTCTCTCCAATTTATTTTGTCTAAATTTCAATCATTAGTTACTATCAAAAGGCCTCACTCTGTAATTGAGGAGAAACTGGTGTATGTTGGAAAAACTTCATTTAACTAAATAGAAAGATTTCCAAGATGGCTTTAAAACTTTCTCAATGTCATATATCTACATGTTGTTTGTATCCAGGGGTCCCTGAAGCAGAAGACAGTTGAAGAAAAGGAGAAATATGTGGTAAAAGATGACAGGTTACCTGTCATTCTGAACAGAATGAGGGACAGTGGAGCAAAGACCTTCCTACTTACAAACAGTGACTATGGATACACAAATGTAAGTGAAGTGTAACTATATATAGTTTTGTGACCTTCCCCTAACTTGCATCCAGGTGAAGGAGATAGATGGGGGGGGGGGGTGGGGGGTCAGAGAGTTGATGCAGAAATATCTGAAATAGAAAGTCACTTAACCACTATGTGTGTGCAGTATTTTTTCTATGGCCCAGTTCATTGCTTTCTGTAATATAGAGGGAATTTAAAGGAGATTTACCAAAGTTGGAGAGCAATTTTGTTGCAATATTATTGCTTTAAATTTGTCTGAAACATTAAACCATGTCAACCCATTTGTCCATATCTGTATGTACAGTTTACTTAAATGCTTTCCTGTATTAAATTATGAATTTAAATATGGAAAAATCGTTTAAAGTACATTAAATGTGCAATTTATATTTATTTTTTAGAAAATTATGGAATACCTACTTACAGGGGTTGAGTGCAAAAAGGTAAGTGCGATTGGTTTAATTTCTTACACATGTTAAAAAGACTCCTTGTAGCTGGATTTAATATTTCATGTGACATAGTCATTCACTTCCACAAAATAAGTGGTATAAGTATTAAGTCAGCTTGGTTCTACACTGTAAAGAAATGGGGCTACATTGTTAACCTTCAAAAACTAGAATTTAGAAGAATGCATTTATCACACAACATTTCATGATGAAATGCTGATGTGGTTATCAACAAATATAACGGTGAATGCAGAAATGTTGAAATCTGTTAAGCATTTCAATCAATCAAATCTTTGTCTATGGGAGTGAAATTATTGTCTATGGGCGTGAAATGTAGTAAGTAATACATTACTACAAACAACGGCAATGGATTATGTGATTTAATTTCGTTTATGGGTCACAATAGCAATGAGTTGTTATCAAATTCGTTTTGAATCTTATACTATGCTTTAGCAACCATATGATGACATTTATACATTTATATAAAAAGTTCAAACACATGTTAATTTTGATTTCAGCCTGGTGATCCAGAAAGAGAGTGGACATCATACTTTGACTTTATCCTTGTTGATGCTAAGAAACCATTGTTCTTTGGAGAGGGCACCATTCTTAGGCAGGTGGACAGGGTGAGTGATTAGCTTACATTTAGGTTCTGTTCTGTACAACAAGGCAGGGTCACATACACATACCTACCAAACATGAATAATATTAGATTATTATTTTCATAGTTAGAGACATTTTTGCAAAACATTTTGAACAATTCTAATTGTATTGCCTAAAATGCCATTGCCAACATTATTTATAGTTTTATTAATATAACTAAATTTTTGTTTAGATATCTGTGTAATGTCAATTGAGGAAAAATTTGAAATTTGAATGTACATGCACATGTGCTTGTTGATGTGAATAAAGTACATGTACATGTATAAGAATATGATTATAGCGTCTCAAGAAAGATTGTGACGGAACCAAGGCTTTATTTACTGAATTACTTTACATATTAGATTACTTTATGTAATGTTTTGAAATGAATAGCTAAAATAATGATAATTAAAATGCAGCTAATGCATATTGTATCGTAAACATATTTATTAAAGATATTGAACAAATATTTCACTCTATTGAGGTGAATACCTGTACATCTTTCACAAGTGATATTCCACGAAGCCCGGAGGGCAAGTGGAATATCACCTTGTGAAAGTGCTACAGGTATTCACCGAAAATAGAGTGAAATATTTGTTTTATTATATCACTGTCTAGCTAACCATCCCTAATATTATTAAGTCATTAAGTCTTCAGATATTTTTACGAATCTACTCGGTTCGTCTGCCATTTTGACTTACACTGAACTAAATTATTTACACTGAACGAAAACAAATTCTTTGAAAATTCCCGGGAGCGTGGGATATCGCTAGATATCTCACGGTTGTCTTATCTGATTAGCATTGCCATTGAATATCGCCAGATATCCCACGACATGTGACCCGGTTTTGACCAATCATACTGTCGCTAGCTAGATAGTGATATAATAATAAGATATACCGTGCAAGGTGTCTTATCTCCCTTTATATCCATTTATGTAGAAAACTGGTGGCTGTAGCATAGGAACACATATGGGGCCTCTAAGGCAAGGACAGGTCTACTCCGGAGGTAAGAATTACAAGTTTACACTTATACAGTACATGATTCTTGTACCACCAAGGTGATTTGCTTTATTGGTTCAGATTCAGGTAACTTCTTTAATTTCAATTCTTCTATTTATATATATTTCTGTATCTGTTGTTTAAACCATTTGTCTGATCTCATTAGCTGCTCTCAAAATTGTGTGACTTATTTTAGGCTCATTTGCATCTTTGGCTTTCAAGGTTGACAAAATAATTGAAACCCATAGATTAAGATGGCTCATGGTACATGGTAAATTGGTTAATTTCAGGATCATGAGATATATGTGTTTTATCAGATCTGATTAATCAATTTCAGTGGCGTTTCATAAAATGCCTGGTTCATTGGTCAATTTCAGCATGTGATGTAACATTAAATATCATTGGTCAATTTCAGGGTCATGTGATGTAATGTCTGATCTCATTGGTGCTGCTGGTAAAGATGTGCTGTACATAGGAGACCACATCTTTGGTGATATTCTTAAGTCGAAGAAGAAGCAAGGATGGAGGACATTTCTAGTAGTACCAGAATTGGCACATGAACTACATGTGTGGACCGATAAACATTCCATATTTAAGAAGTTGAATGATCTTGATGATAAGCTCTCTAAAACATACAGGTAATATCAAGCTCTCTAAAATGTACATGTTATTATGCTCTCTAAAACATACAGGTATAAGCGCTCTTAAACATATACTGTAGGCAATAAGCTCTCTTAAACATACAGGTAATATTAGCTCTCTAAAACATACAGGTAATATTAGCTCTCTAAAACATACAGATAATAAGCTCTCTAAAACATACAGGTAATATACTCTCTAAAACATACAAGTAATACAACTTGAATGAACTCCTTAAACATGTCTGATTCCAAAGTTATAAGAACTTTGGGCAAGGTGTGAGCATTTTTGAGTTTTAATTGAATATTTTTAATATTATCCAAAGTGTCTGGTAGTTTTATATGAATGCTACTGTAATAATCTCTTTTTGTTATTAGAAACCTGGACAGTAGCACATCAGAAAGACCAGACATTCGTAATATTCAAGCTGCAATAAGGGTAAGAAAACCATACTGTTGTACATGTATATAGTATTACATACCTAGTGAAGTATTTATATAAAGGAAGGAGTTAATGGAAAAATAATTAGGTAATATCCAATAGCATTTGCACTTCAATACAGCTCACTCATCTCATTTTGAAATAATTCATTATGAATTCATTTTATATTTATTAGGCCTTACATCCAAAGAAAGTCATACATTCACAGAAAACATGAACTTATTTTGAGACCCATTGATAATCCCCATTGAATAAGCCATACATTCTTTTACATGTGTTTCAAGGAGGTAACCCATGAGATGGATATGGCATATGGCATGCTGGGAAGCCTTTTCAGAAGTGGTAGGTACAACATTCTCAATATCTGTTCTGAGCAGTTAGAAATTGTTTAACTGAACCTGAACTCAGAACTCCTTCATTTTTTTTATTTGTTAACTACTATGTCATATTTTCCCACAGAACATTTTACTAATTTGGAATTAAAAGTATTTTATGCTATTTTCTTAAAATAATTTTTTTTATATATAAAAACATTTTAGGATTTTTATGTCACCAGTATAAGTGGTGACATATTGTTATAGTCTCCAACTTTTTTGTGGCTGGTGTTTGGCAAATGGTGTTCAGCTTCTGTAACAGCGTAACAACAAATGGCAGCTGGTGACATGTTGCATCTTAATGCCTTGTTTAGTTCTTGAATTCACTTTCACTACTTTTGCTGATTTTGCATTCCAGGATCTCGTCAAACCTTCTTCGCCAGTCAAGTAGCTCGCTATGCAGATCTGTATGCCGCCTCATTCCTCAACCTGCTTTTCTATCCATTCAGTTACATGTTCCGTGCCTTTCCAATGCTGGTAAGTCATTCAGTTACATGTTGCATCTGATTGTATATGCCTTTTTTTGTTCTCATGATGTTCATGGAATTGCCCACTCATCTGTCAGTCGATCGACAATTCAAACAGTCATTCATTCGAATTAATCTCATATACATTTTATTGGTGTCTGTACTGTTGAGTTTACACCATTAGTCCAAACTTTTGCCTCAAGTTGGAGAAATTCATGAAAACCATAATATTCAACTTTATTTGTATTTATAGTAGAATATTCATGTAATCTTTTATTTCATTTAAATTTTTCCCAAATTTTTACTCACCTTGAAGTTGATTCGATTCATCAATTCAGGGATCGATTCAGGTCAACCCAGAGCCCAAAACCTACAGGTACTTGATTCATTGGGTTGTCGTCTCCCCCCTACTAGAAATTGATGTATGTGTTTATTACTATTTTCAGATGCCCCATGAATCATCTGTTCAACACACAGATGCTAACTTGACGATCAGTGAGTCCCCCATGGCTCCAAGATCAAGGTCCATCCCTGTATCTCCCAATACAACCGAGCCAGATAATAAACGCATCAAAGTGATGATCAGAAGCCAAAGCCTGGTGCCGAATCTCCGAGCTGACACCCCGAAAAAGATAACCCATCATCACGATGAAGATGACTCAGACGAAGAAAGTACAGGAAGTGATAAGTCCACATAGGTCAAGGTCACGAGCATCAATGCCAAAGACGCCAGATATACATGTAGTCATTTAAAGTCAGTGATCAGACAGCAATAGAATACCATCAATAACTTGTGAAAAGCTGATTATCCAGGAGGAGACTAATACTCATATAATTGAGTAACAAGAGAATTGCTAGGAATACACTATTGCTCGGATAATTTAGCTATCATAGGTGTCACTGATCACCATGGGGCATTGTTGTTTATGTTATAGCGGCCCAGATTCACATGTATGGACTGATTGATAAAAGAATGATATACTGACTGAGATACAGGCTGAGTATTATGGAGGTAATTGAATGATTATGATACTTTGTACATATGACCTGACCACAGAGCAAATGTCTGGATAGACTCATGACACAATCAAAAATATCGAATGTAATGTAATGATATTCAGTGCGTCATAAGCCTGATAAACCGGGTGCCTATTAGGCTATTATTGTTAGTGGCACTTTAAATAATTAAAACGAAAACTGACAAGCAATACCAGTGACTCCATATCATTGTATAGTATGTACCCTGTCATCTTGGAATCATATGAATAGAACAACAAAAGTTTGACAAATATATTGACCAATATCCCAGGGTATATGCTGTACATGTATGCTGAAACCTGACGTCATGCTTGTGACATCATTGGTGATAAAAAGGTCAACAGCTGATTGTTTTATACATTACATAGTCTTGTATTAAATGTGAAATCTCCCCTCAAGCATGTGTTCATTTGTGTAGGATCATATTATTACAGAAGGATTTCATGTATAAAGTACGCAAAAAAGGCTAGTGAGAGCACTAACCATATTTATATATGCAGCAACTTATAATATCAGAAATATCACTGGTTAATCATACAGATAAAACAATAATTGTGGGATAATATAGTAAACATGGTATAAGCAATGTATTGACTCTACTTATATGTATCAGTTGTCTCCAAATCATAATGAAAGGGACAAAATGATTAAGAACACTTTAGAATCAAAGTTAAATTGAGATTTAAGCATTTAAGGAGGTTCAGCATTTTTGCAATTCTCTATTTCAAACTTATTTTTGAAATCTTGTCAGCAACACACATTCTTAGTCAAACAAACTGTGTTCAGTAATGCCTCAGTAACAGTTGATCTATGACAACCATACAGCGGCCATAGCTTCCCAAAATCAAGAGACATGCAGCATAAAAGACAGGGAGAAGCAGCATGGTGTAGATTTTCTATATCGATTTTGTGAAGCTATGGCCACCGTACGCCCACCGCAGAGCAAATAAAATCGATATACATATACTTGCTCCACTATTGCAGTCCAAAATATCAGGAAATATACAAGCTAGGAGAGTGACACTAGTTATTCATTGTGATTGAAAAAGTCTACTATCTGTAGTACTCAAAACGTGCACAGAAAATACAATATTTCAATGTTTTGCTGTATTTTGTTAAAGATGTCTTGTGTTATATTAGAGAGGTTCTGCACAACTTTTTTAACTAACATATCTAAAATCTGTAACGCATTCACAGATTTATGCGTACTGGATCAATTAAAACAAGATAGGGTTATGGTCATGTCTTAGTGGTAAGTGTTGTGCAAAATTTCGCTATTAAAAACGCTATTTTATTTAGTTATGATTGATTTTTAGAACCAATTTTGTTTTATTTTTATGAAATCATAATTGTTGTGCAATATGTTGTGATGATGTGGTAAGAATTTTAATTTTTGATACAGCCAAGACTTTCTTCTCATACCTACATGTATGTTATATTATTGTCCGAATGCTTCTAGATAGCCTCTAATTCTTCTTTGAATTTATTTTTGGTAACAACATATTGATATTTGTCTGGCCCCAAATGTTATACCTTTAACAATCAATTCTCAATATTATATATCCTCTGGGACAATTATGCTTGACTTCATTATTGGAAATATGATATCTGTGTAACCTTAATGTTATAAAGCCTACATAAAATAATTTTTATGGAAAGTAGTCAATCCATGATGCTTAGGGTAATATTTGATTTTTCTTAATTATAACTTTTTCTTGATTATTACAATTCTATTTTTGTAGTGCTTTCCAGAATCGCTATGGTGATAAGCCCTGTGGTTGATAAATAAACTTTTTATGTACATGTGACTTTTGGTGTAGGGTTACATGACAGAAATGTTACAATTTGTAGAGAACACTCTTAAGTAAAGTCAGAGCAGAACCAAAGAGTTATGCCACTGTCACATTTGATCTGTGGCAACCATACGGCAGCTGTAACTTCCCAAAATAGAGAGCAAAACTGGACATAATATAGGGATAAGCAGTACGATCCCGGGAGTATGATGTCAATTTTCAATATAGATTTTGTGAAACTAGAGCTGGCATATGCCCCCACCGAGCAAATGTGACTGAGGCTTTATTTATAAAACTTTTGAATAATGAACATGTTTTACAATAATATTACATAGTAATAGCAACAGTAAATGTGGATCTGAGATATACTGTGTTCAGATGTTCCCTATAGAAACGTTTTACTGCATTATAATAATAGATATTTAGATAAGTACATGTAGTCATACCAGTTATATTGTTATAAATATATATTGCTCTAACCTTAGTTAACATGATAGTACATTTAGTTTTATATAGAGGTACATTCCTTTGAAAATAGGATAGATATTTATTATATTGAATTTATGCATATAAATTACAAATAGTTAATTTAGTTCTTAAAGATATTGGATATCATGATACATACCCAAAGCTATTTATAAACTACAGTATATCAAAAATATAATTGAAATCTATTAAAAGTTGAAACTTCCTGATATCTATAATAAGGATATTATGCTTAAAACATGAACTTAATAATAGCAAATTCACTTTATGGTGCATTGTTTCTTTAGACTTCTCATACAAGTATTAATTATAAGGGAACTATAACTCATCTTCGTTCACTCAGCTCCCTTTGACCTGAATGCAGTGAAGACCAAGTGAGCGAAGATGGCTTTAAGTAAGCTTGCAAATACATGTTGTAAATCCAATTTTGCAAATGTTATATTTTGAGTAGATTTTAGTTTATATTGTGAAAATGCTTAATCAAACATTGATGAAACATGGGAATGATAATGTAAAGAAATTAGTTATCCGTTGATATGATGTTAAACTTTATGTTGTGATAAGGGACCATTTCAATAGTTCAATGTTGTCCCATGTTTAATTAATTATATTTAAGATCGACCCCCTCCCATAATTGAACATTTATGAACAAAAACTAAAGAAGAGTTCTAATTGTGTCACCACCACAAGTAGTGACATATTGTTATAGTCTCCAGCTTTTTTCTTGACGGTGTTTGGCATCTGTAACAATTGGTGTTCAGTTGAAAAAAAATTCAATTCAGTTCAATCTGTACAATTTGCTGCATCTGTAACAATATGCAAGAACTTACAAGGTGGTGATATTTAGTCATGTTAATGTCTTGTTCAAAATTGATGCTTATTACAATAAGTTATCTCCCCCCCCCCCTCTCCAAATTAAATTAATTATGAATAGTGTTGGTATACATTGATATATTGACACGATCCCTGATACCTTACTTCTGTGGTAAAATTGTATTCGATTTATTAGAAATGGTCACATAGATTTGTATAATCTGTTATATATTTTAGCATGAAGACACTTATATTTATATATATTTATTTTGTAAAAGCAGTGTAAAAAACTGTATATCTATATTATTGGTCACTTTTAGTTTGCAAGTACAGCATATGTATGATTGTACAGTTTATAATAAAATTGTTGTATACATTTTAACAAATAAATGCTAAAATGGACATTTTATGAAGACTTATCAAATCCGTTTTGTTTTGTTTCTTTACAACCTTATGTACCTAATAATCCAGTATTATCACATCGGAATAGCCTGACAACGGTAAAGTCAGTTACCGTTGTCACAAATGGCGGACATAACCGTCGCTTCAACTAATTACTCACTTGGTCCTCGTTTCATGGGACTTTATCGTCGCTAATTCTGTGCATGTGTTAAGCTCGTGTGATGATGTATTATATGAAATCCCATTTTCGATCAAATTGGGTCGTGAATCGCCACAATATAGCGTCTTTGATATCGTCAATGACAACGGAATTTGAATTTGACGGCATATGGTTAGATGTGACAACAGACTATGGTGGATGTATTGAATTGGAACATAGGAAAATGACAACGGTAAAAAGTCACTTGACCATTGTCTGACCCACACCTTGCGTTGTCATTTATACAGTATCCGTTGTCCTGTGTCATATTCCGATCGGTAAAATTAAAGCCTTTATTTCGATGGTAGAACATATTTAACTATATGATCAGTAGAAAAATATTTTTAGTGATTGCAGTACCAAAGAAATTTAGTCTAGTCGCTCTATTAAACATACAGCTCATGAAAAAATACTTGAAGCGACGGTTATGTCTGCCATTTGTGACAACGCTATCTGACTTTACCGTTGTCAGGCTATTCCGGTGTGATTATAAAGGTACAAGTATCATATGTTATCAAATTTTATATGTTTCAAACATGACGTGATTGCAGAAATGCAAATTTCCTCCTGTTTTTATAGTTTATTGAGTCCAGGGTCCATTTTAAAATCATTTCAAGGGAAAATAATATGATCCAGCCAAACCGTTTGCACTCACCATTTGGTAAATATTTTGAAAATCTTGATGAGATGACAGAGATTGAATTGATCAAGCAGTCCTCAACTTCAAGGTTTGAGGTTATAGGATACAGAATTCATAAGGTTATATTTTTTAAAATCAGTAATATTTTAATCTTGTTTTGCATGGTCATAGTTCTACCTACAATCAATAACCATTATCAATCAACAATTATAGTTTTTCTAATGTATCAAAAAGTGGCTGGATTTATCGGAACGATCTATTTTGGATCGCCTTATCATATCATATGCTTATGGAGCTGTCACACTTAGGCTGTATGTGCTCACTTTTCGCCACCGTCGTGTGAATAATTTGGGTCAGACGGCGGGATATGGCATGAATACACAATGGGCAAATCAAATAGTTTTACAGCAAGATACCCCCATCACACCAAATAAAAGATTAATTAGATAAAAAACTAATTCCCCAAATTACGATGAGCCCACAAGGCTAATATGATAGCTACTTAAGAGTGGGAATGTAATCCTCTATCGTGGTTAGATACGTTGAATTTAAGTTCAGTTGTTTCTAATCCGGGCTTGAGAAAGAGGAGTAGATACATGGTGTTAGAATTGTGACAAAACATTTTCAGACATACTCTAGTGTACTTGTGTACTGCTTCCGTCATTTGACGGTGATTGCAAGTAAATGATGCCTAAAATGGCAGACGGAAGTGTGATTAGGATATTGTCTATTGGATGAATACGAGTACATACATATCTAATATTGCCAAAAATAATAATTTAGTGTAATTCAGGACACTATTATTTTTGTAATTTATTCGGTAAAGTCCAGAGTGCATAGACAAAATAATCTGTACATGGTGTGTTCCTTATAATTGCACTCTCCGCAGTTTATTGAGGTAGTTAGCTTTTCATGGAAGACATCAATGGCGTCAGCAACGTGGTCTTATTTAGTGTTGCCTATAATATATCATTGCAAGTAATTAATATAGTTATGCTAAGAGATATATTGATTTAAAATTGTTTGAAATTTTAGACTCATCATGCCTAGGTTAACTAACAGTATATGAAGCTATTACTATTGGTTTATATTTTGCTCTTTCAATCAATTCTTTTATATAAACATGTCTCAACTATAGATATCAATCAGTACAAGTTGTAGTTTGCGATCGGTAATAATCTATAACTTCTACTTTAGTATATTCACAACATAATAGCATATTTCTATCTCTAGACGTGGGGGTATACCTGATGTATTTCAAATCACTCGTGAATCACACAACGAAACAACAAATTCACATTTATATTGGTAAACCCAATTTATTTCTAATGGCACAATGGTATGATTGCATTAATTACAATGATTGCTGATACAAAATGGGTGTAAAAGACTAACTAATGAACTGTTGTCTTAGATCGTGTAAGAGACCCAGGCCAGTTATGTGTAACAGTTTCAGTCTTAATTCCTGGGGCTGAATATACTCTAGTTTTAGTCCCAAAATGTGCACTTAAGTAAGTGCACTTTGTCTTTGTGTTGTTGGGACCACTACTACTATATTTTGATTGTCTGAATTTGGGTTGGTGGAGTGGTGGCCGAATGTTCCTTGTTGTCAGGAATGTAGTGTCTTCTGTAGGTGGAGTTGGTGAGGGGATTGGGTTTTGGTGGCGGTTATGACGATTTCGCCTGGTAAATACGGGGATTGGAGGTTTACGAGTTGCATGAGTGTCATTTCGCCACGGGGATGCAAACCTAGTTTGATCAGGTTTTTGATTTGGATCTATTTCTGAAGATTTACCTTTCCTATTTGGTTTAAAGGGAGTTGATTGTACAGAATGTTCATTTGGATGAGACTTGGTTGAATCTGGTGACCATAAACGAGATTCGGCTTGGAAGCTTCCATGGACAGGAGTTGCTGGGCTACTGGTCAATAATTTGTTGTCATCATGAGCACTACTTAGACACTTCACGTGACCTTTGGCAACAGGAAGTGAAAACACGGAAGGAATGGGTTTACCAACAGGCGAAGCATTCAACAAGCGCAATTGTTCACCATTCAAAGCATTCAACGTCGACATGGATGCAGCATTAATCATTCTACTATAAGAAATATTACTCAGCCTGTTATGCCAAGAGACTGTTCCTTGTGGCGAGCTAGTCCGTGATATTGTACCATAACCCTCATCGTCATTCCCTTCTCCCTCCTCATCTTCTTCCTCTGAGTCCTCAACAGCTGGTTTAACAACCTTTTTCTCATCAACCTCACTCTCCCTATCTTGTTCACAATATTCACAGTCACATAGCTCATCATCTGAGCCCAGTTCCTCCTCTTTGGCAATCTGAATCTCTGCTATTTTAGCCATTTTGATTAGCTCTAACAAAGAACGTGATCTACGTAGCACCGGTTCTCTGTATCGTGGATGGGTTATAAAAGGAAATAGTTCCCTGTTTTGATAATCTATTACATCAACCAGTTTTGTCATTCCCCGGTCATATGCCATCTGTCTACAGCTATACTTGAAAACCTTAAATCTCTTTGAAGACTCCAGCTCAGTGAGATCCTTCATCTACAAGATGTTAAATAAATAACCTGTTAAAACTGACGTGTTAAAGTACTCTACAAACAGGTACCCTGACGGGAGCAAAGCCAAACATAGAGTTTTATGAAAATATCACACTGGAATCAACATTAATCGGTGATAAATCAATACACTTGCAAAATAGAAGTAGTTTTATTACAAAGTATATTCTTAGTATCCTAGCTTTTAATCAGATAATTCAGAGAATATTTAGTTTTGCTAGTTTTGATCCTAGAGTCGATTATCTTTTGATCATCTACATGTTTTCCATAGTTAGTACTTACCAGTCTGTCAGCAGCATGGTTGACGTTTATGCCATTGTCAATAAGGAACAATGCCATTTTCTCATTCTTTTCCCGTATGGCCAACATCAGTAGATTCTCTCCATACTGTAATATCAATGGAAACACAAATAAGGACATCACTATTATTGCATGGGGCAAGAATGCTAAAGCAGTACATATTTATTTTTATTTTTATGATACAAGAGTAAAAGATGTATTTAATTTATTTCTACTGAAATATACCATTCCCTGTGATTTTAGATTGTGATAATTGTAAATAGTTCGGGAAGAAGGATCATTTTATTGTATATTAGATCACCAAATGGGATTTTAAGATTGTTTCCCCTTAACCAGTTTTAATTTTCGTTTGATCATTGTGCTTACATAGTCGATAGACTTACATATTTCCAGTTGATGTCAGGTTCACACGGATGTTCCAGAAGCTCCTCAATTACTCTCTTCTGGCTCAATTTCACTGCTTGATACAACTCCTCTTGTACTGCAGCTATTTCCTCGTCTGTCCAAACATATGGTTCAGGCTCCTATGGTAACAAGAAAAGTAATAGTATAGGATAATATGAGACATTATTTTAATACATAATACATAATCGTTGATAACAGACATATAGAATCCCTTCTTTGAAGAGAACAAACCAATTTTGGATCCTGTGATCAGAAGATGAATAAACGTTGACTCGACCATTGTAATTAAATAAGACAATGTTCATGATGTAACACAATAATTTATGTTGGGATACCGTGCCTTTAGTTAAATACTGGGTACTAAACTACATCACTTCTGAGGCAACTTCAATCGTAAATCAATTCCAAACATTGTCAGTTCTTCAAGGATTACTTGCAATCAATTCTAAACATTGGCAATTATTCAAGGACTACTTGCAATCAATTCCAAACATTGTCAAATATTCAAGGATTAATTACATACCGATTTATATTCAATGCCAATGGGGTAACATTTATTCCTGTTCATTCCCGAATAAATAATACTTTTTGTTATAAAATAAGAATGTATAACATAAACTATTTTGACATTTAAAAAGGGGCAATTTCACCCAATTATTTCGTTTGCAAAATCTCGTTACCAATTATATCTTTAAGTGTTCTATTGTGCCATTATGGCAAACACTAGCCGTTTCACTGAGAATCATTTGACAATGGGAAAAGCTTGTTCAAATATTGACACTCTTATAAAACTAGAAGAGTTCATTTAATATTGACTCTAATAGAACATAATAAATTCCGTTTTGAAATATTTACACTTATTTAAAATGAGAAGCGGTTTTGTTAACATCCATTAGTACAATTGTGTGTATAGCTACTGACTTAAACAAATCTTAACAGGCAAATGATTAAATACAATTTTGCATTTCCATCGAGGCTGTTCTTAAATTTATGTTTAGACATTTAAAGTTTATTCACTCCAAAGATATTCAAAACATTTATAATAACTATCAAGTAATGTCACTCAAAACCACTTAAGTGTGAAATTAATTTTGTTAAAAAGTGAAAAAAATTCTAAAATGTTTTTTTCAAATAGACATATAGTATATATCTGTATACGATTGTACATTCGTTACCCAAGGCATTGAAGTAAACTCCAAGGAAAAATTGGCGAATTTTCAAATTGAAATTAGGGTCCGTCTCAAACATGTCGATTTCACATCTTGACCCCCTGATTAATATGTCAAGCTATTCAAATTAGAATGCAACATTTTCAAAAAACCAAGAACGTTCCTCATGGTACTTAACTGTCCTTTAAAATCGCAAATGGATTGCAAACTTTTCCTTTTTGATGTGCATCACTTGTCAACATGAACCAATAAAATCTATCATTTTTCTCGATTGTTTTACTTACCTTTTGTTTTTCATTTGAATAAAATTGACTGAAACATGAATCGATGCGATCATGAAAAATGATCCTAAAGACGATAAAAAATGATAACAGTTTTATTTGGGAAGAATTGATCATTACGCTATTTCACTATTCAACCGCATGTCGATTTTCACAAGACAATTAGAAACAAATGACAATGATTTAGAAAGTTCATTTTAGGGAACGCTTACTTCAGGAATCGACATTTTTGATATGTAGGATATAACTGGCTAAATTGAGAAACACCCAGTTTGTATTTGTATCCAAATATGACCACGTTCATGTAAAATTTTCCGTCAAAACCCGACATACGTAAACCATGATTTGGAGAATCCTGTCGTGTTTCACATTTTATTCTAAAATATCGCCAAAGAAAATAAACTTAGGTCATGTACGTATTACGTCCGCAAAGTTTATATGCACTGAACACATCTTTTCTACATCCTTTTCACACCAACTTTTCCAAAACATTGCACTGATTCATGAGACAAGGGTTTACATTTTTAGATTGAATGAGAATTGGGTGACAGATGCCATGTCGTTAAAATATTTTTTGACACCCTTGGTGTATGTTTCCCTTTTATCTCATATACCAGGTATGGTACCTTGCCTTGTTTTTACAATTTGAGTCATTTTTCCTTTGGGCTTTGCTTTTAATGCATGCTTAGACCAGTTGCAGGTTGACGTAGTGACGTTTTACTTGCATGTATCACACCAACAGGACAGCCATTGTAATATTAAGTACAAACAGCATCTATCTAGATATCTAGATCTGAAATGTCCCTTTAACATATTTCAAATCAAGAACCCGATCCTTATTCTACCCGAGTGTACGTTATCAATTGAAACATATGATATTGATGTCGAGTCGAGTCCAGTAAGGCTGACGTATACGTATAGTTCAATCATAAAAATCATCTGCACCGGTGTAGAGACGTTTCTCTTGACACCATTATCTGCTGCGCGCTTCGCCGATAACCCCCCCCCCTCCCCCCTCTCCAAGTTCCTATCACAAGACTTTTTTCCACGACCACCGGAAGTGTTTTTATTACTATGCTTTGCTTCATTCTGAGATTTTTGTTTTAGTCGCTATAATTTTCGCTTTAGAGAAACAAATTTCTTTCTTGTCCGGCAGACTCGATCCCTTTTCCGGATTTGTTTCTTCTGATGTTTTGTTAGAAGCTCTTGAAGTCTATAATATTTTAGTGGTCTACACCCGGTATTATTTTTCGAAGAGGGGATTTTTTTATTTATTTTATTCTCGGACATTGATTTGCAACGAATTACGTTTGACGAGGGCATTCCGAATCTTGTACATCAGATCGTAATGTATCTAGTAGATCAGATCGTAATAATGAAATTAGAAAGTAATGATAAGCAAATAAACATCGTTGAAAAGCTATAAAATCTTTCATATTACAAATAAGAGATGGCTGTTTATGTTGTTCACCATTGAGAATGATGCATTCATTGAAAAGGAAACTGAACCCAAACGTTCATAGACTTTATAATTGAAGTCAGCAATCCCCGGGAATGCACTGAACGAAACGTTATTTACAGAGGTTGACACATCTTGGGCTATAATGGTCTTCATAATGATTTTTGTAGTGAAAATCTTTCGGTAAATTATGCTTATAGAAGTTCCGAATAACTTATCATCTGCTTGCATGTAACGTATTTTTGTAGAGACGTATAAAATGGAAAAGAGTACGCTGAAAAAAGAGAAAACTCTTTAGCTGTTATCTTTTCATTATCTATCAATTGATCTTTACGCGTAATTATCGGAAAACTGCTATGTATGTGTTATCAGTGTATTGGTAATCATATAAAATCAAATCAATCCATTTGTGATGTATAGAAATTACTAATTCACTGCTTTGAGTTCAATGGTATAACCATGTCGATTTTCACGCATGTCGATTGTCACAGTTTCACACCATATTCGCTCATAGATGGGGTCGTACTGGTTATTTCGTAAACTGTTTTCGTTAAAACAGAGTGGATATATTGTTTTCTTGAATAGTGTCCGTCTTTACACTAGAATGCTGCCGATGTGTGAATTACATCTTGGTCGTTTTTCACAAGAAAAATGGTGAATTTTCAGAAATGTTCAGATAATGCTCATTATAATTCAATCACAATTATTATCACGATTTGGAACATGCTGGTCTGATAAACTGAATCAAGGACTTGCTAACAACATATAACTTATTTTTCTCGGATTTCCCTAATGCCGTGTGGGTGTGTTTAAACGACCATGTCGATTTTCACAGAATAAATTTTACATTTACTTTATTTGGTCTATATAATCGGTAATAGGGTGAGATCAAATACAGTGCTCTCATCACACTCTGAATGAATGTTCTCAATTCCAGCATAACCAAAATTAAAAGATGCGACCATTTATTATTGAGATATGACATGTTTTCAAAGGCGTGTTGTCCTGTTACATTGACAATTTCACGAAATTCACAATTTTGAAGCCAGATATCAACGCTACTTACAATCGGAACGATCAAAAAAGTATGCTGACGTAGTTCATATAAAGGCATTATATTTTAGAATACATAAAATGTTGAGCAAAAATACGTTTTGTTTCAGCTATGTTCAATTACATCAAAAATGTCAATTTTTAACACTTATTTGTTTTCACTGTTATGTTATACAAGTTGTAATGCTGTATTACATTCATGTTACTTTGATTATATATATTGAATTTATTTGTAATTATTCATAATTTCTAACTGTTGATTTATCTTTATTACAGGGACATGTTTGACAAATGGTGACGCTATTCAAATAGTTACCTTATATTCTTCTTCCTCATCTTCTTCATGTTTCTTTTTCCCCACTAACTTCTTCTCCATACTTTCTCCAAGTTTACTACTTGCTTCATCCCCTATGGCACTGTCAGCGTCGTCTATTGCACTCTTATCATTATCTGCTGTTCCATTGTTTGCATCAGCTTCACCCTCTCCCTCTTTAACATTAGCATTTTGTTCTAACTTAGTTTTCTCCCGTTCAGCACGTTCTCTTGCAGCTTTTTCTTTCTCTCGTTTCTTTTTAGCTTCAGCTTGTTTATGTGTAGTATCTACTTCTTTAAGGGTGTCTTTTAGTTTTTGCTGACTTCCGTCATCAATACCAATCCATGCTTTTATCCGTACTTCTTTCTTTATCCCTTCTTTTCTCCTTTCCTTCTTTCGCTCCCTTATTTGGGCACTTGTTTGTCTCTGTTTACGCCTGTGTTCTCCATCGTTTCCCTCAGTTGGAACACTGTCAAACTTTGCCTGCCCGATCCAATTCTGAATATTGACATCTTGTTCCATATTTGTTAAATTATGCCCAAGATGTCTAACATGTCATCAACGGCAGCACATTGATCTTCATTGTCCACCTGTAAAATAATTACACATTCATGAGTCATGTAATTTCAATTTTTAAGTGTATCCTTTAATATATCATCCTATAGTTAAATAATTTATTGATAATATTTTATGATACCATTATAAAGATACAACATGTACAAACATACAGATATGGAAGCCGTAATTGTACGTCATGGACATTCTAATACCCGATTACATGATGTACTTACCTTTGCATCTGAGCAATTTCGAGATCGATTCCAAAGTATGAAATGAATCTTTTGATAAGTACACAAAAAGTCATCGGCGATCGATCTCTATTGAGATTAACTGTTAATAAACTGTTAATGTATAATTATATAACCTCCGAGGTTAATTGAACGACACAAAACCTTAATTTCCTACTGTTACTGTCTCAATATACCCCCCTTTTAATGTCAAAATTGATTTAATGTGAATATCTTAAAAGTGTTTTCCTATCGCATTTTTGATATCAACTGTACAAGGTCTGAATGTCATGTTTACCTGTGTATCTCTGTATCCTGGTTACTATGACAATCTAATGGTAAGGTATCCATCTTATCGAATGAATTGAATAGGTATGCTCATTTATGCTTTATTTATGATCAATAGCACAATGAATGTATTATCCCAGGATCATATATATCTGATGAATTGCGTTCTAATTTACTGAATACTTTGATCAGTCTAAATTATAATCGGGTCTCTTAGAATGATTGAAGAGTAAATAATAAATAATATTCGGGTCTCTAAGAATAATTGAAGAGTGAATGATAAAATATCCCTCAACTGGACAGTATTATAAAAGTATAAAAGTAACCTGGTAATGACCAGCTGACCGGCGCAGCACTTAGTACTTACCCTGGTCACAATGCTTTAAGTTTACAAGAATCTTGAAATTTAATGTAACCCAGATACAAATTTAAATTACTATGATCTGTTTAATGGCATGTTCTCAAGTAACATGGAAAATATCAGTGTTAGATATAACACTTATTTGTATTCAATTTAAGATCGTGTAGTACAGTAGTGGACATGTCGAAGGGGACCGAAGAGTGGTTCATATTTAAAGTAAACTACACATGATTTCAAATTAGAATATTGTTTAAGCATGATATGAAATATATTAATTTGAATTCAGAAACTGTTAAAGGAAAGTAAAATATTCTAAGTCATGATCTCAAACACATAAAATAGCAACTTTTCCTCAAAAAGGCGAGGAGATAATGGTATCTAACGTCAACAAACGTTGATTAGAGTACTCTCCATTATTTGCCATTCACTTAGTAAACGGAGATAGTAATGTTAGTGATCCTTTAACAACAAACGTGATATTATTCAGTATTCTGTTATTTCACCAATATTCAATAGCATGGCATATCATGAAGACACTGTTTCATAAAAAGACGATTAATACTCTGCTATATAAGAGGTCCGGGACTTCAGTTATACATTCGAAGAAAGGCATTTATATTCTCAGAAAACAACAATTTAGTGTTATGTTCCCGAGATTATTAGATCTGTTAGATTCTCTCCATGTAGTATAGTTACCGTATACTTTATACAATTTATATACAATAACAAAAGCAATATCAAAAGTAACCCAGCATATATCATAAACTTCATTCTGTAGTGGATATAGCAGATATCAGCTGTATTAAATGTAATCTACAAATACGATTTCACTATACTTTATGATTATTCGTTATTTTATTGATAGGTATAATATACTTATACTTACATTATTTCCAAACGTTCCCTGTCGCTATGATAATGTATATCTACATCACTGAAATATTCTTATTTAATGTGCTCCTGATCATACAGGGAGATTATCATTTTTATTGAGAGCCCTAACTAAATCCTTCTTGTTCATTAATGATTCTAATGTGTGCTCAACGTATAGTAGCTAAGGCAGCGATTGAGCACAATACAATCCAAACAACTTTAACCTTCGAATCAATAAAATCCTATATGATGGATAATAGCGATCACATTACCAGCTCTATTGTGTCAGTTTTGTTGAATATTATTACATTATATGGAAATATTCCCAGTTTGGTATGGTCGTTTTTGACAAAGAAATTACCGTATGCCTGGCGAGACTTTATTGTGATATATAATTTCTGTTTATGAGAATTTTTATGAGATTTGCCTTTTGGTGGTTCCACGGGATTAGGGATGGATTAACGTTTGACCTGAACGCCATCTTTTCACAACATTATTTTAAGTGCAAAATTACATGAAGAATGATTATACTTCACATTACTTGTCCCGTGAGTTTAATATAACATTGGAAATAAAAGGGTAACCTGTCAGAAATAATGATATATACTGCTTGTAATAAACTTGATTAAAAAGTACTTTCGTAATTAGGGATAATTACAGATGTTTAAGGGGGCACGGAGGAAACATTTGTTTTTGAAGAGATAAACATTATTAATGACCATAACCTCAAATGACCTTCATTGACAATCAAAGTAGTTTTTAAACATAGCTTAATTTGTGTATTGATATTTATGTAGCAACATATCAAAAATTAAGAAATTTCAACAAAATCTATTTGATACAAGTTAAAACTGATTGTCTTCGTATTCACTGTACATATTGTATAACTATTATCAGATTATCAGATGTTTCATTTGCATCCACTTCATACCTAAAAATGTATTTACCATAAGAAACAGAACAACGATCTAATATATAAATATACATCATTTTATACACAGTGATCTGTATAATTATAATCTATTTTATATTCAATGATTAATTAATAGTTGATCACTGGTTAATAACAAGCACTGAGTAAAGTCAGTGAATATAAAAACAGTCATTATGACAGTTTAACAGTTAATCTGGAATTTCAGGTCCTCCATCTTCACCTGGGACTGGTAACGAGTCGCCATCAATGTGATGAGCTTTACTGACGACAGGTAAATTGTTTTCCTCTGACTTGGAATGGTTTTGTGTTGATATTGTGGGTTTCACCAGGTAAATACCTGGAAATGAAGATTACCACATATACATTTTATTACACAAACATTTTTCAAAGTATTGCAAATTAAACGACAATGACCGCCATTGTCTGTGACATTAATCGATGTTGCCGTATGACTTACGTTACATAGTATCGATATCTTCAATGATTGCAAAAATCAAGTCTGTTGACTTCCCCCGCCCCTATTTACTTCACCAACACAAGGAGAGTAGGTGTGTAGCGGGGGGGGGGTAACAAGGGCTTGTAGCTAGACTACTGTGAACAATTAACATTTATTTCAATTAGGGTACCTTTGAAATGATTGATTTTTTCTTCAAGTGACTGGTTGAGCAGTTTCAGTAGGAATATTTGTGTCCGATTCTCTTGGAGAGATTTGCAAAATGCATCGAATGCCCCTGGACCTTTTGTGACGATGATGTCTAGCATGGCAGACGCTTGGGCCTTTATTGTACAATTGGATTGTATTCGTTCCTCGTCATCGTTGGTAAGAACAAAACTTCCTCGAAGGCAGGGATAATGGTCTCTTGGGTATATAACTTCACACAATTTCTGCCGGTGCTCTTGGAGGACCTATGAAATGAATCAGAAAATTAAAGGAAAATAAAAATAAAAACAATGCCCAACTCCCGGCCCAACGAACAGTATAAACTTATGAACTTAACTGTATAAACTTACTTTCCGTAAGGATGGCCCTATAAGTTGCCAATGATACTATTGTTATGAGGAAGTACAACTTGGTTATTGTAGCTGTATATCTGCAACCTACCTGTTTTTTAAATTCGTGTAATATCTCTTCACTTATTTCAGATATCGTCTTCGTAGACTCCATGCCGAGTGAACCCATAATGTCTAATTGTACCAGTATATCTACATGGGATTCACACCCTCTTTATCTTGTACCGTATAATAATCATAACTTAGTGTTAGTGTTAGCTTAGCTTAGTGTTACTTAGGGTTAGTTTATTTATACTACTTTAACTGCAATTATTAACGCTACTAGATATAGTGCTACTTTGCAAACATTAACTTACACAGTACGAACAAAATTGAACAAGGAAGTAATTTTATTTTAACTGAATGTCAGTTTGTGCGTTTGTTTTACACTGATACCAATTCGGTACATGTATTTGTATATCACATACCGATTACTTTAAAAAATAATACATGGTCATAAGGAAATTACTGGCATGTTTTAAAAAATGCTTCCATCGTTTTTACCCGGGCGTTTTTACTGTCTATTGTAACACTCCCCTGACACACGGGGAATATATGTTAGTCAGCCCCTCCCTCTAGTAGTCTCTAATTTAATCAATTGATATTAATTAGATTACTTTATGCGGTGAGTGGTGTAAACATGCATTTGAAAGATTTGCAAAACAGAATTTGGGTACTAAATTGGGCAACCTCAGTACTAGTAATAAAAAATATGATATATAACATTACATGAAACTTTAATCATTACAAAAATTAAAAAAATACAAAGGAATCAGAATCAAACAATTAAACTTTTTTCACTGCAATAATAGGTTTAGTATTATTGGTTGTGTCACACTTCTTCTATCCTGCAGTAAAATTTCAACTGTTTGGATCTACTTTGAGTTTAAAAAATAAGCAATTAAATGACTATATTGCAACAGTATATGAAAAAATAGAAACATATGTACAAGGCCTCACTTTTGTATATTTCAGATAGTTATGGCTGAATCTGGCTCCGGATCTGTGTATTACATTTAGTGACAGTTTAGGGGATATTTATAAAAAATACCATGATCTTATATTACTTTGTCCACATATTAATAGAATTAATAGAATTTTGCTTATAAATTATTTGAGCATTGGTATACAACTTCAGTTATGTTTCTGACGGACAATTCTAGAGCAGCGCACCAAGCAAACATAACCAATAACGAAAACTTTTCCACATAATTCAAGGTTTTGATTGACAGTTCTATATTTGGAACATGAAATTGATGGCCTGTGTAAAAACTTCAAGGTCAAGCTGATCTGGTCACTCTGTAATGCAGTTTAGAAACAATTTTTGCTTGAAAATGCTCTATTCTATCCTCATATTTCTCAGTCAAAAGATATTTATAGAAAATTGACCTTTCAAACCATTTTAGTGTATCAAATATTAGTTCATTTGAGAGGTTTTAGTCATCATTATATTTGTCTGAAAGAAGGTTTTGGCAGTGTTTTTGGGACAATTTTGTTAAATAATTTCTAATAAAAAACACAGTTCCTCAATCTTTCCAACTTTCAGGTGATGTCATTGATTCAATGTTTATGTGATAAAATAAAGAACCTGATGAATTGGTATTGGTGGACAATAATTTCATTTGAATCTGAGCCCTGAATGGTTCAAAGATACAATTTTTTCAAATCATTTGAGAATTGCTAAAAATGATGAAAAACTGGATGATTTTGAAGTTTTCACAAAAACTATGATAAAATTGGATAAAATTGCGGATAACATTCACTTCTGTTTGAAGTCCAATAACGCCAGAATATCGCACTTAAAATGTATTTTTAAAGGGAGAATCAGATCCATTGGGAATGACAAAGTTGTAAGTTGTGTATAGATAGTTGACTTACCAATATATTCCTTACAATCTCAAACATAATATCACCCAAAAGAACATAATAAATGTTATCAAAGTGTGATATATGAAACTTATTTTTGATTTCATCAAAAAGTGTTTTTGAAGGACTTTTTGTTCGAAAAATTGTGATTTTATTTCAAACTAACCTTTAGAGGTCACACGTATCTTATTTGATAAGCGATAATTCACACTAATGCATAGCATTCATCCTCACATGTTTTTTGCCGAAAAATTAAGAAAATTGGTTCAGGATAAAGTGAGAAATGAACTCATGCATGAAAACATTTTAGTTTTCATAGAAACCGATGAGTACACTAATATATTCCTTTTAATCTGGTTAGACAATTTTGAAGATTATATAGCATATTTAGAAAAGATTGACATAGAATCTTTTTCAAAACGTTTTTGCCACCTGAGTGATGTCACGATGCAAAATATTTTAGTATGCTGAAACATTGAAGTGGCACATAAGATATGACATTTTATTTTTGAAATAGCGTGTCCTTTGTACTGTCTTTGTATTAAAAGATATTGTTTTTGCACTGTAGAGTGGAATATTTGACATTTTTGATGATTACAAATGTTCCACTTTTATTTGAAAAATGGCAGGAAATTTGAACATTTGAGAAATGAAAACCTGACAACTTTTTAAAAATCTGTAAAATAACTTTTTAAGTCATGTAAAGGAATGATAAAAACATATTTCCAAACTTTACATCTTAAAATTTTAAAGTTTAAATTCTCCCAAATAATAAAAATGTTAACCATTAAATAGAAAAATGAATGGCAGCCATTGTAAATCTTTAGTTTTTCTCAAATACAGTATTATATAGTACTTTAGCTACTTTTAGAAAATAGGCATGAAATGGGATGATATGAGCCCAAAATATTCTAAACTTGGAAAATTAAAACCTTTGTGAACAGTCAACATTTCATAAAGGCAGACTTGACACTATTTACATGTGTTTTCATTATAGTAATTCTGAGTGTTAAAGGGTTCCGATTAGCATCCCGTATAAAAACAATATGGCGGCTCCAGGCGAATCAACTGGATCAGTCCATTTTTAAGAAATAAGGGGAGTTCTGTAAAATCCAGTTTATTGAAATTGTCTTTGAGATAAAGTAATCCGTTTATAATGATTTTGAAAACGTTATCCAAAGAGTGATTGCGTTCAAAGAATACATGTACAACAGACAATATAAATCCTTGTATTAGAAACCGGTTTGTCTTGCTTTATTTCATTTGTAGGATATTTCATATGCCAAGCTGTGTGCTATTACGTTATGGGGAAATTTAGATGCCAATTTTCCTTATTATACACAAATAGAAGATCCTGAAACTTCACCCATAAATGTAGAATTGATTTGTCAAAATAAAAATCACCCTTTTATAAATGTGTGACGATCTATAATATACTTATGCTATATAACAGTTAGAGGTGTTGACACAACGACCTCGAACCTGTGAACCCTTGAGTATTATTCCGGGATCGGGCCTTTTATACTAAACGGTGAGCAACACCAGAAACGAGCGTTCGATTTGCTAAACGATATGCGTCACCCTTTAATGAGATTTAGATGTAGGCCTATTGGGCAATTACTAATTTTAACTTCTTTTATTAAAATTAACGATTCATTTTTTGTCCGGCGTGGGGGGGCAGTTTCAAATATGAATTTCGAAATACATTAAGATTCCGAATATATCTTTTACAACTAAGCCAACACTTTAGAGGAGGGTCGGAACGTGTTTCCCACTAACCAGAGCCTGACATACTGTCTCTGCACTAACAAATATAACTCTTTAAGTTTTCTTTGTTTTGTCATGAAAAATAGCATGCTAGTTGCCCCCTCCCCGCCAGACAAATCTTTAGATTCCAACCCGTGAACTAAGAATTCTATAATGCTCTAGGCATACAGTTTGTAAACATCTGGCTCCAATAACAACTCTTATTTCGTGACAAGAAGTTGCCATTGATTTTCGTGAGACTAGATTCGCGTACATAATTGCATTACCATGGCGAGTAGGGCAATTCCGAGTGATTTTGTTAAAAGTGTCCTGCAGAATGGTGTTGGAAGGCACATTTGTCAATTACAAAGACTTACTCTGAAGTTTTGCAAAGAATCGGGAACAAGTCGAGGCGTCAGGTATTCATGTGTTTGCCACAGTTTTCGATATTAATAATTTTCACATATTATCGCCCAGTAAAGTAATAAATCTTATTTTTTATGATAAAGCACTGATAGTGCCTAATGTATCACTTCTAGATTAGCTTAAATGAAGTTCATGAGCTATGAAGCCGCTAATGTATTCAGTGGTTCTGCTTTTAAATGTGTTATCGCTCACTATTTGTGAATAGAATTATACCTTCAAATCTCTGTCTTTAATTTGAGTTCATGTACTGTATCCCCATCTTTAAGTTTGTTTGATCATGTGACAATGGCATAAAAAGTCATGTGATCATTTTAAGTCAACAAACGGGTTGTTCGATATTGCAACTTCAAACTGATGGATTAATCCGGTTAATAGGTTAATCCGGTAGCCGCTATTTGCATTCGCAAATACAAGTTTTGTAACATCCTCCGTATTCTAAGCAAATTGCAAACTCATCATAACGCTCACAGATCCTTACTATCGTCCACTCATCCATCTGTCAACAATTTCAGACAAATTGATATCAGATAATTGATACATAAATCATAATTGATGATTGTTGATTAGTACAAGGGTATGTGTATATCCATAAAGTCTGTAAATCTGTAAACAAATCTAGTCTGGTTGGTCAACAACTAACCAAATGAAATTTGACCAAAATGCTGTCCCAGAGAAATCTATAAGCCAAGTAATCGCATATAAGAATGAAGAGTTTAGGATATTAGTCATAACGAGTTAACCTTCAAGGAGAACATTGTGTTAATGATTAAAACAACGGCTTTAATATATATTCATGTGAATTTTTGTTCCAGAGATTTTATAGAAAATCACCTGATTGATTTCACTCGCAGTAATCCTGGAATAGTTGTTTACCTGAAGCCAAGACGCCACAGAACACCATATCTCGTAGGGGAATATTGTAAGTAGAATATAAAATACATGTACATTATGTTTTCAACAATTTTCAACCTTCCATCATGTTAATGACATTTCGTATACTGTGCATCTATATACACATGCTTTTAGTATTCATTCATTTGATGTTGTCTATATTTTGAAGTCATAGCATTTGTTAATGCTTTGATAGAATAAAACTTGTCTAAATCAAGATACAAGTGTCTTTTCCATATTTCAATGCCAATTTTGAGAAAATTTGACAAAATTAAACTTAAGTCAGATATATGTTCCGTAATTTGAAAGTTTCAAGAAGAGTGAAACAACAGAACAAAAGTTAAAGCAAAATTAGCAATACTTATTGAACACCCTGTATAGTCAGATAGTGTATTGTAATAATTTATTTCATTGTTATTACTTTCAGTAAATACAGAGTCTGTGTATCTGAATGTGCACAAGAACGACCAAGAAGAAGTCTGTAAATGGGTGGAACATCTGCGCACAAGATCAGGGGAACCAATTGTGAGATTACGTAAAAAATGGTTCACCAACAACCCTAGTATTCAAGGCATTTGGACCCCATTTACTAATAAGGACACAAGATGGAATATCGCACAATTTCCTGAATTAGTTGAAGATGAACATAAGGCTGCTGAATATGAAAGTTCTGCTACTGAGGATATACTGGAAATGTTTAGACAAATGAAAAATGTTGAAGTGATTGAGGAAGGAACCTTAGAAAAGGATGTGCCAAAATAGATACTTTATTGCAGTTTTATTACATAATAAAGATTCTTAGTACTCAATCTGTTATTTCAACAAGCTTCACTCAAGATATAAAGTCTTATTAAGTATACTTGCCTGGTAATAACCATTCATTTGATAAACTCGCTGACTCATGAAGCAATCAACAACACAGGTTTATAAATTATATCATTTGATCTTTATTCACAAAAGATGAGACATCAAACAATGGAGTTATATGTTACAATGGTTAATATGTGAGACAGTTACATGATAGAGTCAGGGCCGTTTACCCTGTTTTCAACATCACTTAGAGCTTTGTGTTGCTTGAGAAGTCTTCGCCTGTTGAAATACTGTATTGTGAGACTGATGACCGTGACAAGGATCACCCAAGCGGCTAGAGAGCCACCTATACCATTCACTGTCTTCCCAATAGATGCTAGCATACTGAAGTGTTTTTCTGCAATCGCAAAACCAAAATTGTGTGATTTAAATCATTGAAACATTTTCTACTTTAGTTTATTAATCTACATGTATAGCCTGTTGCCTGTAGTTCATGGTATACAAAGCAATCTTATATTATCATAGTTCTGATTTATAGCTGAAACTGAAGGAATACATTCCTTAATGTGTACTATCGTCACCATGTATGTACAAATATACTGAACAAATTAAAGTTTTGCAAATCTATAAAAAAATCTTATTTTGATTGATTGACCAAGTTACATGTTAATTGCAACAGTCACAATTCAAATAGGATAATTCAAATGGAATAAAGAGTGAATAAAGAATAAAAAGTGTTAATCCAGCAAATTTATACCAATCAAAATAATCTTTTCATGAACCAAACATTAAAATATGAATTTGACTGCAAAACTATCATCATATTACACCAGTTACAGTATAATTAAAGATCAGGGTTCTCACCAGGAAATTTTTGGACCCCTTACTTTTCGCGGTATCGCGACTACTCCTCCCCCATGTGAGATCAGAAATATCCTATTAGTATTTATTTTTCAAAATTCTACTTAAGATTATCTTCCTATTTTAATCACAATATTAATTTCTAAAAGGCTTTTAACTTCATATTCCTTGTTCATATCCAGTTTTGTGTATTTTCTAAAAGCTATTAGACCCTGGAGCAGGAGGGTCTAAAGACATAAGACTCCAGAGAATCTCCGGAGTCTAAAAGCCTAGTGAGAACCCTGAAGATTCACTTGAAATATAGTAGATTTTACTGAAGTTACCTTCATTTGCCTGCAGTTTAGCCATTGGTGCAGGTGGACCAACAAAACCAGGTGGTCCTACTGGACCAGCTGCTCCTGGGGGCCCTGGGTTTCCTGGTATCCCTATTCCGCCTGGGGATCCAGTTATTCCTGGGGGACCTCCAAAACCAGGGGGACCATTTGCACCCTCGCCACCTGTAACATAAGTAAGTTCTACACACATTTGCAAACAAATAATATTTCAACAGGGAATATACGATATACAGTCATTGATCAACCATTCCTCGCTATATCAATGGGAGAATACACACTATGGTCAACCATTCCTTCCCAATATTCAGGAGGGAATGTACAATCATGGTTACCCAGTCCTCTTTATATCAATGCAAGAATGCTCACTATGGCCAACCATTCCTATACTTCTTGATATTCAGGAGGGAATGTACAATCATGGTCAGCCATTCCTCGCTATATCAATGATGGAATGCACACTATGGTCAACCATTCCTTCCCAATATTCAGGAGGGAATGTACAATCATGGTTACCCAGTCCTCTTTATATCAATGCAAGAATGCTCACTATGGCCAACCATTCCTATACTTCTTGATATTCAGGAAGGAATGTACAATCATGGTCAGCCAAAGGCCCATTCCTCGCTATATCAACGATGGAATGCACACTATGGTCAACCATTACTTCCCAATATTCAGGAGGGAATGTTCACTCATGGGCAGCCATTTCTCTTTATCAATGCGAGAATGGACACTATGGTCAACCATTCCTTCCCGATATCCAAGAGTGAACACACAATCATGGTCACCATTCTTCCCCATATTCAGGTAGAATGTATCCACTCCTCTCCCATTTTCTCTCTTATCATCTTGCCGAGAGAAGAAATATAATTTTTATGTCACCAGCACAAGTGTATATTGTATAGTCTTCAACTTTATTAGAGTATTTGTCTATGATTATCCCAACTTAAATTTCGGTAACAAGAATCTCAACTAAAACCTCAGCCTGAAGTACAATACTACACAGAGATCACTATTTATATTAATGCGGTCGTCAACTTGAAACATTCTCTCAACATGTATGAGGATATCACCATTGATACGTCCATACCTGGGGGTCCAATTATACCAGGAGGACCGGAGGGTCCATTCAGGCCAGGCCCACCAGCTGGCCCCTGAATTCCTTTCATCCCACTAGGCCCTCTGAATCCTATAGATCCCTTGTCTCCTGGGGAACCAGGGAATCCATTTATCCCTGAAAATATTATTTTTTAGTTTTTGCTAGAAATTCGTCACATGATACTTACCCTGCGTGTGGAGTCTAGTATGAACTAGTTTAGTTATGAAGACGAAACTCTCTTTTAAGAAGTGAAGTCGAACTAATGCAAAGGGTTCATGATACTTACAGTTCCCGCTGAATGAACAACAAGGATAACACATTAAAATAAACTACGAGCAAATAATACTGATTCAATATAGTTATATCATGGGCTTTCAACTCTAATTGAAACCCCATGGTTATATTAATTTACAAGCTTGAATTAATGTTGGTTTTATTCAATGGGAAATTTATTCCCCTTATGATCTCTGATACCTAAAAATATCATATTGTCCCCCTGGATAAAACGTATCCTCTCTCATTAAATAAATTATAATCATTATGCACTATACCTACCGTCTATGCCTTTATTACCCGGAGGTCCACTGGGTCCATTAGGTCCAACTCCCCCAGGTGGCCCTGAGTAAAAAAATATTATCACAATTTTTAGTTCAACAGGTTTAGTAGCCAAGTAATATACATTCACAGCGAATGACTTCATAAAATAGTAATGATATATTCGATCGGTATTAGATCAACATTATATGATTCAAGTCTTCTGAATTTAAAATGTGCCGGCTTACCAGGGGGTCCAATGTTTCCTGCAGGACCTTTGTCACCTGGCTCACCCCGCGAGCCGAAACCTCCAGGTGGTCCTGGGAAGCCCTTCATACCAATACTCCCCGGAGGACCTCTTGTACCAATGGGACCAATCCCACCTAAAATGTCAAGTCAGTACCAAATCATAGATGACAAATAACCAAAACGTAAAATGGACGAAAATCATGGAATCATGCCCAGATCTTTGAACCTATTATACGAATGATTCAACTCCCTATATTCTTCATGTAAGTACGTTTAGTGCAATTACAAACTCATTCGTAATCATTTGAAAAAAGTACGAACGGATCATTCGGGATGAATTATATTCATAGAATCGTATCTAGGTTTTCTAAAATGATATTTGTGACAATAATATATATGTAGGATGGAAAGTAAATCCGGGGAAATTGTAGCAAAACTAATTGAATATATCTTACCCGGTCCTACCTCTCCCTTGTCACCTTTCTGCCCTGGTGAACCCCCATATCCCTTAGCACCCAGCGTCCCCGGGGGTCCTGCGGTTCCAGGTGGACCCATTGTACCTAAAGGCATCAACATAATTAATGCAAAAACTTTGTCGATGTGATCAATTACCGTCAATGGTTGGTCATGTCGATTACCGTGAACGATTGGTCATGTTGATGGCAATTACCGTCAACGGTCGGTCATGTCGATTACCGTGAACGATTGGTCATGTTGATGGCAATTACCGTCAACGGTTGGTCATGTCGATTAGCGTAAACGGTTGGTCATGTTGATGGCAATTGCCATCAACGGTTGGTCATGTCGATTAGCGTAAACGGTTGGTCATACCCATTGCCGTCAATGGTTGGTAATGTTTATTACCATCAACGTTTGGCCATGTTGATTACCACCAACGGCTGGTCATGTTGATTACCATCAACGGTTGGTCATGTTTATTACCATCAACGGTTGGCCATGTTGATAAACATCAACGGTTGGCCATATTGATTACCATCAACGGTTGGTCATGCTGATTAACATCAACGGTTGGCCATGTAGATAATCATCAATGGTTGGCCATGCCGACCACTGTCAACGGTTGGTCACCTCGAGGGTCAAAGCCTATGCTAGACACTAGGCTTTAATGCTATTTTGACACGGTAGCTGGATTTTAATCGTGTACACTATTATTCTCAGTATCAACGGATAAAGCTCTCGTCTCAAATTAAACTGGGAAAGGGTATTTCCCGACACAATATTACCTGAAACTCCTTTATCTCCCTTCTGTCCGGGGGATCCTCTGTAGCCTTTAGGACCTCCAGTACCAGGCGGACCACTGTTTCCAGGGGGACCCCTCAATCCTGAAATACACGAACACGTGCTTTCTCAATGGGAACTTGTTGAAATGAAATGCCCGCCTCTATAATATCTTGCTGTAGAATACAAAGGAAAGAAATATTTGTAAGCAGAGTGATAATCTTCATGCAAATAAGATTGATGAGGTACGTACCATCTGTTCCCTTCTCTCCTTTCTGTCCAGATGAACCTCTGTATCCTTTAGGACCTCCAGTTCCTGGTGGACCACCGTCACCAGGGGGACCTCTGAAACCCGTAGGGCCAATTGATCCTGGTGGACCACCTGTACCCGGCGGACCACCTGAGCCAGGTGGACCGCCTGTCCCTGGAGGGCCAGCTGTACCCGGGGGACCTACTGTACCAGGTGGTCCCCCACTACCTAAAATCATCAAATAATTACTATAGTATGTCTTGTAATTTGTATATAAATGAATAACCTCTCGGATCGATACAGTAGTGGCTGGTTTATGGTCAAAATATAAATACAATTTTCTCGGAGGCTTGCAAGCTACTGTGTACCTCATCTGAATGAGGGATATTCAGGGAATGAGAGTAACAATCGTACATGTATGCCAGTGACATTTATCCGTAAAACAAAATGTTCCACTAATTACTAAATGTATGCACTTTCCTCGTGACTACATACCTGGCGGACCACCTGTTCCCGGTGGACCACCTGTTCCTGGTGGACCGCCTGATCCTGGTGGACCTCCTGTTCCTGGTGGACCTACAGTTCCTGGAGGACCCCCTGTGCCTAAATAAAGATCCTTGTTGTTACTCTGTTTTAAAACCTTCAGACCGTATAGAGCATATACAGTCCAAGATAAACTTTATCAATAAAATGAAAAGAAATTCTGCATGTTCATCATTTAGGTCAATAGATAATCTGTTATAAAAGACTAATTAGTGAAACCCATACCTGGCGGGCCTCCCGTTCCTGGTGGTCCTCCTGTTCCCGGTGGGCCTCCAGTTCCCGGTGGGCCACCCGTGCCTGGTGGACCTCCTGTGCCTGGAGGTCCGATGGTTCCAGGTGGACCCCCTGTACCTGGCGGGCCTCCTGTCCCTGGTGGTCCTCCTGTACCTGGTGGACCTCCTGTTCCTGGTGGGCCACCCGTTCCAGGGGGACCTCCTGTTCCCGGTGGACCAATTGTTCCCGGGGGACCTCCGGTTCCTGGTGGACCTCCTGTTCCTGGAGGACCTCCGGTTCCTGGAGGGCCTCCTGTGCCTGGTGGACCCCCTGTACCAGGTGGACCTCCAGTTCCTGAAAACAAAGACCACAATATGTACTAGTGTATGATTTTATACAGGGTGAGAACAAAATTGGACACTCATACATATAGCGTGTATGAACCAAATATCTAAACAGATATAGATCACCAAACTTTATTATTAGTATAGGATAGTAGAATGTCTTCTTTTTTTATATAAATAATATTTTAGTGTTTATTCAACTCGAAAAAGCCTGGAAATCTATGGTTTTATGCAAAAACGGTAAGTACCCCATTGTGAAGACTACCGATCAGTCAAGGATACAATCATTGAAAGTACTGTTGAGCAGAATCAATACAATTTTGCCAGTTGACAGAGTAGACATGTTAACAATTGATTTGCTTCTATAAGATGTGGTGTAGCACCAATCAGAATAGAAACTGGTCGTTATGAAAGGCTGCCAGTTGATGAAAGGGTGTGCCCTTTATGTTATAATGCAGTTGAAAATGAAAAACATGTAATTTTGAACTGTTCTCGTTATGAAGACATCCGTTTAGAATTGTATGCAAACGTTTCTACTATTGTAACTGGTTTATGAATTTAGATGAAGAGAGTAAATTTCAGTGTTTAATGTCTAATGATAGAATTTGTCTCTTCACTGCAAAAGCCTGTGACCGGATGCTTAAACGACGGGAACATTTTATTTACAAAGCATGATTTATATGTTTTTACAAAAGTGTCTTATAGGCCCATAGGGGGCCTGGGGTGATTTTAACAGTGTTCTATTGTTTTATATATGTAATTGTATTTTAACTCATGACACTATAATAAGATTAAAATAAAATAAATATAGTACGAAGAATATATAGAGATTATCCTATATGAGTTTCAGGATATTGGGATTATCCCGAGGCTAATATTTATATTTGCCCGAGGGCCGCAGGTCCCGAGGGAAAATATGTTATATTGACCAAGGGATAATCCCAATATCCGGAACCGACTATAGGATAATATGTTTATCCCATACCAATCTTTGTCATCTGGTTCCCATTGTTAAATCGTGGAAATATTTTAGAAAATTCATGTCCAGTTTTGTTTTCTTGGCCGTGGGTGGATTTTCCTGTTCTCTCAAATATTCCCATATTTATTTTCTCGAATTTTTGATTGATTAAGTGGATGCTCCTTCCCTTTTTAAACCATCAAACAGCGCGATTGTCTGTGTTTTCTCCATTGTCGTTTACAGTCATTACGCGAACGTTACAAATTATGAACAAATATGCGAGCGACGATTATGACGTAGCGGGCAGATATAGTATCTGCCCGCTCGGAGCGGGACGTAAAGCTTTATCTGCCCGCTGATGAAAATATAAGTTTTTACAAACTGGCTTTATGTACCTGAAACACGTCCAAGTATGGGATAAAATCATTTATCCTGGCCTATGCATGAATATCACGTGAAAATATATTTGATAAGTGGACCAAAATATTTTAGCTAAAAATACCCAAACCATCGAATATTGCTTCTTATATCATGTAAAAGTTATATTCGATGGTTTAAAAAGTGATGATTTCAAAGCTTCATATTTTTCAGATTTTATTAAGATTCTTTTTTTCTTCAATTCTTTTTCAAAAGTACCGGTCAACAGTACGCGGTAGTGGGCAATCAATTTATTAAGATATCAATCTACTCATTTTCAAATCAACTTTACCTGGTGGTCCCGACGTCCCTGGTGGACCTCCTGTCCCTGGCGGACCTCCAGTTCCTGGTGGACCTCCTGTTCCTGGCGGACCACCTGTTCCCGGCGGACCACCGGTTCCTGGTGGACCCCCTGTACCTGGTGGGCCTCCGGTGCCGTGTGGGCCTCCCGTTCCCGGAGGACCTCCTGTACCAGGTGGTCCTCCTGTCCCCGGTGGACCCCCTGTGCCTGGTGGACCTCCGGTACCAGGTGGGCCTCCTGTCCCAGGTGGACCTCCAGTTCCTGGTGGACCTCCTGTTCCTGGTGGACCTCCAGTTCCTGGTGGACCCCCTGTTCCTGGGGGTCCCCCTGTGCCAGGTGGTCCACCTGTTCCTGGTGGACCCCCTGTTCCAGGAGGGCCTACTGTTCCTGGTGGACCTCCTGTCCCTGGTGGACCTCCTGTTCCTGGTGGACCGCCTGTTCCTGGTGGACCTCCCGTTCCAGGTGGACCTCCTGTACCCGGTGGGCCACTTGTACCTGGTGGACCTCCTGTTCCGGGGGGACCCCCAGTTCCTGGTGGACCTCCTGTTCCGGGTGGACCTCCTGTCCCTGGTGGACCTCCAGTTCCAGGAGGACCTGTCGTCCCCGGTGGACCACCTGTACCGGGTGGACCAGCTGTTCCCGGTGGACCTCCAGATCCTGGCGGTCCTGCTGTACCAGGTGGACCAACCGTACCCGGCGGACCTCCAGTTGCTGGTGGACCACTGTCACCAGGAGGCCCAATTAAGCCAGGTGGTCCAGATGTTCCTTGTGGACCACCTGTTCCTTGTGGTCCAGCTGCACCTCCAGTGCCTGGTGGTCCTGGATCACCTGGCGGTCCCTGAGGTCCAGCGCCTCCAGGTGGACCTTCTGTGCCCTGTGGCCCGGCCTGTCCTGTAGGGCCACCTGTGCCCGGAGGACCTCCAGTTCCAGCAAATATGAATACAACGTTAGGATCAATCTCTGCAATCAGATTAATGCATAGTGTTAAAGACAATCGTATATCAAAAAAGGCTGCATTTCAAGTTGTAACTACAAGTTCCGCCCTCGGGGTAAATAATACGATGACTATAGGCCTTCACATAGATACCCCTCTGAGTCCATCGCCTTGGGCAGTTTCTATTTCGGATTTCACGTTGGCTTTAATTTTCATTTTGAGACTAGGAAGTGAGTTAGTGTAAAGATGCGCAATTAAGATATGGATGTAATTCAGGCAGTTATCGGAAAAATTTTGTTGTACCATTAACTTACCCAAAGCGCATGCATATCCATCTAGGGGAGTGAATGCATTAGTTTTGGTCCAACCAGATCCTGTTGCATAAACTCCACTGAAACTGCTGGCGGTTAGTGCTGCAAAATATAGTTATTTCAGTGGCGTAGCCAGGATTTGTCAGGGGGGGGTTCTAATATGTTCTGCCAAATTTGCCAAATGTGCTTAAATTTTGCCAAATTTGCTTAAGTTTTGCCAAATTTGCTTAAATTTTGCCAAATTTGCTTAAATTTTGCCAAATTTGCTTAAATTTTGCCAAATTTGCTTAAATTTTGTCAAATTTGTTTCAATTTTACCAAATTTGCTTAAATCTTGCCAAATTTGCTTAAATTTTACCAAATTTGATGAAATTTTGCCAAATTTGCTTAAATGTTGCCAAATTTTCTGAAATTCTGCCAAATTTGCTGTATGTTTGCCAATTTACCTCAATTTTGCCAAATTTGCTTAAATTTTGCAACGTTTTCTTAATTTTGGTCTAATTTAATTAATTTTTGACAAGTTTCTAAAATTTTACTTAAATTTTGCCAATTTTACTTAAATGCCAATAATGGATACATATTGCCAAAGTTTCATTGTTGCCAAATTTTCATAATTTTTGCCAATTCGCTAAAATTTTAAATTTTGCCAAATTTTCTCAAGTTTACCAAATCTCAAACAATTGCAAAAGCAAAAAATAGGTAAAATATCCCAAGACCAAGTTCATTTATTTGGGCAGATTTTTTAAAATTTGGACCCAACATACCACAAATTCACAGAAATTAGCAGACATAGAACCCCCTCCCCCCAATTTTCAATCGCTTGTACAACGAGCTTTATAAATAAATAGGAGCCAAAAATCTCTGTGTGAGTGATCTTTATACTTGCTCTCTGATCTAACTACAGCATGAAAAATAAGAAAGTTGTAAGTAAGAATTTTCTAGCGTTCACAATTTTGGTGCATCACGGCCCAGTGTCACTAAACATTCACATGTTCAAAATTCTCTGCTGATTTATATCAAAAATTAGACCATTTTGACGTTATGTACAACAATCAGATAATTTCAACTTGGTAGGTATGCTTTATGTGTGCATTTGAATTCATTTTGAAGATATTACTTCAGTATTTCAGGCCTAAAGTGCAAAGAGCATACCTATTATCGCCCATTATTGATTAGAAGTTTTTTGTTTTTCTGTTTTTTTTAAAATCTTATTTACTCAAAATGAAGCTATAAATCTCACATATTTCCATCTTGACATATAACTCAATTGTCTTTGGGTAATCAAAAACGATAAATTATTGAAAGACTGCAAAAATTTTACTCAAAGTTTGGAGGTTTGCATAATTGCCAGAAAGGGTGGGTTCGAATTTTTTTTAGGCAAGATTTGGGGGGGGGGTTCGCACGAGCCCTACGAACCCCCTCTCCCTACGGCCCTGTATTTGTTAACAGTTAGAAAAACTAGACTCTTCAATGAAGGTTTTTTAAATTAACTTATTTCTATAAAATGCTTCCTGTCCTTATCCCAAAGGTACAGTCTTATTGGGATCCCTTTAAGGACTTAGAAAATTTCATGAAAACGCAATTATAGATTTTTGAAAAAAAAAGTTCAAAATATTCTTGACTGATATGTGTATTTTCATTTTCTTGAAAAATATAGTGAATATTTTTGTAAAAAATATGATTTAGTGTTCTTTAGAAAATCATGTAGTAAATAAAGCCTTAAAAACAATTTTCAAGTATTATTTAAGTGAATTATGCATAATGTAATCCCTACTGAAATGTATCCAGCAGATTTATGTGTGATGATGCATGATATGTGGCATAAAAAGGGATTGTAATCCAGACTCCCATTATTTACCCTTCTCAATTGAATAGGACCATGGTTCATTGAATGGACAAATTCACTGTGAGCTATGTTCTCCACCACTTTTATTTTTAGCTGTGCAGATCCAAAATTGAATTAGGCAACATTTTCAGTTGCAAAAAAAGTGGTGGAGAACATAGCTCATATAGTTTTTTGGACTTCTTTGGTATTTTTGCTAAAACATTTCTGCCACCATTTTGGATACAATGCCACCTATTTGGGAGTTGCCAGACATGAAGGCTATCAATTTTCAAAAGATTTCCTAGGTGACTCTCTCCATGACGCCAAAGACTTGCCTTTATCCGAGGATAGTGATACTGACATGGAATAGTTTTAAAATATCTGTTAGGGGTTGGGTCAAAATATTGATGTCAATTGAAAAACGTAATTAATTTCATTAGGGGGAGGGGGGCAAACACTGATTTCATTAGGTGACGGACATCGATTTTCGTTTTCCTAGGAATTCAGTCAATTTTCAAGATTTTGGGTTTTGTTACAAGGGGGAGGGGGAGGGGGGTTTAGACCTAAATTAATTAATTACGTTTTTTTGATGGACATCAATATTTTGACCCGACCCCTTAGAAACTGTACATTCAACTTTCAGCAACTGTACCTATTGGTACCCATAGAAATTCAATAAATACTAATATGTTGTATCAAAGCTTTAGAATATTAATATCAAATATATTACAATACAATATTTTGACAGTATACCAGTACATGTATTTTGACTAAAAAAATTTCAAACATTTTCCTTGTGTTAAGTACTGTATGGTGTAAATACTACTCAAAGGCTATTAAGGTCTCATGGAAGTTAACAGGAAATGACAAAACAGGAAGTGACAATTTTTTTGGCATTTTAGACATTTTTTGAACAAAGATAACAGAGTTCACTTTTGACCTCCAGTCAATTCAACTAGTTCCAGATACCATTTACAGGTCCAGGATCACAATGTTTATGGTCAGAATGACCCTAAATATCATGAAATAACCTTTTCAGCCCTATGAAAATGTGACTGAAAAATAGCTAAAAGAAGGAGGTAGGAAAGGTCACTGAACAGAATCTTTTGAATTTTTCAGAAAATGTGCCCAATATATTGCTCTAAATGGTACAATCTTTGAAAATTTGATATCATTCATAGAAAGAGAAAAAAAATGAAAAAACTGATTTGAAAAGCGATCTATTTTCCTTTTTATGACCGCCATTTTTGTTTACGACAATTTTCTAAAACTTCAAAGATTGTATCAGTTAGAGCATTATATTGGGCACATTTTCTGAAAAATTCAAAAGATTCTGTTCAGTGACCTTCCCTAGCTCCTACTTTTAGCTTTTTTTCAGTCACACTTTCAAGGGACTAAAAAGGTTATTTCATCATGTTTAGGGTCATTCTGACCATACACATTGTGATCCTGGTCATGTAAATGATATGTGGAAACAGTTAAATTGACTGGAGGTCAAACCAGAACTCTGTTATCTTTGTTCAAAAAATGTCTAAAAATGCCCAAAAAATTGTCACTTCCTGTTTTGTCATTTCCTGTTAACTTCCATGAGACCTTAAGATACCTATTCCCCATGGAAATAAATGTAAAGTCAGGTTTAACTCATGATTTTATTTTATTTAGGTATGTTTAAGGAAATTACTTGATCATTAGATTAATTTTACCAACTTGACCTTTTTGCACCCAGTGACCTCATTGGCTCATCATTCGACCTAATTTTGAAATATTATTGTGAAGTACATTTGTGAGGAAACTCTAGATGCAAAATAAGTTTGATGCTGATGGGGGCAGAAAAGGGGGTCTGTTGGGACGGTACTTTCAACTGTCGAGGAAGAATTAAGGATAACTCATTTCATGAATCGTCTTCAATAAAGTATTTTCAATGTCGATTCAAGATGATTTCCACGCTTAGTCTAGCTACAAGCCCTTTTGACCCCTACACTACACACCTTCCCACCTACACTGTGTGTAGTCAAGTAGAGTGAGGGGGAGCACAGGGGCTTGTAGCTAGACTATTCTGCACTGAATTAGTCCTGAAATCAATGTTGAATCAACATTGATTTTGGCTGATTCAATGCCCACAGGCGCTGATAAGCATAGAAAACGTATCGCCATCCACGCAAGACTATTCAATCATACATACATGCACCATCTAGGCGACTGAACACGGTTGCGTCGAATGGGGCATTGTTAGGATACCAATTGTAAGTGGGCATCGCAACACTGTTCAAACCAATCCAGAGTCTTGATGTGTCTGACAAACCTGCTGCCTGTGTGGGTAAATAAAATTATACTTGTACTTGGACGTTGGGCTTTCGCTTTTCATTATATTGACAATACTTCTATAATAAACTTTAGGATTTAAGAACATCAAACCAAAATTAAGACGTGGGACTAACCACGCCCAATTTGCATGGTAGGGCTACAGTACAATGTAACGAGCGTATGGCAAAAATGTTTTAACCAATTTTACTAAATAGGTAATAATTCAACCGGCAAACTTTGCAAGGGTACACGATTTTTGTATGTTACTTTAAAATTACAATCTTAACATATTTAGTGACTTAACATGATCAGACAAGAAGGGTCAAACATTTCCCAGGGACGAACGATTTACTTACAGTTCGAGCTGTTTCGAATGCAGCTTCTTCTTCCGCACTAAAAATTGAAGCTGGATAGGCCGTCGAATCCAGTGCTGTACAATCAATGAGTGCATCCAGCAATGTAGCAGTAGGATTTGAGACCACGAAGAAACATTTCAGTCCTTCTTTGGTCCAACCGGCTGGGCAATCAAGTCCTTGAAAAATCGTATAGTAAATAAAAACGTCACGATTGTACAGTTGATGATCCCCTTGGAGACCATTAGAAATATGAATATGCATGGTTTTTAAAGTGTGCTTTAAACCTAGGATCAGAGGTATAAAAGTTCCCATGATTGATATAATGCAACACAACTGAGAACGTGTACGTGTGATAACGATAAATTAACTGTAAAGGGTCAACGGAGACCAGATTTTACGGCACATTTTATTGTACGTACGTACGTACATTCCACGTAATGCCTTTTTTCTAAAAGGTCCAATGGTTCTGGCTGGAAACATTTTATGATAATGACCAGTAATGTTCGTGTTCTTGAAAAGGGATCCAATTTTAATGATTTTGGTATTTCGCATCTTCAATAACTGCCATATTTGATAAAATATCTCACTTAATTTATTTTTCAGCAAATGATAAAGCTAGAATTGGGTTTGAAACATTGGCATGCTTTTTAAAAAGATATAAATTTTACATTCTATTCTTTGCTACCACTTAACTGTCACCTGTGTGGATATGAGATTTACGACTGAAGGAAAAATACCTTTACCACATATTTATTACGATCTTTGTACAATGCTGCACTATTCAGATTTTAATCTCTAAGGAGAGAGATGCGATGAAAAATCAAAATATTTAGTTTATTTTAATCTAGGAATTTTGGAAACCCAATTCATGTTGATTTTAACGTAGACTTATGGAAATGGTCAACTGATATAACACGACATCTAAAATAACACAAAAGTATTAAAAGATATAATTTGACTTACTCTGAGTTTGAGATTTGACCAACGGCAACAAGCAGATGACAAATATACACCATGCGATATTATTTAAACGCAGCATGTCAGTCGATTTAGAACGCCGGTCTCCCAATTCTAGATTCCGCAGTCCAAATTACCCGATATTTGGTACATTTTCCAGCCTGGTGGTAAAAGAGTAGATATATTGCTTCCAAAATGGTCAACATTTAATTGAGATATCCATGTTATGTAACGAAATTATATCCGAGTATATTGTATTCCAAGTTCCTACCGCTAGCTTTAAAAACTATTTAAAAACTTTACGATGAAGAGAAATGAAATAACCGTTACCTCATGGGAACACGATTCCAATAAGAGATCATTTATCAATTATTTATTCCGGTCATTCAACTAGAATTTTCCACATTCTAGGGGCACTATAAAAGTTTTATTGGTATACACATGTCATATTTTACTCTGAGAATACACCCAGCGGTTATATTTTAATGTTAATTTCATTAATTGATCGTCATCATTTAAATCATCATAAATATAGTAATGGCTGCAAAAAGCTAAAATGAAAGCTTACCGAGAGAAAAAGACTTTCTAATGGGCCCGACATACTACATTTTTGCAATGTCAGTTTGACTATCCATTAAAATGGTATAAAATCTTACATAACATCATATGTACTTCAAATTTGTATTTCATACATGTCCTGTTTTTGACATTTATGGTTATGATACTAAGACTAATTTCAATATTTCTCAAAACTTCATATCGCGGTGAGTTCATGTTTTGAAAAATGGAAGAATTCAGTTGTGTTGTCAGCAAAATTCAGTGGAATGGTAACATTCAGCTTGTTAGCTCCCAATGCAGCTGCCCCAATGGCTCCAGACACATTCAACTTGACCAGGGTAAACTCTGGGAGTTTTACGTCTTCTCGGGATTGTATTCCTTCGAGAAATCCTGAAACAAAACATTTTACCATGCATTGTCAATTTAACTGCAAGATATTTTTATCTGTCATCTTAAGAGTTTCAATTGGGCTTATCCTGAGTAGAACAGCGGAATTATTCATAATTGGGTTCTGCATTATTCCGAGACTCTCCATTATTCCGAGATGGTGAGGTCGGTGAAATTAATGATAATTCATAATTGCTGACCAAATTGTCCTAGGATTAGGATCCCAAAACTGTAGCCTACTGGGATCGGGATAGAAAGAATAAGGCAGATCTTCTACATCCGGTTCTTACTGACGAGGATGAGATTTCGCAAAATTCGTCGAGTGATCGAGGTTCCCACTTACCATCCTTGAGCAGCTGCCAGCTTTTCCATACGGAACCTACACACACGATGTGCAGCCCTCCATTCTGTGACAGCAAACCCTATGAAAAATTAAAAAGCCCAAAAATCACAAAGACCATAATGATGACCAAACACTCACTAAAAAGTTCACGAAATTGCAAATTACCAGAAATCTACAAGGGATTTTTTAATGATTTGTTTTGAATTCAATGGCACAATGTAGATCATGTGGTTAATACTGCTTGACCGCATTCAGATCATAAATGTGCGTGCTTGCTTCGAATAAAATGGCAAGAATAGCATCCAATGTTCCCGATATCTGTTTAGGTTGAGAATCTAGTATTTTGGGATGTGGGAGTGGAGGACTAACTACCTTGTCTACTTTTGGTAAGACTGCCAGAACATGGAGGGCAAGATGGCGTCCGGCTTCTTTGAAAACCAATTGACACAATTTGTCATCGTTCAAAGCCACTAAAATCAGAAATATGGACATACTTTTGTTACGCTAGTTATTTAGTGCATTTTCTGACTATGATAAAGGTTTTTCTGGAAATGGATCGGAGTCGTACACGACCCAAGTATTGGCGGTATATTGATCATATCTACATTTTGATTTTAGAATATCTTACAGTTTACAAATGCTCTACATAGTATTTGTTAAGTTTCGGTGGCAATGGGCATACCCTGCGTGCAGAGTCTAGTTAAACTACAGACGAAGTTCTCTTTTAAGAAGTGAAGTCAAACGAATGCAAAGGGTACAATGGGCATTGGTCCAACAAGGCCAACAGCAATGCATCATTGTGACATTGTCATTATTAAACCGTGCAAAGTAAGCTTAATATTATTTTAAAACGATCTTACAGTTCGCACATGCTTCACAAAGACTGGCAAAATATGCTTTATTGAAGTTTGGGTAACAGTGGTCCAACATCAAAACATCATTGCGCATTCTGACACTGTCATTATCAATCTGCAAAATAATAAAGGCCTTAAGGCATATGAGTTAGCAATTAGTCTACTTCACCAAAAGTGGGGAGGTGTGTAGCGGAAGGGCTTGTAGCTGGACTATGTAACAGTGGTGGTAGTGAAGATGAAACTACATTGAAAAAATCAACGAATAATGTTTCATAAACATTCTTGGTTTTTCAACCTATATTCATTTTTAGTGTGCTGATTATTTTGTGGTTCAGATTTTCCACTTTCGGAGCAAGACGTACGAGGTCCTCAACTGCATGGTACATAAGCATATAACGTGTATTTTATAAGTGTTAAAGTTAGTGTAAACATTTCCACGAATTGAAGTACTCACATTCTGACAAAAGTGTTTCCTCACAAGAGGACGAACAGCACTTATATCACATTGTTTCTTTTCCGTTTCGTACTCTTCTGTTCCAGGTATGAAGTTCTCTTCCCAATTGGCCACTGCCTTGACTACTTCATGAACAATCCAGTAAGCTAAACAAATAAATATACAATTTATATATTTAAATACTATTTAGGTATATGTACACTCCCCTCCATAAGTTTGGCAACCTTAGCTCCCCAATTAAAGCCTCTTTACCTTTGAATTTTTATTTACTTAACCTGTCATGAAAATACTTATTCTATTGATAGAAACGTAATTTGACTTTATTTCCAATACCTCCAAATTTTCTCAATTTTTTTCCTCAATTACAATAGTCGAAAATTGATGATAAATTTGATGAATTTTTGAAATCAGGATATGACTATAATATAACAAACATAACGTACCACTACCCTCGTCTCCGAGCAAATGGCCAAGACCCCCACACGTGGCGTATGTTCCATCGGGATTTACAATATTACAGTTAGACCCAGTACCTGCCACTAACACAACTCCTCCTTAAAAAATAACAAAGGTGTATTGTTTTTAGAGAGAATGAGCCAAGTATCCAGTGGGTCATCTGTTAAATCTCCTGCAATTATCCAATTTGGTCCATCTGGGCATTCTTGACATTCTTGACAAACAATGAAAAGAAAAAGATGTTAGGAGCATCAAAAGGGTCGTCATCTTATTACTTGGCAAATCCAGGTGTATAAACCTTTCCTGTGACCTTGACCTTAATTTGTGTAAGTTCAGGGCCACAAGAAAGGACATTGATCTTGTATATGGATGACTTTGATATTCACCTTTGCCTCGCAATTGAACAGCTCTTTGCTGGAAGAACAAGAGGTCGTATTTAACATTTCGACGTTAAAATAATTGTGAACTTGCAAGACAGCAATATAATAGAAATTCCTTGTTGATCTGCCTCGTGACCTTGCAACATTGATGGCATTGACCTAATGTACGACCTTGGACGTAACCATTTACACATTGAATAAACACGTATTCCTATTTTGTACCCGAACCCAAAGCATATAGAAAGTTCATCTCAATTTTGATTGAGCGGTTACAGTACTGAATGGAACTCCGTCTCTTACCACGAGGAAATGCTGTAGCAATTGGACCAATTGTATCAGTACAAACAAAGGCAGAGGATGTATCTTCTGGATGTAACTCAAGTAGACCTTTCACTATTCTCGCCTTTACATCTTCTTGCCAGTTCCATACACCACATAGCGCCATGCCCTGAAGAGGCGGAACAAATACAGGTAACTGCCTCGTGTAGTATATGCCATTGCCATAATAGCCCCTTTAACAATCTCAAGATCGAATTGGTCTTATTCATCAAAATGGACTGATATTGCATATTGATACTTTCTATATGATCTTTGATTTTCTCTGGTTTTATTATTTCACATTTGAGTGTCACTTTGTTAAAAGAGAAGTCATAAAATAATAGTTGTAATTGCGAAATATTTGACCACTATATTCTTTCATACACCCATGCCATATACATGTACATACTAACTTACCAAAGATAACAATGCAGTTTTTGATTCAATGCCCGCCCTACGCTTGGCATCTACCACCAAGTTGTGTAGAATAGCTATGCTTTTCGCGTGCCCTTCAATCTGCATAATAACAATAATTGCTTTGATTATTACATTTTGTACATCTGATATGAACAATTTTGGAAAAAGTGACAATTAAATGGAATTCTACTGTGTACATAACAAAGGCAAAAAGGAAACTTACATAGTAGTTCATACCAGGACCAGGGTGTTTTGATACCAATGTACCATCCAGTTTTAATATCACAACTGTAGAACTTGTCCCTCCTCTGTCAAAGTGACATAGTAAAATATGAATGCTCAGTGGCTGGGAAAATTGTTATCAAAATATATCCAAGCTGCCGACAAATGCATTTCATAAATAACCCTTTATACGATTATACTGATATTGTCTTGGGGCGATCGACATCCTACGTGGAAGAAAATACAGGGTGGGCCATAGTCATATTTGGCACAATATATTAACTTTTGTTCAGTGTTCTTTCATAAGTTTCATTGGTCTATGTCCATTGGTCACGATTTTATTGCCATTTTACAAAACGTGCTCCAAAAACGTGTCTTGTAAAATGGCCATAAAATCGTTCCCATTTGGAATGCAGTATCACTTACGCTTCAATCCCGCCAAAATATTGTGTTGTCATCCTCAATCAAACCAATCACTTTTCCACATATAAGAACAATTGTGCTCGGCCTATATACAGGATGTACATGTAGTCCTATATATGTTTATTTCAATAAAATAGCTGTAACGCAAGTCTCATGAGGCTCACAAATAAACATTTAGCAAATATTTTATCAAGAATTAGATGACTTCTTGTCCATACAATACCATGTTATTTGGTACTAAAGAAAACACTTCTGCCATCAAAGGACATGGTGCACTTCTAGTGTTTAATATGCAATCCTTTAAGGTTCACAGCAAAATTAGCACATGCATTAATAATAAATGTCCTGGCTACTACAGGTATATATGCATTTACATGTATATGTACACTTACAAGTATTCTATAAGATATCTCACTTTACTAACCTTAAAGCTGATAAGAGCACATACAATACAGTGACTATAAATTGAATTCTTGAATTGTTTTCCATCATGAAAATTACAGAAAAGTCATAAACATGCAGATCTACGGTGTTTTAAAGTGAACACTTCGGGATTGGTGGTAACACGATTAATAATTCTTAACCCTCATTCACACTTTTGCTCTACGGCGGCTATATCCTCACAAAATCAATATAGAAAATCCACATCGTACTGCTTATACCTCTATTTTATGATACACATTTCTCTCGATTTCGGGAAGCAACGGCCACCGTAGGGTTGCTGTAGATCAAATGTGACAGAGGCATTAATAATTCGGCTCTTGTCAGACACAGTTTTGGCAAGGTAGGTATCATTACAAACAAGGACAAACTCTTAGAATGGCCAGAAGTCGACATATTGAGATATGTTCAAAAGAGATTCTGTAAACATCATGGTAGTCAATGAGACATCAATATACGATATCCATATATATAAAAAAATGCATTAATATTAAATGCGTCAAAATTGTCACCACTTGCAATCAATTACAAACGTCGACAGCCGAACACAAAAAAAGTTTGAAAATATACAGGGTGGGCCAAAAAACAATACCCAACTTTAAATCAGACTGAAAATAGCTATGCTCAATATGATACATTGATTTATATATCATTTTAAAGGAAATCCATTTTCGAACAATTTGGTATATAACACTAGGTCATGAAACCAATATTAACGTTTTATTATGCTTATTTGCGAGGCAGGGTCGGTATTTAAGGTATCCAGATTTAAGGGAGAAAATAGTAAATCTGTGGAATAATGTTAATTTTTTATTTATAGAATATCATTTTGTTAGGTAAGTAAATGCTTGTATATTTGCATATTGTGTGGCTAAACTTATTGTTTATGAATTTTAGTGTTGTTTATTATCAATAAGTACTCAAAGGGGGTCTGTTAAAAGACATTAAACGTATATGTGACGAGGATTTTATTTTCCAACAAGACATTGCCTCGTACCATAGATCTCAGGAGACATTGGCATTCCTTTGCAAACAAGGTGTCAATTTGATTGATCTCAATGCTCGGCCACCCAACCGCCCTGATGCTACATGTAATGTGTTTGATTACCATACATGGAGCCATCTCGAGGAAATGGTACAATCAAAAGCATTCAATAAACAGCTTTGATGAGTTGAAACAGAATCCTAAAGTGCTGAAATGAATTGCAACAGAAATCTCTCAATAAGGCTATTGATAGATTGCGCTACCACTTGAAGCTTATTGTTGATGCAGAGGGGAGGGGGTGGGGGTATATTGAGCAATTGTGAAAATTGTTTAAATAAATAAAGTATAAAATGTTATTAAACAACACTGAAATTCATAAACAATAAGTTTAGTCACACAATGATGCAAATATTAATATCCAAGCATGTATTCACCTAACAAATGAATGATATTCTATAAATAAAAATTAACATAGTTCCGCAGATTTACTATTTTCTCCCTTAAATCTGGAGACCTTAAATAGCAACCCGGCCTCCGAAATAAGTATAATAAAACTTTACTATTGATTTCATGACATAGTGTTATATACCAAATTGTTTGAAATTGTATAACCTTTAAAATGATATGTAAGTCAATGTACCATATTGAATGTAACTATTTTTATCCTGATTTGAAGTTGGGTATTGGTTTTTTTTTGGCCCACCCTGTAGATATTAACAATATGTCGCCATTTCTGATGATGACATAAAAAGAGTTCACATTTCCTCATACCGTACGGCCGCCGTAGAGGAAATGTGACCGAGGCTTTAAAGGGATTAAACGAGATTTTTGTAACACTGCTCATTGCTAATCGGAATGAGTATCGAGAAAACCCAGCTTTAAACACTGCACACCTACTAGGGTCCCATCATGTAACAATTGGATGTAACTGATTTTGATTCGTAATTTAATTCTTTGGTTCTAATCTTGGTAATGTTGAAATTTGGCATCTTTGTCCAACTTTTCTGAGAGAGTGGCTCTAAAGCCTAATCTTGATTATGTACTTAGTGAGGATTTTGATGTATATTTGAGGAAAATCTCAGCAAATTCACCACGAAAATCTTTGGCCCTTATTTTCCTGAATCTGCTTTCACAATACAATGGGACCCTCTTAAACCAGAGTAGACGCATAGTGATTTTGTTATTCCACACGTCTAAAACTGAATATTTACAGGAATAGAGTAATAAAAGTACCAAAAACTGCATATTTGCTTCACATCTATATTTTCCATTTTCCATTGAATTCTTCACAAAACAAAAGGAACTGAGCACATAGATTGAATACAGGTTTTATCTTACTCGCCTTATTAAGCATTTAAAGCATTTGTTCACATTATTATACAATTATGAATATACATGTACATAATGTATAGAGTTAAATAAATATAATATCTAACGAAGTACAGTAAAACCTGTCTGAATGGAACACCTTTGGTACCTCTAAAAAGTGTTCCACTTAGAAGGTGTTCCACTTAGACTAGAGGTTTATTTAACATTCAATTAATTTGTCTTGGGACTCTGAAAAGTGTTCCACTAACAGAGAGGTGTTCCACTTTACAGGTTTCACTGTAGTACTTTGAACTTACACTAGATAGGTAGGAATGCAATATAATATAACATGTTTTAATAATGTACTCAGGTTACAAGTCAAATCATCCCAAGGTCATCTAGGCTTCATATAAAAATGTTATCCAATGGTTTTGAAAAAATATCATTTATATACATGAGTATGTACAGGTATATTGATATCTTCATGAGTTCAAAACTCAAGAAAAAATAATACACACTGGATAACATCTCAAATCAGATTTTGAAAGCACATACCAAAATATTTTTGGTAATTCTTCCCAGGTATATTCACCATTCAAATGACAGAATACAGTTTATGTACATGATAAGCAAGCATACATGGATAATCCTTATAAAAATAAAATATAGGGGATCCTTCACTAGTAAAGTAGCATACAAAATCTGTCTTGGGGTGAGTTGACTCAAGTGTGCAATGATCTACCTGGGATTGAGATGACATGTTGATCAGTGTATATATATATGGCATTCTTATTCTGTCATCTATTCTTGTAAAATTCAATTGATCCTTTGGCATTTTGATCCTTTTCACCCAGAATTGAGCATACATTTATCGTTGTGATGTTGAATTAAGTACACATTTGCAATAATTTTTTATCATTTCAATAAATTGCTTATACTAACTTGCACCAAACTAAAAAAAAATATGTTTTTATCTTAGGTCCAATCACTGAATAACCTTTATATTAAGTATGATATGGTAGCTAATATTGACTATGTCTATAATCTGCAAAAGGCTAATAAGCCCATAATAATAAACAGTATATAAGTTAACAGTGATAGAATTTGAATTTAATTCAATACCTTTATCATTTAAAAATGATCTTTTTTACGTTAAGGTAGCTCAGTTCAGCTCAGTCTCCGACTATAAAAAATTCACAAATTATCATTACACCTGTAATTTGCTAATTCAATTCAAGAGTTTGATAAAACAACAACTTTTCTTTCTGTAAATATGACCAAATAAGACAAGTGCAAACCACAAAACGCACCATTTTCAAGATTGATTTACTAAGTTGCTATAAGAAATTTTTCTAAACTGCAATTATTTTCAAAAAGAAGGAATGTCATAAAGTCTATGGTGCAGGTTCTGAAATTTCTGAGATTGGTGTACTTCAAAGGCAGAGATTTTTTATGAACACACAGATTAAGTAAATTGTGTCACATGCACATAGTAATATAGAAGACTTCACTTATTAGAATACTGTTTGGTATGGAATTCTATGATCGTACAAGCTTAAACCCATGTCCTGTATCAAGCTCATTTGGGGGCAACCAGCGCATTTTCTTACGTCGCAAACACCGGAAAACACAATCGCAACAACAACATAAGCTGCTCAACCCTGGCAAGTTTGTGGCTTTAATCAATGGCCGCGTCAACTTTGGAAAATTGGAGTTCCAATGATTTGTAATATCCTCCTCTGTTGGTAAATGAAACATGAAATCAGTCCAGCTTCGTGAGACTGTATAAAGTGCTCGGATTACACGATTCTTCTCTGTAAAATCGATTTCTGCTTCGTTTTCACAATTAAAGTACATAAACTCTTTTGTGAAGTCACCAATGTTTGTCGCTGATACTGTCTCCTCATCCGCATACTTGGAAATGATACTGGTTTGTAGTGCGACATAGCAGTCTTTGATACGCCGTACTGGACGTAGCCACTGATGTGAGTGCCACGTGTCAAGGATGAGGACCAATCTTGATCCAGACCCACCATCTTTTTCCCGCCACCATTCAAGTAACGTGTCTAAGTTTAAACTGTTGTCTCCTGAAATATGAATACACACAACATGTGAAGAAAGATTTGACATGAAATTTGATATGAAGTATGGAATTTTTCAGATTTAAAGTGAAATTGGCAAATTTGATATTTCATCGAACAAGTTTTCAAAAGGCTGTTGGTTCAATTTCCAGGTTTCTTTAAGTGTGCTAATACATGTATATTCAATGACTGGAGGTGGTTGTCTGACCTGTGAAAATGATTTCTGAATACTAGTCTTCTTTTGAAATTCCAAATACCTGCTAGTGCCCAGTCTCCATTTTCCATGGTCTCTCCACTATAGTACACAACGTATGTGTCAAATCTGGGACCATCTGAGGTACACCTTTCAAGAAATGCTGTAAAAAATGTATATTAAGTTAAATGTTTATCAACTTTGAACTTTTCTCAAGTGGCCTAGTCTCTAATTCTACCCTGTCAGAATAAAATTCCTTCAGTTTGGCATGAACACTGTCCCTTTGTATATAGCTTAACTTACATTTAAGTTTGGTCTCCACAGACTCTAGGGTGAGACCACTGGAGCAATAATCACAGCCATATGTGTCTATGTAGTGAAAGGTGAAGAAACGTTGAACTACATTCAGGATACGTGTTGAGATTGCTCCTAACTCCTGCATGATGGTGGTCTGTAGAACAGTTGCATTGGCATCAGACCTAAATACAAATAAATAAATTTTGAGATTTTTGTTCATTCATTCATTTCAAATGTTCAAGAGCAAATTTTCTATCTCCTAATTGACTAGTACTGAAACATATGTTTTCTTATACTAAATATATTACAATTATTACTGTAATGATGAAATTAATTTTGGCCTTAAACTTAAACAAAACACATACCTTTTATATGTAGATGGCGCCACTAGAGCATAACCCACACACATACCACCAAGGATTGATCCTAGCTCCCAGAGCAGACTGAGGGTGACACACTCTATTGGTAGAACCATCAAAAATAGTGCCACGGATATAGACGTCTTCTCAGTCCATCCAATCACAAACACTAATATCGTTGAAACGATCGTAAAGAACACAAGCCTCTGTGAGATCAAACTAAAATGACGCACACCTTTGGATGCCATGATTTGTGTGAGGCTTTTCCCCTCTTCTTGACTGTGTTCAAATGTAGCGTTACATTCTGTAATTTTGTTCATCAACTGCCACATCGTGATTAAGTAGACTAGATGGAAGCACAGCCATATAAGAGTAAAAACAATAAATATTGGCACAACAATGAACCATTCCTTGTGGTTTGGGATTTGTTTTGCGTAAAATCCCACTAAAATTAGCTCGAGTATGATGACTCCAAAGATGTTGATACGACGCAAGAAGCTGGATTGGCTGAAAAATCTCTCCCATGATTCAAGAGTAGTCTGGGAGCTGAAAAGGAGATCTAGAACTGGCTGGAATGCAAGGCGAGTCATGAAGGTATACAGAGCAACATGATTTACTGGTATTTTCAGCAGCTTTGGAAAAAATAAGAACTGTACAATGGAAATCAATCCCACAAGATTGAGAAATCCCAAGTATGATTTTAGTTGTATGGCTACAACAGTGAATGCAAAAGCACATACAAGCAAAGATATTGGCACGAAATTGTTCCCTATAATTATAAGGCTTCCTATAGCTAGTCCTAGCATCTCCATGAAATCTGGTAACATTCCATGTTCATTTGGTATGTGTAGCAATCTCTCAACAATATTCATAATGGAGCGCACCACTACACTACCAATCAGTAATCCCGTCATTAAATCCTCCATGGTGTCATGAGATATGTTTTCACTATGAGCAAATGCTAAGATACCCAAAAGACAACCGACCCATAGACGAGCAAGGCTGAATCCTAGTAGCTCAAATGAGAAATAATATGACAATGCAGCAGATATGGCAAATAGGAACAATGCCATAATCCCAACGACTAATATCCATACATCCTGTGTATACACATATCTTGTATTGAGTCCAAGGCAAATAGCAGCCAACAGGACAAAATTTGATAAGTAACCGATGTATCGCACTAGTGTTTCTCGCTTCATGTTCAGTAATCGTGTCCAAAACAATGGAAGACGCACTTTGATCAGATCTTGACAGTATGTGGGCACATGAATAATGTGGTACCGGACTGCAAGGAGTCCTCTAAACATCAGGATGCTGTTTCATAGAGGGCTTGTGGTTGTTTTGCCTTCTATCTATGTGACTCAATTTATGGTGTAACACCAACTAATCACCTGAAAAGAAAATCATCAGTCGTAATGGTTTACATTTGTACGCTACATTTAGATGACATACATTGCATGTTGGTGTCAGTGACTCTCTCAGTGGTGTAAAAAAATTTAAAATTTCTTTGAAAGTGAAATATTTTCACTTCAAACTTTTGTTAACTTAGCTGCAACATTTGTATTACAATCCAAATAATAGGATTCACGTGAGTCCCTCCTGTTTAACTGTACTTATAGATATATTATAGCTATTGATCTTACCGGTGAATACTGAGAGATTCGATTTAAAACTTTCTAGAAGTCAAATAATTTTAAACCGGAAGAACGACGCAAAACTGCATTGATATCACGAACGACTTCAAATTTTAATCAAAAAGAGCGACTAAAGCAATAACGTTCGTACTTTTACTGCAGTTGCCATAGAAATCCAAGATGGTGGAATAGAAAACCAAAAATCTAAAACTTTCTAATTTTTTGAGAATATTATTGTAATTAAGTTAATAACTAGAAGAAAACAACAGTGAGTAGTTGGATAACAATTTCTTCTCTGTCTCATTTTAGAAATCTGCTTATGATTTTGACGATTTCTCTAAACCTTTAGCAAATTAGCAAGACTTCGCCTAAATAAGTCATAAAACTTCATTTCACTTTTCAGCTCCCTAGTCCGACGAGAGATAAAAATACCAATGAAGATTTAGCCTGAGTCGACTGTCGATCTCTTGGTTTGATCTATTCATTTGAGTCATTGATATTATTTTTCAGTTTCAGGCTAGACTGGGGTAGATTTTTTGTCAAAATCCAATGAAGAAAATGTCCTTTATTTTTCTAACATGAGCCTCGACACTTGAATACATGTAATCTCTTTATTTTTTAATTTTGGCTTATTCTTCAGCTTTTTCTATTTATAGATCAATAGTAAATTTGGCCAGTATAGACTATCTGTTACTACATGCTGAGACTCAGCTACATGTAGCTGTACTAGCTAAAAACGTAATGCCATAAAACTTGATTGATCCTCATAATGTAAACATACATGTAAATGTAGGCAGAAAGATTTACTATGAGCATTTGAACATTTTCAGAAATTCATCTTTTTTTACTGTCGAGGCTCATGCTGGGAAACCTACAGTGAGCTCAATTGTAAGACCTACATGTAGTACATGGGGCCAATGTTGTAAATTAAAAAAGTGGAGCCCTATAACATGGATATGAGTATTGGTTCAGACACAAGCTTTCAACAGAGTGCACTAATACAGTAGTTTTTCCCATTTTCTTTCCATCTGTCTGTTGACTTTTGTGGACATTCCCTATTTTCAAGTCAAAGTTACCTAACCTTTAGTCATTACCCTCCTTCAAGTAGTATAAAGTAAAAGTCACACTGTGAAATACAACCAAAATAAGATGGATCATAACTTATACTGTAGATCTAACAGAAAACTATAATTAACCTCTTGACTACCTGGAGTGACAAGATATTTTGTCACCGCAGAAATTACCTTGAAACCCAGAGTGACAAGAAAAATTTTCACTATAATTATTCTTATTTGAACAATTTTCATTCAATTTACCCAAGAATTGTTTTAAAATGTGAAGAAATGATCTCTGTCATCTAAGTTTACTAAGTTGAGCATCTTAAGTTGTACAGGTACATGTATTATGTAGTTAAATGTCAAAAGGGGGCAAAAATGAAAAATTCTCTGGTTTCAAACGATTTTAGAGCCTGGGTTTCAAGAGGTTAAAGTACTGCAGGTGGTACTAAAAAAAATTGAAAAATTGCTATACCTGCCTATGTTATTTTCTGGTACAAATAAAGTGACAAGAATCAGGACCCAAAATTCTGGTTTTATTTATTTATCCTATACTTACAGACAGTATGTACTTACATTGTAGGCATGTTGTAGGGGAAGTGAATGTTATATTTTCACAATTCACATGTACATGTAAGCTTTGTATACTTTAACAGAAGCGACCATGTCAAGAGCTCAAGCAGAGAGTGTCATAAAGAATATAATCAGGGAAATAGCCCAAGAATGTGCAGCAAAGGGTCAAGCAGTTTCAGAGACACTTGTAGCCTTTATGGTAAGTACATGACTGAATTCATTTTTATTCATTCTCTGAATCCTGCTGTTCAGCAGAATTCAACCAGAAATTTATTTTTTTCCCCATCCTTTTTAACTGTATTATTGTACATGTGTATTATGTAAAGTGTCATTGGCAAAGACAACAATTATATGTGTTCATTGAAGCTATATAAAATATATTTCCTGTATATGTGTCCATGCCTCAAACAAGAAACATTGAAATTGATTGAATGAACAACTACATTTATGGTACAATTTATTTTTCATCTAGGTTAAAGCTGTTGTGTTGAATCCATCAAATGAGTTCAATGTGGACCGCACTCTAACAAAAGATGATGTACAGAAACTCATCAAGATCTGTGTGGATAAACTCTTGGATAGCAGGTCACCTTCCCTAGACACAATTAAGATGCAGGTTTACTTTGATATGAACTACACAACCAGAGGTGAGAACATAGAATTAATACATACATAAAAAAGTACATGAAACTAAACTCAAATACAAAGATTTTCAGACATACATGTAGATGATTGATATGCATCATAGAAACTTGAAAGATCCCCAACAAACTGTCTGTAACAAATGGCAGGTGACATTTTGCGTGTTAATGCCTCGTATATAGTTAATGTACTTTGTTGTTGTTTTTTCAGATGAATTTCTGGATGAGCATCGCAGAGTGCTTGACTCCCGACTACAGCCAGTAATCAGGGAGATAACGGACAGTAGGGCACGTACCAGGGAAGAACTCGAGAGCCTCTACAGGAAGATTGTATCAGCAGTTCTACTAAGATCTGGACTAGGGAGCCCCACAGACATAGCGGTTGTTAGAGAGGCCACTGGTTGGTTGATTTTTTCAATTATATGGACTCGTGTACATGCATGTGGAAGTTATTGGCATTGCTCATCAATTACATACATATTAAATTCTTTATATATACAGTGAAACCTGTTAAGTGAAATGATTTTTATGATTGTAAGAAGTGATATGGAGGTACGGTACATGTATTGTATATAACAAATTGTCAATGAATTCATTTCAGCTGCATTGCAAAGTGTGTTTCCTCAGACTGAGCTAGGCACTTTTATGTCTCTAAATAAACGTGACAAGGAAAGGCAACTTCAAGAGTTGACTGCGATTGTCACTGGCATTAGACTCTTCAACAAGGAGTGTGGAAAGGGAGGAGAAGGCATTGATGATTGTAAGTAAAGCATGCTTTTCTTTTCTTGATATTTGGATTATTTGAAATTAAGGGAGTTAGCTGGTTTGGGGTAAATTACTGTAAAGAAAGCACATTTTTGAATGGTTGTCTGGTATTATCTTAGAGAAGAGACAATACTGTTTGCAGCCACTCCATATACCATATTGATCAAGCAATGTATTGCAAATGAATTGGGACAGTTTAATTTTTTGACTTGGTGGATTGTTGAACCAAATATTCTTCACTTTACATAAGAACAATAAACATTACTCCATTTGTGCTCAGAAATAGACACTGATATGATTGACATTTGTATTAATTGATGTTTTAGTGCCAGCAATATTGAATGAAGCTGTACCTGCTACAACACAACAGGTTGATATAGAGATCCAGACTACAGCTAGGACTGCATACAAATACACAGGTTAGAACAGACTGTATAGTAAGTTATATTAAGTTCAAACCTACATGTCAAAATTGAATTACAGATCAGCTTCCATGTTTTGTCTATACCTGCTAAAAATTACCTGTAAGGGCCAAAATAATAGGTTCTTGTCCTCTTTGTTGGTGCATTGATGAGATAGTTTTTATCAAACTTTTTCAAAGTGCTTTATTGTCATCATCTTGTACTGCCAGACGAGCAGATGAATGCCACATACAGGGTATATACTAAATTTTGTCTTCAAAACTCCAGGAAATTATTAGGTTTTGTACATGCAGGGAAAATTACTTTGGGGTCATTTTGCATCTTTGGCTGGAATGTGTGATGTTTATCACTGTGTGTCTAAAACAAGTTATGACTTTTGACAAAGCCTACATGTAAAGTAGATGCTCACATACTGTAGTTGTCACATCTTTATATACTCTGATGTGTTTACATTGAGGTACATGTATTGTATACATTTTATACTATATAATGTTTTTAATTAATTTTCAGCACTTATTGAGAAATTGTTGCTGGACAAGTCATTTGAGGGTTTGTCGATGCAACTTCTCAAGGAAGCTCTCATAAATGCCAGACAACATGAATCTTTCCTGAGGATCATTCTGGTAGGTGTATTTTATGTTCAATGGATACCCTATGAGCCTTAGTGCCTTATATTTTATCCCATGTTCTGGTAGGTGAAAACATTATGAGTCTTAAAAAGCCAGACCCGTGGCAAGGGGCTAACAATTCTTTCAAAACCGTTTAGTTTTTCACTATGTGAGCACTTTTCAATTGATTTTGGGCCAAAGTCGTGAACCCCCTTGGAATATTTTGAAAAGTGAATCCACCTTGGCAAGAGCTGGCTACAGGCCTGAAAAGCAAAGCTATCTTGCCCCTTCTTCTTCCTGTCTTGCAAGCCTTACAAATAGCTGAGGATAACCATATTCAACCCATTCAGGATATCTCTGCTTCAATATCCAATTTATATTTCTGAACAACAGGGCACTTAGTGTGGTGGTTCACATACAAAAGGCCAAGTGTTCTTATATGTAGAGATTCACCAAAACAACAGTCATAAAGTTAAATGAAATATCCCACACAATGAAAAGTATTTGATGTTATAAGGCAAAATACATGTGTACATTGAATGGCTGATATGACAGCTATTACTCAGCTACGTGTTTTGAGAAATATATTGTTACATGATGTATTTCAGAATGATGTTATTGAGTGTGCCCAACAAGTGGAGTCACTTGAGAACAACTTGGCAGCAAAGATGGAGATGATACAAGCCACTGTACAGTCCAAGACTGCAGTGCCTACTGCACAGGTATATGTTGTCCAACATTAAAGTGTTAGTATAGAATGTTCAGTGTATAAAGTGCCACTCTTTTGAAAATATGAAAAATAGTAGTGCTAGGCGAACTTTTGAACACATGATGTTTACATATCAACATCTTAATGTATATAGCTTGGAAAATATCAATCAAAAAATGACAGTTGACTGGTAACCGCTATGAGACAGCCCTCATTGATTCTTTTTATACTTAACCATGGGCTTCTCTTGAAACCCCATGTTAACACATACAAATGCAATTTGGGTGATATAATAAAACATACCTGAGTTTTGTTATAATATACATGTACATTTCTCTTTAATACTTGTCAAAAATGAGAAAAATATATTACGCCAACTGGCAAACTGGGTGGTATCTGACACTGTTTCATTTACATTTCAGGTGTACCCACAATTCATCACTCTATCGCAGATCTGGAGTGCATTCCAAGATGAGATGGTTCTCCTAAGTGTTCTTAGTAACATTTTGGCCAGCTTAGAGCCATTCACAAGGGTAAGCTATGTGAAACAATGCAACTTTAAGATATATTCCCTACATTCGAAGTGATCTTAAATTACTTAATATCTACATAAACTATTAGACATACAGAGAAATATCTATAGTACATGTCGATTGATGTCCATTTGTTGAGAACTTACATGTACATGTACTGATTGATAGATGTCACCTAGGCCAATAATACCTTTACTTACTAATTTGAGGTAAAATCATAGAACAGTTATGATCAATTAGCCTTTGATTATACATGTCGTCTATCTAAGATTATTTTTTGAATTATGAATTCCTCATTATTTTCATTATTCCCACTGCTGATCATTTATCTGTTGTAATAAAGTATTCTAAATCTACACACTTATTTTTACATGATAATACATGTATGTTAAAACCTCAACTTTCATAATAAAACTTGTAGACTTTGGTAATTCACATACAGTTTCTTGAGCTTTGTGCTAAACTACTTGAATAATTACTTAATGTTTTTTCTTTATAGGGTCACAGGGAGATCTTTAGTGATGATGTCCTCGCTCCATTCCTAGATGGCGCCTCTGTGCGATCAGATGAACAACGGATGCAGGAAGTATCGGGTAACCGTGTAGTGCCTAAAGAACTCAGACATAGTTATCTTCAGGGCCAGGAGTGGTTATTCCCTGAGACCGCAAAGAACTTTCACAGGCTTCCTTTACAATATAAGGTATAACTGCAATGACATAATTTACTTTGAAACTAGGAAATAGGGGGGAGAAGACATTTTATGTAAATGTTACCAATATTGTGGCTTACTTAGTAGGTACATGTACAAACTAGCTTTATATATGATACATGTACCTCCAGCATGTATAATCTCAATTTATGATTAAAACAATATTACCGGTCTTGATATTATTGTTTGCAAAATAATGTAATATCAATTAAATGAGAAAATGCCTAATTATTATAAACTAAATCTAACATCTAATATCTTGTAGGGTTACTGTGGCTTTGCATTGGTGAAGTTTGACCGTCTCCTACTGCCATCTAACCCAGAGATAGGTGTCTTAAGACACAAAGACAGATACTATGCCTTCTCTAGTAGAAAGGCAGCAGAGGAGTTCTCAGAAAATCCTGATGGGTAAGAGAATAAAATGTAAAACTAACAATCACTCTGTTAATCAAACAATTCTTTTTATTGCTCCTTTTTATGTCACCAATAAGAAGTGGTTGCATATTGTTAAAGGCATCATTTAGGTAAAAATTTAATGGCAGTATCACAAAATGTTAGATGTTCAAGTTAATTAATGTGGTTACAGTATTTCCTTAATAATTTAAGTCTATTAATTATTTTATATGTTTGTTTTTACTCAGTTTTGCTGGCATGGTGGTAGAAGCAACAAAGAAAAGCCCAGAGTTGATACAGCTGCTAGAGTTACACACACAGTTTGCAAGTATCACACCTTATGCACAGGTAAGCTGCAGTCAACAGTCAAAACTATTGACTCTTATCTGACCAATCAAAATTAAGATTTTAGATTGGGGTACTTACAACATCAGATATTCAATAAAGGTACAATTTTTGCTACGATTTGAAAGAAATGAGATTTTTGAGATTTTTTCAATAGAAAATGAAAGAGAAAATTATCTATGGGGTGCATTGCCTTTTCACCTTTCATGCGTTAGTGCATCATTAAAGTAATACTTTACTGCCAATACTGTAAAACATGAATATAAAGATAAAAAAAGCTTAATATTTTTCCCCTTTGTAAACTGCATCTATATCTCTTATGTAGGGCCAAGGTCCTGGAGGTAAACTGATAGAGAAACCTGTCACAAAATGTGACAGTGGCACTCAGACTGATACACATATCCTAGAGCCAAACATTGTCAAGTCATATGAATGGAATGAGTGGGAGCTAAGACGTAAAGCTATCAAACTGGTAAGAGTATTTCTTATGAACTGTATTAATATCTGTATTGGTTAATATGGAAGAGTGGCCATACCTCTCAAGTGGCAACCAGACTGACACACATATCCTAGAGCCAAACATTGTCAAGTCATATGAATGGAATGAGTGGGAGCTAAGACGTAAAGCTATCAAACTGGTAAGACTATTTCTTATGAACTGTATTAATATCTGTATTGGTTAATATGGAAGAGTGGCCATACCTCTCAAGTGGCAACCAGACTGATACACATATCCTAGAGCCAAACATTGTCAAGTCATATGAATGGAATGAGTGGGAGCTAAGACGTAAAGCTATCAAACTGGTAAGACTATTTCTTATGAACTGTATTAATATCTGTATTGGTTAATATGGAAGAGTGGCCATACCTCTCAAGTGGCAACCAGACTGATACACATATCCTAGAGCCAAACATTGTCAAGTCATATGAATGGAATGAGTGGGAGCTAAGACGTAAAGCTATCAAACTGGTAAGAGTATTTCTTATGAACTGTATTAATATCTGTATTGGTTAATATGGAAGAGTGGCCATACCTCTCAAGTGGCAACCAGACTGATACACATATCCTAGAGCCAAACATTGTCAAGTCATATGAATGGAATGAGTGGGAGCTAAGACGTAAAGCTATCAAACTGGTAAGACTATTTCTTATGAAGTGTATTGATATCTGTATTGGTTTATATGGAAAAGTGGCTGTACCTCTTAAGTGGAACATTTTTAGAGGTACCAAATGTGTTAAAATTATACAGGTTTCACTGTATTAATATCTATATTTGTTTATATCTAAGAGCGGCTTTTAGGTGTTTCTATACACGAGACAATGGATAATCAGTAGTGCTCTCCCCACATAAAATATCTGTGGCATAATAAATTTATAACACCAAAATATTCCTTTAATAATTCAATGTTCGTCCTAAAATTATACAAAATGTAAGAAAATTCTAAAGTGATGCAATTAAAGTTAAAACACTATACAATGTTTCACAACATAATGATAGTGTTATCATCCTGACCTTGCATGCCACCAGGAGTCACGTTTACTAATGATGTGTAAAGTGGGGTATTATGTATAATTTGAAAAAAAAATATTAAAGTCTATTGTTCTCCATTTAGGCTAATTTGCGGACGAAGGTGACACATTCTCAGCAGACCAACCTGAGCAATCTTCGGCGTGATAATGTCACACAAGTCTACCTACCAAAGTCAGTTTACTTTTCTAGACACGTTCACAGTTTGTTTAATTTTCAGGCAACTGTGCCAAATCCAAAACTACTCCAAAATTTTTTTTAATACAATCATGTCCTCAATAGCAATTATAAATGAGAAACATATTTATTATTCATGCATATTTTAGATACCTACATGTGCCCATATACATGTAACATATTAAAGAGGCTTAAACTCTAGTCTTCTGTATTTACAAATTACAGCAGTTTTCATTGCTCTTGTTACCAGTTGATACTACTTTTGGTTTTCAATTTGTTTATATCTTTTACATATCATCCCTTGTTTACAAAATGTAAACAAGGGAATCTAATCAGAGTTACATTTACAATGACTTTGTATTTCATTGCAGAGAAAATGTTACCCAGACAAAGCGTGACAACTATAGCAATGTTCCTCGCCCGCAGGTGTTCCTTGCGGGTCTTAGAGGAGGTGGCATGTCTGTGCCTACTGATATGACCAAAATGGATCTCACCCTTGATGTTGACCAGACCTAATACAATGAAGGATGATTCAGAGGATTATATAAATGACACACCAAGGACAAAAATAATTATTTTTTATCTCTGTTTTAATGCTTCTATTTATCTCCTGTGATAAATATGTTTGGTAATTATGAGGATCTTTTAATGATGTATTTCAAAACAAGTTTCATAACAAATTTCATAAGCCTTGATACATACAAGTATTTCCTATGAAAAAAAACTTGATAAATATAAACCCTTTATTGATAAACATATATTTCCTATATGACATTGTAAACATTAGATCTAGAGTGAAAACAGGGGCTAGATCCAAGACTAGCTATGAAAACTTTAAAATACATATGCAGTTAACAATAACATTCCTTCTTTGATTGGGTTCAGGATATAATATGAAGCGAAATTATACATCTTTCATTGTTTATAAATCCTATAAAATTGCTGCCCAGGTAACTTGGATTGGAGTATTTTGTATCTGAATCATTATTTTGTTGATGGAGTGAAAAGTATTTCAAATGTATATTATTTCCATTCTGTAAATAAAATCACCACATAATTTAAAACATTTTTGTTACTTTAATTATGTCAAAACCAGAAGTGGTGACATACTGTTGTAGTTTCCAACTTATTTCTGAATGGTATTTGGCATTTGGTGATTGATGTTTGATTTCTGTAACAAATGACAGGTAGTGACATGTTAATGCATTGTTTAATTATGTTTCATATACCTGCAGTACATGGTATAACTTTTTAGCTCACATGATGAGCTTTTATGAAATTAGCAGAACAGTCCAGGACTTTCAACAAGATATTAGGTGGATAATAAAAAACAACTTAAGTCTAGTTAAAATAAACATGTAAAGTAGAATGACTCTGGAAATAGCATTTTCAATAAGTGAAACTATTTGATAACATTTGAACAATTTGAAATTTCAATATCAGCACTCTTTCCTTTGGCCCCCTCATTGATTTTTATGTCACCATCTAGAAGTAGTTGATGCTTTTGCCCACAGGCCCAGGAAGAAGATTTCAATCCCCCCACTCACTGTACAATATAAGAAAAAATACTCAATACACAGTGAGTGGGAGGGGGAATGAACTCTTGTTTCTGTGCTATTGCCATTGTCTGTTGGTGCCAGCGTCTACAACAAATTGCTAGTCCTACACCAAAGTTCTTTCTACTCTGCCTACCTAATAAAAATATTACTGAAACTGATTTAACCCTTTCCCGACGTGAATATAAGAGGAAAATGTTGGCCCTGGTGATGGATAAGTAAGAGCAGTTTTTAGGGGAAAACTGAAAATTACCTATGCCCAGGGACCTATACCTTGAATTTAATCACTGAAATACATTTTTTAGTAAGGACTTTCGTATTAGAACAACTTGTCAGAATTTGGTGTAAAAATACTGAATAGAACTGGAGATATTATCATTTCATCGATGTATATAAATAAAAATTATGGTGCCAAAAGGAGCCTATCGTCCTGAAAGGTATTACTCAACTAAGCAGTGTGTTATAATATTTATGATATTTATTTACAAAATATTTTTTTAAATGCAGAAAAGTATAAATTATATAAAATGTACAAGTGCTTCTACATTTAATTTCAATTACTTTTTATGAAGTTTAAAAAATTATTTTCAAAAGCTGGAACTTGAAAAGGCACATAAAACTTTAAAAGCATGAAAAATTATTTTAAACAAAATTTTGGAGATCCATATATTTTTACATTTTGTTCATGGCTCATGCAAAAAAGGCCTACTAGGCAAACTTGTATAATAAATTGGCTCATATACATGTAAATCAATGGAAGATTTCATTCTGATACTCATGGCATCTTTCACCTGAAACATGCTTGATCTGATATTATGAGGCATATTCTGTGATCTGAGCACATCACATGGGAAAAGTTATAACTGTCAATAAGTGTGATTGTTATCATGTAATCATTTACCTAATGCCATTACATTACATAAAAGGCATTGTATTTAACAGCAGATATAAGCACAGGCACGTGTACACAGCTTAATGACCCCAATTAAATGAAATATGAGCTGGGATGAAAGATCTCAAAAATCTTCAATTTTGGGCTCTCCTGGATCGCCAAATCAAGCTCATTATATCATGGCATCTCAGGGCTGAGAAGAAATGAGATGTCATGGTTTATCATGATGGGAAGATTAGCTTCAAGTTAAGATGTTGCTTGTGACTGTGCATGTATGTGACTGAGCATATTGTAGATTTCTTCATGAGTCTTTGATTGTGTCCCCTATATGCTTGCAATCTCATGCTTGAACTCTCATATTTTCCTCTCCTTTATGACTAGCTCTATAAATGTAGTAACCTTTAAGTATTTCTTGTGCTAGTACTTATAACTGAAAAAATAAACAAAAGAATGTTTACTTTACATGCATGAACCTTCTTTTATTACTTAAAGCAAATTCAAAAATTGAGTTGATACTCCACAAAAAGTTTGTGGTAATGTCAGGATGAACCTTCATTTTAATTATCCACTTTTCATTGGAATGACATCGATCTCATCCCAAGATGCAGTGGTTTCAAAAAACCACTTCAGTTATGTAACTAGTTCAAAGTTATTATTAGTGTACAAAATATAAGTTATAACTTACTAATCATCGTCAGCATAATCATGATCATCATAGAAACTGAAATGTATAAAAAATCATATTATTATCTGATATGCCTGTACATGTGAATAGCATATTTTTATCTATTTATCATCCAAATTGACTATACTTTTAGAAGACCAAGAATGCAATAGAGAACACTATTTGCATTAATCTCCTTTTAAAATAAAATTACAATGAGAAGCACAAATTATCTCAAAGTTCTTATATTTTCAGAAAATAATGTTTGAATCATTATCATAGTCTTTTGATAAGTTCAGGTACAGGTTGTTACGATCTTATTCTCCTTTGAGTTAAAAGCTGAGCTACTTTAAGGATTCTTCTGGGAGTTAAAGACTGAGCTACTTTAAGGATTCTTCTGGGAGTTAAAGGCTGAGCTACTTTAAGGATTCTCCTTTGAGTTAAAGACTGAGCTACTTTAAGGATTCTCCTTTGAGTTAAAGACTGAGCTACTTTAAGGATTCTTCTGGGAGTTAAAGGCTTAGCTACTTTAAGGATTCTTCTGGGAGTTAAAGGCTGAGCTACTTTAAGGATTCTTCGGGGAGTTAAAGACTGAGCTACTTTAAGGATTCTTCTGGGAGTTAATGACTGAGCTACTTTAAAGATTCTTCTGGGAGTTAAAGGCTGAGCTACTTTAAGGATTGGAAAATGATCACTTACTCATCTTCTTCCATGAAACCTTCACAGTCATCCATGCGTCTGTAATGCTTGGCTAGTTTCACTGCTACAAAGATACAGGGCACGAAGAAAAGAATTCCCCATCCGAGTCCAAACCAAAAGCCATTCTGTAAAAATATGAAAATCTTACTCAATTTTAAAAACAAGTAATTTAGCTAAACTTTTTATATGTATGAGTTTCAATCAATTAATGTTTGTTTTGATGGTAACAGGAAAACCCAAGACAACTCATCCTTATTATGACATTTACTCATCCTTTATTATGACAACTCATCCTTATTATGACATTTACTCATCCTTATTATGACAACTCATCCTTATTATGACATTTACTCATCCTTATTATGACAACTCATCCTTATTACATGTATTAAGACTCATCCCTTTATTACATGTACATACATTAAAAAGATCAATATTACCTTATACCTCGGATTAATTAAAATAACTGCATCAACAAGTTACAAATGACATGAATTCTATTTAATAGAAATTGCTTAATAAATTACCAAAACCTCAAAAGCCCAAATGGGTATAATCTTACCACTTGTAATATCTGGATTTGAAAAAGTATGAATGAAATGTTACAGTTAACCTGTCTCATGCCTACATATCTACAGCCCTTATCGATAACTTACCAAAGAATCAACAGTCCATTTACATAGAATGAGAGTGAATGATTCATAAAGGTTCCAAACAGGTTTACAGGCTGCTAGCTCGTTGTTGACAAGGTCCAGAGCCTTTGTAGCAAACTGGTCAATGTAACCAAGAATGCGGTCCTTGTAGCCAACAGCAGCCTGAAATAAATAGTTTTGTTGTGTTTTCTTAATTCAATTTATATATTTATTTTACTCACTTATCAATTCACTCATCAACTCACTCACTGCTCATCACTCACTCAACTCACTCAAGTCACTTATCACTAATTTTACTCAACTAAGTTGAAGATTTTAGCGATTGAAATTGTATTTGATATGTGACTGTGATCACCCAAAATAGGATTTGCATAATTTTTAATCCCTTCCCTTCGTAGTATGCTTTATTTTATTCAAATGGGAGGCACTATAAGAGCAGATTTCTAATGAATCATGCCTCAAAATTTCCTAAATTTCAGGACTTATCATTTGCTCAGTTTGCATTAACTTACTGTACAAATTGAAGGTAAATAACAGTAGACCACCATCCTGATATGGCTTTTCAGATTTGTTATTCATAAGACCTACTGCCCAAATGTGAAAAATTCAACCTTATGCACTATTCACGCTGTGTATGATATTGTCTTATGATTTGGTTTGCTGTTATTTGTTGTAGTGATTTGAAGTTCATGGTTATACTTAACTCACACGAGGCAATATTTGCAAATAATTATCTCATTGAGTTTAGTCCTGGGACTATAGTGCAAGTTTGAATGAAAATTGGGCAATTATTATCTACATATAGCCTAGTATAATCAGAGAGTTAATAAAATACATAAAAATAATATAATATGTAATATTTCATATAATGTTTCATAACTGGATGTATCGCATAAGTGTACTCTTCTGACCACGTGCAGTATGGCAAGTGATTTTAGACAGTCATATCTTTCACCATGAGTACTTTCTGGGCATAAATACAGTGTTTTTTAATAAAACAATATGTTTTCTTTCAAGTGAAGTACCTATGATGATAGAATATAAATCAAACAATTTGAAAAATTATGAATAGGGACCCGATTTTTTCAAATTATTGAACCTATTTACTCAAAAGAGGATCTTCTTTTTCTAATTTTTATTGCATGAAAATATTATTCAAAAGTATTATTCAACAAGGGGTCTAAGACATGTTCAAAAATAGAATGGTATTGAAAGTCTAGTTTTGAAGATATCAATTTTCGATGACCAAAATTATGCTGAAAACAATGGATAGCACGAGTTTTCCATTTGGGAAAATAACATGGGATATGTGTTTTTTAACTTTATCTCATTTCAATAAAAAGCCACTGTATTTGTGGCCAGAAAGTACTCATGGTGAAAGATATGACTGTCTAAAATCACTTGCCGTACTGCACATGGTTTTTCTTTCAATTCTTGGATAAATTTAAATGAGACAAGTCTTTGGAGAAATATTTTGTTTGAAGGAACATGACATACCCCATTTCTTTATTTTGTCTACATTTTTCTTAGCGGTGATAATTCTTTGACCCAGAATTCTTTAATATTCCAAATAAGGAAGTTGTGTGTCATAATTCACATTCAAACTTCCATAAAACGTCAAGAAAATGACATTTCAGATATCATCAGTATATTCCATAAGCCGAGGTTGCGATAGAAATAGTTCTTAAATAAAGATGGCATGGCAGTAGATCTGAGTCAATAATAGTACAATAACATCATTTCAAAGGGCAATATAGTGAAATATTGGACCTTGGGCCTTTGGCCCGCAGAAATGACGTTATTAGTATTATTACCACCGTTAATGCCCAGTGCTGGAATAGCAAGAATTGAACGAAAATCTTATGCACTGAACGATATCTAATTTCCTGGGGAAAATTGCCGGGCGTTAATGCATTATTGGCCCGCCACTATGGCCCGTCCCTATGACGTCACAAATTGCTCAGGTCAATATAGTAAAATAAATGCCTTCTAAACTAGCACAAATACCCCTAAAACAGGCCCGGCAAGGTGGTAATAATTCAACTTCATTTACTTACAGTCACTATTGAAGCCGTTGCATTAGTTTGGATTTGAGTTTGCATTGCTACAGCAGAAACCAGTGTTCCATTTACAGCAGGCTGAAATAAAGTTGTAAATACAGGGGCGGATCTGGGAACCAACAAGGGGGGAGGCCCAAATTTCAGGTCTGAGAAAAAAACTTCCGTGCTTGTGCAGAACCAAATTTTGATGACAATGGGCCTCAGATCTGCCAGTGAAATAGCATAACAAATACAAATCACAATCTTATTATAGTACATAATTGTATTCTTCGTCTTCATCAATAATGTAATTTCCAACGTGTAGATCTGTATTGTACAGCTTTTTGAAATTACAGTGGAAATAAAGATAGATTTAAAGACAAAAAATAATAAAGTAATTTCAAAAGGCAATATTTCCTTACCACAATTCCATCAACAGCCGTTTGTAAGCCATCCAATGCTGTAGTTAGGTTAGCCTGAAACATGTATGTAGGATTATAATGGATGTACATGTATATCTCATGAATCAAACATAAGTCTTGTAAAATATACCTAAATGTATTGGTTGATTGAAAATGCCCGTACTTGTATCTGAATCAGAATATAACAGCGAATTAGTTAAAATATCTTGTGTAAGCAATATAAAGAGTTTTACTGTTTAGAAAATCATTGTTAGGGCCTATCAGAAAAATCAGTAAAGTATCACTTTAAACAGCATAACATTAGGATTGGGTATTTCATAGCACTTCTACTTATCAAGAACTTACCATTGCATTAGAAAGAGTTACTTTCTCTTCAAAATTGATTCTGTCCATCTCATCTGCATGGGCATACCACTGAGCCTGAAATCACGCACAAACAAAAAAAGAAAATAAGAAAAGGGTAACTCTCATTTTACATAGGTTCATCACACATTACCTTAAACTGATGGGTCTTGCTTTGTTTGACATAAAAACCATCCATTTTGCAGTCTGTAGGATTATGAGCTAATTTTTGTAAAGCTTCCATTTAATCATTTTGTGAGTATAGTACCAGATAGTATATCCAGTTTTGAGTAAGTTTCACTATTTTATAGATTTAAATTACTCTTCGATGAACAAATTGGCAAATCCTGGCTATGGGCCTGGACCTGACTGATATCTTAGCAGGACAAACTCTATCATCAAATTAGCAGAACATCTAGTGTCTGCAGATAAGTAATAAATAATTAAAGGAAAACTATGTCCAAATATTTTGAATATTTTATACTTTATACACACAGATAGGTAAAATCACATGTTCATTAAAACCATATGTTATTGAAAATTATCAGATCACAAGTAAATCCAGAGAAATTGTCCTTAGACTGTTTAGTGTATGAATTGTGTACTTGTTGCAATGGGGACATACCTGCGTTACTGGAGATGCCCCGCATGTATCCCCAACACCCCTGAAGACTTGTGACAGTGCAGTGAAGTCAAATGATGTCAGGTTCAAGGATAACTAAAAACATATTACATATTAAGCATGAATCATGTGTAGTTTATCACTTAGTATTTTGTGTTCTGATTTATTTTTATTATCTATTGATCAGTACATTTATGTATAAAATACATGATTCATATTCAGATTATTATCTGCAGTATTCTTTCTTCAACATTTAGAGTTAAACCAGTCATGTGTAACATTGTATTTTTGATCTATTTATATATATATTATTTATATTATATGTCATTTTAATATATATAAAAACATGGCTTGTAATGCCAGTATGACACAGCCATTGAAATAAATTTATAATTAAAAAAAGTGTTACATTTATATATCATTGAAGATATCTGAACATCAATTGTATTTTTGAAAATATCCAGTTTTTTCTTTGAACTCTGACCTTTACTGACTGGCTACAAGCCCTTGTGACCCCCAGATACCTAAACACATGTAAAGCATCGATATTTGGAAAAAGACTTACAACACTTGTGAATGTTGCAAAGTCGATGCTGCCAGCTCCAGAATCTCTAAAGTCCACTAACAGTTGCTCAGTCTCTGGTGTGATGATGACAATACTGCTTAGGTTTACACTGGTAGCCATATTGTCAAACTGGCTGTCAATATCTGGCAGGTACTGAAAGGATTAATGGCATTTTATGGTTCATCTTGTATATCAGTAAAACCTGTATAATCCAAACCCCACTAGGACCAATCCAAAGTGTTGTGATAAGTTAGATGTTCATATTTTAAGATTTTCTTAATATCTGAGTTTATGGCAGATAACAAAATTGGACCAATAAAAAGTGTTTAGATTGAAAGGTGTTCAGATATACAGGTTTCATTGTAGTATATTTGAATGTTTGAAATTGCCATTGGTATCAATCAGTTAATATTGTGTTACAAGGGGATCAATGATATTAAGACAATCCTTTACTGAAAAGTGTGCAGTCACATGTACAATGTTAGCCACATAAGAAACTCAACTCAAGTTTGAAACAAATGGAGGACAATAATGTCTACAGTAAAATACATGAATAATCAATTCAAGAAAGTATGAGCATATATTGACTGAACATTCATTTATCATCCAACAAATTAAGAATTAACCTTCACAAAAGTTAACAACTTAATAAGCAGATAAGTATTATACCTTCTTGTAGTCAAGATAATCATCAAGGGGAATCAGAGAGTCAAAGTGCATCAGTCTGAAGGGGGCTTGGTTGGCCCTACATCCACTGCAATAAATCAAGCAAAGCATTAATTAACAGGCAAAATATGTCACCATCTGACATTTGTTACAGACACCGACCACTGCACACCATTTGCCAAACACCATGCAGAAATAAATTGGAGACTAATATCATCGCTTGTGGTGGTGACATATCATTAGTCATCAGGCTTATGTAAGTTGTTATTCATTGAAGGGGGTAGGCTTTATTATATATGAAAGATAAAATTGGATTTTATAATTCTCCATAGGCCTTGGTGAATACTAATATAGTATCTGGAATATCTTCCTCTCTTATAGAATATATTGATATCATAACTGTCCCTGAAATTCTATTCTTTAAATCAATAGTCTGACATTCGCCATAATGTGCATTGTCACCTTGGTGATGTTCATTGCAAAATGGGCTTTTAGTTAAAAAGTAAAAGGTAATGGAACTTGGATTGTACTTACATGAAGACATCATTCAGTTTGAATTCAACTGAGGAATTGCTAAGAAGCATCTCCCCAAGGTTGAAGGAAGGAATACCACCCTTATCAAGAAACTGAAATCATACAAGGTGAATGTTTACAAAGTGGAGTGTTCAGTGCTGTTAGACAGTGCCACAAAGGCCACAAATCAATAAACATAATCTGATTTCAAAAAAGAATGGGAGAAACTACATTGATTATAATTTTAAAGAGGTACAATCATGCACAGCATTAGTTTTTGATAGATTTTCTTCTGTACACAAAAGGCAAATTTTGTGTATAATTATATTACATATCTTAATGACGCATCTTTTTTCAAATTGTCTGACCATGCCACTATTTTAAAAGTATTTCCACGAAATAAATGGTCAACTCACATCTTTAAAGATGGTCATATCAGAAAGAGGTTGACATATTTTCTCCATGTTGCCCCCAACCATGAACAATACAGTTGTAAGTAACATCAACAGAGATCCAACAAAGAATACTATTGTTACGCCGCTGAAAAAAAGTAGGTAATTAATTACAAGTATGAGATATAAATATAGTTGGGTATTGATTATCTACAAGTCCAACAGTTCTGACTTTATGATTTTTAAGGTTTTCTGGCAAAATAGCATGTGGACATTTCTACAAGAACTTCTCTATTTGATGAGATACTTCTTTTTTTTAGAAAATATAATAATCATTTATGGTGATAAGTAAATCTCAGGAATGATTTTTAAAGATTCTTCCAATATTTTACACTCTCAAATAGACTGGTTCCTTCATTGATTGCACAAATACATTATGTAATAACATATTTTGGAAGACTGCTTCGAGCAACTCACTCATTTCTATATACTACATTCTATATACAGTAAAACTTGTTTACAGTGAACACTGGACACACAAAAATATGTTCACTAGTATAGGTAGGTGTTTACTACAGAGAGCCAATTTAGTACAGAAGTTGTTCACTAAGACAAGTTTTACTGTAATATTTAATTGATTGCACAAATACATGTACTTACAGCATGAGGCAACATCCCCCACAATTTGACATACAGCCTCTCTCTGTCGGAAGGGCCTGTTTGTCATAACCAGCCACACCACAGAATAGACCAATCAGAAAACAGAATATGACAAGGCCAAATACACCCATTAGGCCTAAACCCCCATACCACCTAAAATGTTGAATCATTGTATGCAATTAGATGTCATTATAAAACATAAGGGAGTATCAGTTTCCGTTGGTATGCTTAACAAGTTACCCTTTTGTTACTTAAGAAATGAACTTTTTACATTTAATATGTTATGACTTGTCATATTTTTACAATTTTGTGTTATATGTCCTGGTTCCAGTCATTTCTTTCGCAAAAACATTGAACATGAGTTACGTTTTGCTACCTCTAGCCATATCTACCTGTATACATTGTAGTCCTTTGCCAAGTCTATGTATCCACCAACATCTGACTTGACTGCTGATATGTCCAGAGCCTAAAACAAAATACAATGGTGTAAATCATTACTTTATATGGAAAACATAGATATACAGTATATATATATCACATAGACATTTTCCATCATTCATCTTCCATGAGTGTAGCATAGCCAGTCAAGAGACAGCAACTGCCTGACCAGAATTTTACAGAAAAATATTTATTCAGATATTTCAATTGAAACTGTAAAAATGAAGCCTAATGACAACTGACTCAACTTTTCCCCACCTATTTAATTTTGCCTCACTTATTAAACGTTGCCCCACTATTTCAACTTTGCCTCACCAATTTAACTTTGCCCCACCAATTTAATTTTGCCTCTCCAATTTAACTTTGCCCCACATATTTAATGCCCCATCAATTTAACTTTGCCCCACTATTTCAACTTTGCCTCACCAATTTAACTTTGCCCCACCAATTTAATTTTGCCTCTCCAATTTAACTTTGCCCCACATATTTAATGCCCCATCAATTTAACTTTGCCCCACTATTTCAACTTTGTCTCACCAATTTAATTTTGCCTCACCAATTTAACTTTCCCCACATATTTAATGCCCCGCCAATTTAACTTTGCCCCACTATTTCAACTTTGTCTCACCAATTTAACTTTGCCCCACCAATTTAATTTTGCCTTACCAATTTAACTTTCCCCACATATTTAATGCCTCACCTACTTAACTTTGCCCTACCATTTCAACTTTGCCCCACCATTTCAACTTTGCCCCACATATTTAATGCCCCACCAATTTAACTTTGCCCCACTATTTCAACTTTGTCTCACCAATCTAACTTTGCCCCACCAATTTAATTTTGCCTCACCAATTTAACTTTTCCCCACATATTTAATGCCTCACCAATTTAACTTTGCCCCACCAATTAAATTTGCCTCACCTATTTAACATTACCTCATCTATTTAACTTTACCCATCATTTAATGCCTCAACTATTTAACTTTGCCCCACCTTATTTAATGCCCCACCTATTTAACATTACCTCATCTATTTAACTATTCCCCACCTATTTAGCTTTGCCCCATCTATTTTTTGTCCTGGCTTAACCCCTGTCTTATGAGCACACATTCATTTGACTTCTAATAACTTTCTTGATTTGTAACTTTCATATCATTTTCATAATCTGTATATGTGAATATTCATATTTACCCCTAATGTAGTGTTGATGAAGCCATCTACCATTCCTGATATCATGCCAGAAAACTCATCCATGGTTCCTGATACAGCTGAAACAATAAATTATACATATGATTATATATTTTGTTTTAATTATTGTGGCTTTATTAACAGAGAAGAATTTACTTTACATCTATACTTCTTGTTGGGTCATCCTAAGGTTTTGTATTTTATATTCACAGTTTCTCATTTATAAATCACAAAAATGTAATTTCAATACATGTAGACACATTTAGTGAAGCTGAACTCTTTCTAATGTATGTTTCACATTTAATTTATGAAATATGATTAATGTTTCAGAATTTGGAATATCATAACAGCTCTGAGTTACATGTGATGGCTGAGCACTTACAATCACTCAGGCTTCCAACTGTGTCATTTATCATGGTCGGAATATTGTCTAAAATTGCTCGTCCATCAAGCGCCATCTGGGTCAGGTTCTGACTGGTAATCGCAGACATTGAGCTGGATACTCCACTCAGATCTGGCAACTACAATGAAAGGTGATTACAACAATACCATTATTCTCCACTGATAGGCATTCTACATTATGATTATACCTGTATTACCCTTGCCCAAGTTGGTGTCTTTTTATTTATTTTTATTATTTTTATATCGGAAATTGAAGATCAAGATAAGTAAAAGAAAATACTGTCTTGGATAAGGCTAGCATTTTAATAGATGAATTCAACTATTTGTGATGCAATTGTTGCTGGACCATTATTAGAATTTTTGTAGCTACATTTATCCTATGCCAAGTAGAGTTTTAGGGAGATAAGTTGGTAAGATATATTCCGTATCCTGTTTTTGAGGTTTCCATATCCTGAACCTCCATATCTCCCGCCATATCTCCCGCTCCAGGGCATATCTTCCCGCTTCGAAAAAAAATGTGAAAAAACACGAAAAAATTGAAAAAAGAATAATGTGAAAAAATGTGAAAAAAATTTTAAAAAAATTGAAAAAAGAAAAAAAATTGAGAAAATTGAAAAAATTAGAAAAATGTGAAAAAAAATTGAAAAAATAAAAAAAAATTGAAAGAAAATTGGAAAACTCTACTTGGTATAGGATAAAGCAGTTATGTACGGTCGGTTTGGTTTGATGCTATGGTGGCCTGTAGATGGTGTTTAAATGCTATGGTGGCCTGTAGATGGTGTTTAAATGAAAGCATTTACTACCTATATGGACATTTGAATTCCTTTAAATAACCAAACAAGGCATTAACATGCATAAATGTCACCTACAATTTGTTACAGACATCAATCAGCAACCAAACACCAACCACCAAATGTCAAACATTGAAAATGGAGGATCCTTCGAAGGATACATTAAAACAATTAACTTACTGTTTCAAAATCTATTCCAAGTGCAAGTACACTTTCATCTACATTGTTACAAGCTTGAGGTGGAAAACAGGAAGAACATCCCAACTTAGTAGCAGTAATATCATCCTTTAATGTCTCAAGTGCTGAGTTTAGATCATTCCCCGCTGTCTTTACATTACTAATCTTAGTGTTTACATTATCCAGTTTGTCAACGACATTCAGTATAACTGCAACAGAAATCATGCTGTCTATTACTTCAAAACTCCTAAAAATGTTCATTTGATATGGAGAATAGGTAATTCAGCATCTTTACTTGATAAATGCATTGCGGTGCATTACCTTTACTAATTGGACCGACATATTTCCAAATGGAAGAAAGGAAATTATCATCATCATTATAATGATCATCATAAAAAAGATCATAATGTAAGTAGGGGTTACCATAAAGAACCATCACTTAGTTCATATAACATAGTTCTAAAATAATAAACTCAAACCTGTATACATTTACACTGTTTTTTTGTATAAATATAAAGGTATTGATGAAATGGGAGAACATCATAAAAAGGCTTCATCCTGAAGGGTAATTAAAGTGACTCAATTTAATTTTGTGTGCAAGTACATCACTGAAGTTCTAATTAACAAGTTACAATCATTTATCAATAAAGCAATCCAAGAGAGTTAAAATGAAAGCATTTCTTACTTTTATGTAGGTTAATGATTGAGTCTAAGGTGGGATCTACTATTAATCCAAGGGAACTAACAATAGAGCCACCCAGTATTGGACCAATTCCAGACAGGTCATTCCGTATACCTTGGGCAGTCACTGCATACATGTCGACAGCCATGTACTTGAATTGCTACAAAAAAATGAGACAATCACTTACAATGGTAGAACATATACAATCTATTTTATGATACAAGAGTTTGATGCGAATAGGCCCACAGGGTGTTTATTAGAAAGAACTCAAAATAAACACCTATGGGCCTTTGTTTATAAGAAAAACATTTTTCCAAAGGGGGTAGGCGTTAATTAATAGGGGAAAAATTGCTTTCCCAAGCCATTGGGCGTTTATTTCAAGGGATATTATCGATCGTAAAGTTGACACACAAAGTTGACAATCAGATAGAGGAAAATGTTTGACAGGAGTTTCTATGCTTGCTTGTGCATAAATTGATATTCATTTGTGGATGAAAATCCCTTTGCTCCTAAATCATAGCTGGGATATCTCTCTATATGTACCTCTGCAGTATTGTTCAGGAAAACATCAATGTCATCAAAATTGTTGTCGATATTATCCCCAATTGCATCCAGGGCGCTGTTGAACCTTTCATTGGTGTAGTATGTACACCCCATTGCAGCACTGAAATACAAAATTTTGTATCATATAGGCATTTACAGTGTTGCGACTTTGAAAAAAAGTTGTTCACAATTTTGCAGGTACATGTTACAGTAATTTGGATATGGCTATTGTCATAATATCGATCATCTTTTGATTTTACGATGTTTAGATGCAATGCTTATCAAAAACACTTAAAATTATACAACAGCAATCAACAATTATATGTAGAAATAACGGGATGTTCACTCTCTTTTACATCCAGACAATCAAATACTTATCAACAACTGATCATTGTTTGAAACATTTATCAGTATCAGGCAGGGGGCCTTGTGTATGTGACTTCTGCATTGTAATAGCTGTATAATTATACTAAACAGAAAAAGATACAGTTTTTCAAATTAATTGATAATTTCCATAGTTTGAATGCAGGACCACTGCAAGGCACAACATCATCTCATCAATTATCCAACTTTATGAATGAGACATCCCTTCAGCCTTTGTGGAATACCACTTGTGAAAGATGTGCAAATATTCTATCCATTAAAATAATGTTATAACATACCCCATACAGAGGGACATAAGGAACAAGGCAAGTCCATATCCCATTCTTTTACATACACCATGCAGAGGGACATTAGGAAAAAGGCAAACCAATATCCAATTCTTTTACATACCCCATGCATAGGGACATAATAAACAAAGCAAGTCCATATCCCATTGATTTACATACCCCATACAAAGGGACATAATGAACAAAGCAAGTCCATATCCCATTCTTTTACATACACCATGCAGAGGGACATTAGGAAAAAGGCAAACCAATATCCAGTTCTTTTACATACCCCATGCATAGGGACATAATAAACAAAGCAAGCCCATATCCCATTGATTTACATACCCCATACAGAGGGACATAAGGAACAAAGCAAGTCCATATCTCATTGATTTACATACCCCATACAGAGGGACATAATGAACAAGGCAAGCCCATATCCCATTCTTTTACATACCCCATGCAGAGGGACATAATGAACAAGGCAAGCCCATATCCCATTCTTTTACATACCCCATACAGAGGGAAATAAGGAACAAGGCAAGCCCATATCCCATTCTTTTACATACCCCATATATGCAGAGGGACATAAGGAACACGGCAACCCCATATCCCATTCTTTTACATACTCCATGCAGAAGGACATAAGGAACAAGACAAGTCCATATCCCATTCTTTTACATACCCCAGACAGTGTGACATAATGAACAAGGCAAGCCCGTGTCCCATTCTTTTACATACCCCATGCAGAGGGACATGAGGAACAAGGCAAGCCCATATCCCATTCTTTTACATACCCCATGCATAGGGACATAAGGAACAAGGCAAGCCCATGTCCCATTCTTTTACATACCCCATACAGTGTGACATAATGAACAAGGCAAACCCATATCCCATTCTTTTACATACCCCATGCAGAGGGACATAGTGAACAAGGAAAGCCCATATCCCATTCTTTTACATACCCCATGCAGAGGGACATAGGGAACAAAGCAAGTCCATATTCCATTATTTTACATACCCCATGCAGAGGGACATAAGGAACAAGGCAAGCCCATATCCCATTCTTTTACATACCCCATGCAGAGGGACATAAGGAACAAGGCAAGCCCATAACCCATTATTTTACATACCCCATACAGAAAGACATAAGGAACAAGGCAAGTCCATATCCCATTCTTTTACATACCCCATACAGAGGGATAAAGGGAACAGGGCAAGTCCATATCCCATTCTTTTACATACCCCATACAGAGGGACATAGGTAACAAGGCAAGTCCATATCCCATTCTTTTACATACCCCATACAGAGGGATAAAGGGAACAAGGAAAGCCCATAACCCATTCTTTTACATACCCCATACAGAGGGACATAAGGAACAAGGCAAGCCCATATCCCATTCTTTAACATACCCCATACAGAGGGATAAAGGGAACAAGGAAAGCCCATATCCCATTCTTTTACATACCCCATGCAGAGAGACATAAGGAACAAGGCAAGTCCATATCCCATTCTTTTACATCCTGCATTCTCATCCATGGACTGAAAAAAATAGAAGTACATCATCTTATTTAAATTATTAAAACATCAACTGCACATGATTTGAATGTGAAGTTCATCTTGTATACATGCATAATTCAAAGACATAAAGCTACAAAATCAAGATTTAATCATGAATGGGCTTTAAAAAATCACTATCCAATATTTGGATCTTCATTTACCAAACTTATTGAGAAGGTGTACCAGTGTAAAAGAACTTTGACTGGATCAAGTGTTAAATCCTATTTATGTTTGATTTAAACAAAATCAGACAAGGTATTAACACATAAAATGTTACCACCTACCATTTGTTACAAACATCGAACTAATATTGGGACTTTCATTTGCTAAACTAATTGAGGTTACCTGTGTACTAGAGCCTCCACAGTTGCCACAGCATCGACAGCAGCAAAAGCAGAAGCCACAGATTGGTAGGAACAACACATAGAGTATACCTATAGCAAATGTTATAGCAAACCCCATGGCATAGTTCACCAACTGGAAGAATAAAACACCAAATATTAATACAGTAAAACCTGTGCACAGTGAACACCTGTGTTCACCATAGGTAGGTGTTCACTACAGAGAGGGTAATTTATACAGAAGTCAGTAGAGTATGTTCGGAGGAAGGGTGTCCACTAGAGACAGGTCACTTCATACTTTGGTCAATGTTATCAATCTTATGCCTCATAGCACCCTGTAGGAATTTAATGAAGGAGATGTATGGTCATCAATGCACTTATGTAGAATAATAGGGAACAAATAAAATCATTATTATTTAATAAAAATCATTGCATAATACTACATATATACCTCCATATAATCTGAAGATATGTCAAATGTCCCGGCCATCAATTGTTGGATCATATCTGAAATCACAATCACAATGTAAATCAAAGTGCCACATGTAATTAAATGTTCAGTAAAACCTGTGTACTATATTGAACATTTTCCTGCCGAGAAAAAACATATGTTGGTAGGTGTTCACTATACAGAGATTTTAATTTATACATCAGTCAATAGAGTATGTGCTAAAAGTTGGAATTGCAACTTTTGGATGGGAGTGTATATTATTGAGCTGGTCGAAGTTTACATGATCACCATACCCCTGATCCTAAACAAAGTCTATATACTGGTCAACAAGGTTAGCTCAATGGTCAAACACCACACATACTAAATCCTCACACAATACGGCTTTTTACAAATCTGATTAAGGCATTGATAGTTTCCATTGAGGTCAGTTGTTAACCTTCTTTCGGCTTTAAGGCTATAATCCCAAGGTAAATATAAATTTAATATAAGTTGAAAGATTATCTTCATTTTATAGCACTATGATAAGTTCTTGAGATCTCATGGACTTGAAGATTAATCTATTTAAAGTTTCTTTTTTGTGGCGGACTATTATAATGTCATAGCCATTCGACTCTTTTTGATATTAGACTGTTAATGTAAAACACAGTCCCAGCTATTTAATTCTACAGTTTGAATTACTTTTAAAGAATTTGAAATATTAAAGGCACAAGAACTTTTCTTTTCAACTATTTTGAACAAAATGATAATGGCAGATGTAGATATTATCAATGAGTCCTGTCAAAAATGATATTATAAATAGGGATAATTATTAGTTAGTAATAGTATACAAAATATTTTGTACTTAATTGAGGGGAATACCTGTACATCTTTCACAAGTTATATTCCCAGATCCATGGAAGAATATTACTTTGGAAGGTGACACGGGTATTCCCTGGAGAATAGAATATTTGTTTTATTATACCATTTTATGTTTCCCATTCTGTAACAAGGAAAGGAAGATAATCTGCTATGAAATATCCACTTTTCAGAATGGGGCCCATCTATTTACAAATGAAGAGTAACCATCACAAGGAGGAAATTATAATAGTTTTTCAAATTATAATAGTTTTTCAAATTATAATAGTTTTTCAAATTATAATAGTTTTTCTCCCTCCAACCTTATTATGAAGTTTAAAATTAGACATAAAATTATTTCATATACAAACTTACCAAATGGAAGGGAATTAGGTTGAACAGTATTCACAAAACTCCTTGCAAAGGCAAACAACATTGCAAGGCCCCCAGAATCGTAGGTTCCATTTGTTTTATATGGTGTGCTTGGAGCAGGTAGGGGGCCCCAGATGATGGTCCCATTTTCCAATATAGTATTTCCATTACTGTCTGTATAATTGGCAGCTTCCACTGTTTTTCCTTTCCATGGTGTTGCTATTATGCACAGACCCACCAAGAGTAGAATCAACAAAGATGTAGGGCTATTAGGCCTAACCATTGTTTAAATAAGCATATATCTAATTAAAATTCAGCCCCAGCTATTGTGCCATCTTAATTATTTTTAAGTATTTAATCGAGGAATTGTATGTGGATTATTTGTCCCTCTCCATTTTAACCACCTTCTTAAAATTTTTGAGATTTAAAATGGCGTTTGATAATCCTATTCTTGGTAAAAGGGGATTATTGGAGACCCCTTCTATGAAGATCATATATACCATGTACAGTATGAGTATAACCAATGGATATTTAATAATACTGTATATGAATCACTCAAATAGAAATTATGATAATTAGAGTTATTAATTTAATCAAAGGACAAATATAATATTAGTAATAAGTAGTATGTAACTGATTCTATTGTTTAATTATAAACTGCCCGTTTCCTTCTAACTCGGTAATACTCATCAAAAAGTATCACTTTTAATTTGCCTAAAATTTCTAAAAATATACAATAGGCAAATTTAAAGACAATTACATGTATATGCAATTTAGTTAATAACAAACATAAACAAATATAACATAATATAAAATGGAATCAATGTTAAGTTTATTTTCGATACAAAATTAAGCATAAGTTGACTGTGCTATCCATTATATTTGTGCAATATATAATTATGATATAAACAGGCCCGTAGCCAGGGGGGGTTCGGGCAAACCCCCACCCCTGGCCAAAAATTCTTTCAAAATCATGCAGTTTTTCAACATTTTGACCACTTCTCAAGTGATTTTAGCTATTATCGAGCCAAATTTGTCAAATGTGAACTCCCTGAAAATTTTTGAAAATTGAACCCCCTTTGGCAAATCCTGGCTACGGGCATGATAAATAATACAAGAAATCCCCACCAGCTACATGTATGTATAAAAGACACTGGGAAATGTACAATGGTCTTAGTAAATGTACAATGCTGTTAAAATTAACATGCATTGAAAAACAATACCATTACATTAAGAAGAAGAATCTGTAAATGAAAGCTTCTGAGACCAGCTAAGAGTTCATATGTCCATAAATTACCAGTACATGTATACTTGAAGATTTTGTTTACAGTTTGTCAATTTTCCAAAATGGATTGAACTGAAACGTCCTTACATTCTTGGTGTTTTCTTTGGAGAGGTGATCAGATAGTGATCTTACTACACTAAAATACACCATACATGTAAAATGTACATATCTTAAATGCATATAAATGTGTACATAGTGAAACAATTGAACTTTGTTTTGCTCTACAATATGTACTATATCAGCTATACACACCAATGAAGTGATTCAAATCATAACAAGCCATTTACATGCAAAATGTCACCACCTGCCATTTGTAGCAGATGCCAAATGCCAAACACCAACCATCGAACACCATCCACAAAAAAGTTGGAGGCCAAAAGGTGTAGTAGTTGATACCAGTGAATACAATAATTGATTGATTTTTCTGTTTAATTATGTTGATGTAGGGATATAAAATAAAATATGATTGTCTTCATTGAGGTGTTATAAATAATTACCACATTCCTCTCTTTGAGTTACCATATCTAGAAATGCCAAATCTGAAATATATTTCTACATCTGTAATATCATAATGATCATTATGCGATTTATGGGTAAACAGATCTTAGCTTCTCAAATGCATACAAGGCATTAGCATGCAAAATGTCACTACCTGCTATTTGTTACAGTTAGAGACCATGACAATGTTATGGTGTATGGTTATGTTACCACTTGAGATGGTGGCATAAAAATTACTCCAACATGCATGCTTCTGGACAGCATTTTACCATTTCATTTTCATTTTTTGTTTTTGTAATCAAATAAGTTCCTATGCCTCATGATGTTTTTGTATACCTATGTAACGACAACTGAAGCAGTAATTGTGTCCTTTTAAAAATAAGTAAAATACTGTTGCTCTAGCATATGTGTGTATAAGCCTCAGAGGTGTAGCCAGCTTTCAGTCGGGGGGGGGGGCTGTGATTGCCAAAAAAAATCAGTCAGGAGGGGGGTGTGATTTTGGCATAAACAAGATATTTGATTTGAATTTTACAAAAGTTGATGCAACTTCCTTCAAAATTGAGCTAGAAGCTTCAAATAAAAAGTATTTTAAAGCCACGCCTATATGAGCCTTATGTACAAAATACTTCAAATTAACACTGTAACCACTGTAAATATGTACATTAGTATTTCACTTGTTTATCAATTGAGAAGCATTTAGAAAATAAAGGAAATCAATGCTGAGTTACATTTTCTGAGCATAATCATATGTTTTCTCTAAAGTTTTTTACTCTTATAATTAAATCATTCTATGCCAAATTCATTATCATTTTATTCCATACCATGTAATAAAAACTCAAAAAGTTAACGTTTTTGTTAAACTTCAGAGTATATATTCAAAATTTCCAATTCAAATACTTTCAGCAATTATTCATAAATGTTAAAATAACAGACAAAAGTACAAAAACCTCTCTCAACGAAAAACAAACTTTTTTAAAAATATATCACAGTAATATTTACTAGGTCAGCAGCTGAGCAAATTTAAAAAAATAAGTTTGTCCCCTAAGTTTCTCACTGGATTCATGTAGAGCAAGGTCTTGGGCTTATTTTGAGCTTGGGTTCTCTGTCCTAGCCCCGGCAAAGAATGTGAAAAATGGTCCTATAGGTGGCAGGCCTGTCAACTGTCCCGCAATTTGCGTATTTGTCACGCATTTGCTGAAGAATTTGAAGTCACGCCAGTTTTTTTTGCGTGACAGAAAATGTCACGCAAAATACGCATTTTACCTGGTAATTGTCACGCAAAAATATTTCTGTAGAAATTTTTTCGAAATATGTTTACGATACGGTAAAAATACGAACGCCGGAAAAAAACGAACGCAATTTGTTCGGATTTGTCACGCGAATCCCGTATGTGTCACGCATGTTCATTGGAAATTTTTCGTCCCCCCCCCCCCCCCCCCCCCCCGTTGACGACAACGCGAGCGTAGCGAGCGCGAAAAATTTGAGGTTCAAAGTTTGGCAAAGGTGCTCAAACTTTGGTCAAAGGTGTTTAAAAGTTGGCCAAAGGTGTTCAAAATTTGGACAAAAGTGTTCAGATTTGGTCTTAGGTGTCCAACATTTTGAAGTCACTCATATTAGGTGGTCCCAAGTTGACAGCCCTGAGGTGGCGCCCCCTACAATTTACCCCCAAACTTAAAACTAATTATTATTTTCATAATTGAAACATAAAGACATCTCAAATAGCTTAAATTGATCAATGGTACATTAAGTTATGCATTAAAAAATTTTTCAATGTGTGAAAATCATAATTTATGGAGAAATAGTTGATTAACCCCTTAAAACGCCCCCTATTTTAAAGGGGATACTTAAGTTAACTTCCGTAACTTTTGTGTCATTCAGGATTTGGGCTTAAAAATATTCCTGAATATGTATAATTATGCTGTTGAGAGACTGCAGTAACCCTATGTTCATAGCTTTATCACTTTTTGAGAAAAAAAATAAAACGTATTTCCATATAATTTGAATTTATATTATTTTCAGATAAACCATCATCTATACTTTTTAATTTACTTTCCACACCTTATACCCATGCATAGTATTAATACTTTTCTTTCATTTTAGACCAATATAGATGACTGTAGTTCACTTAAAATAAATAATAATAAAAAATTTAAGCAGAAATTATTGATTTACCTCTTAAAACACCCCTTATATAGGGATACATACACTATAGCTTCTATAACTCACTGTAACTTATGTTTCGTTCAAGATTTAGGCTTGAAAATATCCTTGAATTTGAAGACTTGTGTGTGTGGGAGACTTAATAGTTAACCTTTGCTCCTAAATAAATAAATAATTTACCACATGCTGTTGTCTTTGTAAATTATCTCAAATTCAGATTCTGTTGTCATTGACGATATCGAAGATGCTATATTGTGGCGATTCACGACCCCATTTGATAGAAATGTGGATTTCATATAATACATCATCACATGAGCTTAATACATGCACAGAATTAGTGATGATAAAATCCCATGAGAAACGAGGACCAAGTGATTAAAGAGTTGAAGCGACAGTTATGTCCGCCATTTGTGACAACGGTATCTGACTTTATCCAATACTCAGCTTGACCCATTGGAATATGGTTTCGTTCTTGAAAATGATCTTGATACAAAGGATATTCTGTATATCACCTGATGATCTGATTTTACAATGTAATAAACCAGATGCGAATAGGCAGTTACCAGTTTCACCGCAAGGAGGCTAATTCGGGGCCGATAACATGGCAGGGTATTAGAAAGTTCCCCTAAACTTGAATATTCATCAGCTTTAGTGTTTCAATTTTCATATCACCTTATGTATCTGATAATTATATACAGTACAAATTAAAAAATATGCCCAGTAAAAGAAAATATAATCTGTCCAATACAAGCAAAGATATTTCACTTCTTGTGATTTTATTAACATGGGGTCTATGGAGAATCTCTTCGACCTAGAAATTGCATTTTCAAAGAAAATTGAATTTTCAAAGTTGCAAAAACACATCTCTAGATGTAATTTTACATGTAGATTTCAAATATGATATCAGTTTGACTGAATTTTTAATTTTCAATGGCGCAAATCAAGATTATTTCTACTTCCATCTAATTTATTATAGTAAGTGTGGTACAAAACAGATTATGTGAACTGAACAAAATTAATTGTTGCATGTTTTGTAAGTGCAAGGGAAGTGGTAACTGTAATTACCATCTAATCAAGCTTTTAGAAAGTGTTGTAAGTAATGCATGAATTTATTAATCTGATGTCACTGTGATACTATATGTATGTTTTTTCGAAGAATCATCATAACACAACCAGCAGAAAGTATTTTTCTTCGTATGTTGTATCTTTGTATCTATTGGTCAGGAAGACGAGAAATAATATATATATTTGTTAAAGTTTACATGCATTAATATTTCTCCATAAACAAAGAAAGGTATTTATTGGTTGTGTTGCAGGAATTGTGCCAGCACAACCCAGTCAATAAGGTCAGCACAATACAAAAATATTACACATACCATATCCCTAGTTGGTTTTTCAATAGTCTTAACTGAACCCCTAGTATATAGTAAGCTAAAGACTGAAAGAGGTGCTTTAATATCCTTTTTTGGTTGTTTGGTTATTTTAAAGCCTTAGTGCTATCATAATATGCACTGGTTGTGCCATAATACACCATATTTGTTTCATTATATCCCTTATCAATTCCTTAGTATACCCAGAGAGCTTTAATTAGTTTCTTAATACCCATTAGTGCTTCCTAATATGCCTTGTAGTGCTCTTTAGGGGCTAACAGAACACCATGATGACCTACTTGGAACCATCGTGAGCTTTCAAGAGAAAGCCCATCGAACCAATCAGGGTATCTAGGAAACCATGAAGGAATACTGCAGCACCACAAGGCATACTAGGGGTCTCCAAGAGCTATGAATTTAAACACTTCCTCGGTATACTAGGGAATCGCTAGAGGCTACATGGAATCTTTGGGAATCACTAATGGATATTAAAGAACCAATTGTGGCTATCAAAGCACCAGCAAGGCATATTAGGGAGTACGAGGGCAGATTTAGAAACCAATAGGGATTGTTAAAGCATCACTAAGCAAACTGAGGAATCACTTAGTGTTAATACGGAACCAGGTATCAAAGTTCAATCAGAGCCAATCAGGGCATACTAGGTTATCAGTTTAAAAGGAACCAATTTGGGGTATTAAACCACAATCAGCCATACTCAGTTATTGCTAAGGTTATTTCATGAACCTGATAGGAGTTAAGCACAACCAAGCATCACAAAGGTCTTTTAGGAAACATATGTTTAAAGCACAACCAGACTACCAAGGAACCAATTTGGTGTATTAAACCACAACCAGGGCATACTACATGTAGGTAATTGCTAAGGCTATTTAATGAACCAATGGGGGAAGTCAAAGCACAACCAAGCATACAGAGGAATCACAAAGGTCTATTAGGAACCATATGTTTAAAGCACAACCAGGATATACTAGGTTATTGCCTAGACTATTGATGAACCAATAAGGGTTATTAAAGCGCAACCAGGGCATGCGATCTTATCACCAAGGGGAAATTGAGTTTCTCTATTGCAAATTTCAAACAGTTGTCATCATGGCAGAGTTCAGTGCACATGAGTGTGACAGTTATGCGCAAAGATGTATAGATAGGATTCTTGCAGTGGCTTATGGAGAGGCCAGGGATCCTGGTGCGACCTCTATCATTAAAAATGGATATGAGAAAAAGTGCACAGATCACCGGCCTGAGTCCAAAAATCACCAGGAAATGCCCTCTAAATGACCCCGTACCCGCAATCTTTGATACAATGTATCTTTTTTCAGCGATACACCTTGATTCTGAAACTTTGCAATCCTATGTAACTTTCGATATGATTCATAAAATGACAGGGTAGCAATGCTAGATGTATGAGTTTATGGGGGGGGTGCAAAGATATGAAATACCCTGTATGTACATTATTACTTCTCATCTTCAGATCACTTGATGAAGCAAACAAAGAGAAATAAATGTACCTCTTGATTGTGTTGATGTGATTGTGCCAGTACAATTCAGTCATTGTAACAGCACAATCCAAAAAACAATATATGTTAAGTAGTAATTGTTTTAATTACTCAGATGCGAGTAGGTAGGTACCAGTTTCGCCACCAGGTGCCTGATTCGGAGGAATTAACATGGCAGGGTATTACAAAATTCCCTTAAACTTGAATATGCATCAGTTTTAATGGTTCACTTTTCATATTACCCTAATGTATCTGATAGTTATACAAACTAAAATATGTCCAGTAAAAGAAAATATTATCTGCCCAACACAAGAAAATATTTTTCACTTTTCGTGGTTTTACAACATGGGGTCTATGGGGAATCTCCCCGACCTAGAAATCACATTTTCAAAGAAAATTAAATTTTCAAAGTTGATTAACTCTTTTCAAAACCACATCTCTAAGTGTAATTTTACATGTAGATTCCAAATATGACATTAGTTTGACTGAATTGTGAATTTTTAATGACGTAAATCAAGATTATTTCTACTCGCATCTGGGATATTACTTTACATGTTAGTAAGTAACCTGCAAAGAGAGATTGAATCTTTAATTATATGAGCCCATACATTGGTTCATCCTCTTGGAATGCATGCTAGAGTTTTTAAAACTCAGTTATTGGATTGTGGATCTTGGTGAAAACATGGACTTAATGGTCGCTAGGAGATATATCAGGTTTGGGGTTGTCTCATGGTGTAAAATCGATTATAATTTTGCTTTTATTCAGAAATGTTGGATGGTTTACATTTGCTATTAATATTAAACTCACCATTATGAACCCCAGCAAATTAAAACATTCATTGCCAAACATCATGAGCTTTCAATGCATGTGAATTTCAAAAATATTTCCTTAGTCTCCCACACACACTCTTTCCAATATGGGGCATTTTAAGGGGTAAATCAATTATTTCTGCTTAAATTTTATTTTACTATTTATTATTATGAACTATTATGAACTCCAGTCATCTATATTGGTCTAAAATGAAAGAAAACTATCAATACTATGAATGGGTATAAGGTGTGGAAAGTTAATTAAAAAGCATAGATGATGGTTTATCTGAAAATAATATGAAACCAAATTATATGGAAATACGTTTTATTTTTTTTCTCAAAAAGTGATAAAGCTATGAACATAGGGTTACTGCAGTCTCTCAACAGCATAATTATACATATTCAGGAATATTTTTAAGCCAGAATCCGGAATAACACAAAAGTTACGGAAGTTAACTTAAGTACCCCCTTTAAAATAGGGGCGTTTTAAGGGGCTAATCAACTATTTCTCCATAAATTATGATTTTCACACATTGAAATAAAATTTAATGCATAATTTAATGTACCATTGATCAATTTAAGCTATTTGAGATGTCTTTATGTTTAAATTATGAAAATGATAATTAGTTTTAAGTTTGGGGGTGAATTGTAGGGGGCGCCACCTATAGGACCAGTTTTCACATTCGTTGCCGGGGCTAGGACAGAGAACCCAAGCTCAAAATAAGCCCAAGACCTTGCTCTACATGAATCCAGTGAGAAACTTAGGGGACAAACTTATTTTTTTAAATTTGCTCAGCTGCTGACCTATACAGTCATATACTTTATTTGACAGATCTCATACTGGTTTTATACAACAAATCTCTGCATTTTACAGCTACATGTACATGTACATTTATTTCAGTATTCTTAATAAATCTATGTGTATATCTATATGGTATATACATGTACATATTGGCAAAAAATAAAAACCCTCATATATAAATACATTTTTCCTTCCACCAAGTGTCATCTCATGTTAGTGAAATGTAAAATAAAATATTACAATTTATGAAAATGCTAAAGAGTATTAGGCGTATTGCACCCTAACGTAATATTAAGATGAATGGATATACTCTTTCTATTTTAAAGTTGAAGTCTGACTGACATGCGAGTAAACAAACAAAAAATACCCTGTATGCAATCTACTTTGATTTTTGTATCATTAAGAAGCTATCAAAATTCCAGAGTTTATATAGTATTCTTTGGTGATATATATTCTTGTTTATATATATTCTTGGTTAATATATACTCTTATTTATCCCATACTTGGACGTGTTACGGGTACATAAAGCCGGTTTGTAAAAACTTATACTTTCATCAGCGGGCAGATATAGCTTTACGTCCCGCTCCGAGCGGGCAGATATAGTATATCTGCCCGCTACGTCATAATCGCCGCTCGCATATTTGTTCATAATTTGTAACGTTCGCGTAATGACTGTAAACTACAATGGAGAAAACACAGACAATCGGGATCTGTTTGATGGTTTAAAAAAGGGAAAGAGCATCCATTTAATCAAAAATTCGAGAAAATAAATGTGGGAATATTTGAGAGAACACGAAAATCCGCCCACGGCCAAGAAAACAAAACTGGACATGAATATTCTAAAATATTTCCACGATTGAACAATGTGAACCAGATGACCAAGATTGGCATGGGATAAACATATTATCCGAAAGTCGGTTCAGGATATTGGGATTATCCCGAGGCAAATATAATATATTTGCCCGAATTTATCCTGAACCTCATATAGGATAATCTCTATTTATGTACTTAGCCTATGGAGTACTTTGCCTAATACTTCATTTGATACAGATTCATCCACAAATTACAACATAAACTAATACATTACATACACAATCACGCATGCATCCCTTTAAGACATGAACATGCAAGATAAATACTATTTCATCAATGGAATGTCATATAATTTATCACAGTTGTGAATCATAAATATGCTATCATATTCTTTATTTATTAATGGAGGGACTAATTGACTTCATATGGATTACTGTATCAACTATAAAAAGTGATAAATACACATTCTAATCAACATACATGTATTAGAATGTGTATCAGATATAATTGTAAAATAGAAATATCAGGTTTTATATATAGGCTCTGGGATAAATAATTAATACACATTGCAGGCCCGTAAGACACTTTTCTCCAAGGGGGGTGCGGTTTTTACTAAAGAGAATTTAAAATTGTCAATTTTTTTGCCGCGTAAACCAAATCGCGTAAGTCAGAGGGGGGGGGGGGGTCGGTCACTCCCCCTAGAAGATTTTACAGTTTTGAGATACTATTTGGTGCATTCTGGGCCGGGCACTTTCAAAGTGTATGAGTCAATAAGAAAAATGTGAATTTTTTTCAAATTCTTTTGAGGGTGTCAAAAAGGATGAGAGGGTGAAGTGGGGTGGGGTGCCAGAGGGGGAGCAAGGGGTTGTCCCCCAGAAACATTGACCATATCAAGGTGCTATTTGATGATGTCTGGGCACTTAAAAAATGTCTGAGATAATACATGAAATTCAGAATATTTTCTTTTGTTTTGTGGTGGATGTGAGGGGTGGCTAACTCTCCTAGAAAATTTTACAATTTAAAGATGATATTTGGTGCTTCTGGGCACTTTTAAAGTGTATTAGTCAATAAAAACATTTTCAAATTTTGGGGGTGTCAAAGGGGAGGGAGGGGTGCCAGAGGGGGAGGTGGGGTTGGGGTGCCAGATGGAGAGCAGGTGTTTGTCCCCCATATCTGTCCCCCAGAAACATTTACGATATCAAGGTGCTATTCGATGAAGTCTAGGCACTTTAAAAGTGTCTCTGCCTATTTACCAAGAAAATTTTACAATTTTAAGATGCTGTTTGGTGCTTTCTGGGCACTTTCAGAGTGTATGAGTCAATAAAAAATTTGAAAAATCTTAATTTTTTTTCAATTTTTTTTTGGGGGGGTGGGGGTGTGTCAAGGGGGGATGCCAGATTTTACGACACTACTTGGTGCTTCCTGGGCACTTTCAATGTGTATGAGTCAATTAAAGAATTTGAGAAAATCACAACTTTCATCCACTTTTTTTGGGGGGGGGGGGGTCAAGGGGGGGGCGCCAGAGGGGGAGGTGGTGTGGGGATGCAAGTGCAAGATGCAAGAGGGAGCAAGTGTTAGTCCCCCAGAAACACTAACTGTATCAAGGAGCTATTTGATGATGTCTGTGCACTGTAAAAGTGTCTGGGACAAAACACTAAAATAAATTTAGAACTTTTCCATTGTTTTGTGGGGGGTGTGAGGGGTGGCCAATACCCCTAGAAAATTTTACAATTTTAAGATGCTATGCTAAAAATCTTAATTTTTTTTCAATTTTTTGGGGGGTGGGGGTGCGTCAAGGGGGGATGCCAGAGGGGAATGGGGAGTGGGGATGCCAGAGGGCGAGTAAGTGTTAGTCTCCCAGAATCATTAACTATATCAATGATGATGTCTGAGCAATTTAAAAGTGTCTGAGACAATACATAAAACAAATTCAGAACTTTTCCATTGTTTTGTTGGGGGTGTGAGGGGTGGCCCACTCCCCCTAGAAAATTTTACAATTTTACGACACTATTTGGTGCTTTCTGGGCGCTTTCAAAGTGTATGAGTCAATTAAAGAATTTGAGAAAATCACAACTTTTATCCAATTTCTTTTTTTTTGGGGGGGGGTCAAGGGGGGGGGGGGCGCCAGAGGGGGAGGTGGTGTGGGGATGCAAGTGCAAGATGCAAGAGGGGAGCAAGTGTTAGTCCCCCAGAAACACTAACTGTATCAAGGAGGTATTTGATGATGTCTGTGCACTTTAAAAGTGTCTGGGACAAAACACTAAAATAAATTTAGAACTTTTCCATTGTTTTGTGGGGGGGGGGGGTGTGAGGGGTGGCCAATACCCTTAGAAAATTTTACAATTTTAAGATGCTATTTGGTGCTTACTGGGTACTTTCAAAGTGTATGAGTCAATGAAAAAAATTACAAAAAAATTTTTTTTCAATTTTTTTTGGGGGGTGACAAAGGGGGGTGCGGTCGCACCCATCGCACCCCCCCATCTGACGGCCCTGCATTGTGGGATGAAACTAAAGGGTCAAATCATCTGAACTGGACGGAAATACAACTAAATGTGGACGGAGGTTAAAAATCAAAATGGGTATCAACTGTCTGTATTCCTTATAGTAGCCTTGCTTCAACTCCCCCCCCCCCCCAACTAAGTAGATAAGGTGGGGGCTCTAGGGTCTTGAAGTAAGATTATCTTTATAGTGAGAATTGGTCAAATTATGAATTACATAGTGTATACTTCTAAGTCACAATTTCAAGTAAATAATATACAATATATAATATAAGCACTTATTTTTCTTACAAATAAATTCCTTGGCATATTATACTAGATAAGCAAACACATATTCCTAAATTGGATTAATAATATCACAGAGCCTCACAGATCTTATCTAAGCTGATATCATTCACCTTTCTGATGAGAGTACTAAAAGGTCAGGTTCAGAAAATAAATGATATTCATATATGTACTAAAGAAAGGGTATTTCCATATTGAATGTGTTTTTCAATACACATGTAATACCCTGTGATTGAATAACAAGATATATACTCCTAATAAATATAATAAACATCTCCCTAATAAGTAGCATAAGCATATATACGAGTATAAGCATATAGTCTTACATCTAATATCTGTATCCATCCCCCATCTTACAATTAAAATAGTCATAAACAGAGAATAGGGATTAAAATTGATGCAAAACTCCATCAAAATATAAAAATACTTTGTATAATAATAATATCATTGTTCAAGTTCATATTACTGCATCTTGCTCTACTAAGGTAGGCCTAACAGAATGAGTAAATTGGAGCTTTACATATGTAATTGCCAGCATGGCAGTCCAATAGTCATCCCAATTGGCCCACCTTAAGGTTCAAACAACTAGCTGTATTTCCACATAGTTATTTCACAAGAATGTGTCCCTGTAGCAAGCTATGGCATCTGATATTGCTAAGCTATGGCATCTGATATTGCTAAGCTTTGGCATCTGGTATTGCTTTTCTTAGGAGTTACACTGGGGTATCATTATGGGCGATCTTGTTGGAGAATGGAGGCCCCTCCCTGGAAGGTAAAATAACAAGATTACACTAAAATACAAGTCCAGTTTTGAAGGCAAACATTTATTGTATCATAATCATTTTATTTAAAATGAAGTAAAATGCATTTACTCAGAAACAATGTTGTAAGACTTCGCTCGACTATGAATTTCAATGATTCTAAATTCCTACATTCTAACTTTTACATCTATTAATCACTGGCTGCAATTCAAGCATTATTCTTTTAATTATTTAAACTACAAATAATATATAAGCACAAAAATATTAATATGTGTTGTGAAAATATATCATTTACTTACTTTGTACCATAATTGTTACTGCAAACAGAAAAGAAAAAACAACAATTAGGTCAAGTTATAATAAAACATGTAAATCATTAATCTTTATTCATCGATTACAATTTATTCTATATATTTACTTCAAATGTCATTTCATATAAATACAGTCTAATATTAATTTAATGTTAATCATTCATAGTTTTTGTACATTGGAATTCAAAATTGTGCATACTATGGTATGTAACAACATCATTTCTACATTATATAATCGTGATATAATACGAGATTTAGAAGCATACATTTATAAGCAGCAGTCCCATCTACAAAATGTAATGTCATGATAAAATCTGGAAAATTAAAGAATAATGTGCAATAAGTCTCTATTTGAAATTCAAAAGTGTTAATCTAAAAACTCAATATGGTTAGACATGGAAAGTATAAGATCAATCAAACCTAGTTTTAGAGCATAACCTACAAGTATCATTATTGCATTACAACTTGTAGAGTGTAAAACCTAGTTGGAATTAAAAACATAAGACGAGCCAAACTACACATAATATCAAAAGGACAAATATAACAGGACATACATGGACGAACAATTTCAATTCTATTAGATGAACAACTCGGGGGTAATATAACATACATGTATAAAGGTACGTTGTACTGGTTAGCAATTGTTTAAAGGACGTATGTGAGCAGACATAGCATACATGAACACTGAATCATAGCACCAGGTAACTTACTATCCAATATCTTGCTACATTAGTCCATGTACTCAGGTTGCTATTTAGGATCATCTTTGGGGGTGGGGTGAGATGGGACAGGGGTACTAGGGGATGGGACCTCAGACTTGGGGGTCTCAACTTTTGTATCTATTTCAGGATTTTGTTCTTCATTTGGCCTGGATTGGTTGCCATCTTTCTCTGGATTATTCAATTGGTTTGACTCTTTTTCAGGTTCATCCTGTGTGAAGGACTTTTCCCTGTTTTCTTCCTTAAGGCTTGATTGACTAGAATTCATTGGTTCTTCTGATGTCTTGGGGATTTCACTATCTCTGATGTTTGGTTCATCCCCATTGGACTCTGTGCCATTGGTCTCTTTGGAATCTGCATCTTTAACACCATCACCTACATGAGCATCTTTAGTATCATTGCTTTCACCATTTATCTCATCATCAACTTCATTAGCCCCTCCAATCTTAGTAGCCTCACCCCCTTCAACAGCAGGGTTTTTTGGCTCTTTATTTTCTATAACATTTTCTTCTTTTATAGTGTCATCTAGATTTCCTTGATTGGTATCATCTGCATGCACAAAGGTTTTAGCCATAAACTGATCTTCAAGTGGTAAAGTAGAAGTATCATCTTTAGCATCATTCAACCCTTCTGGTTCACCCAGATCATTTTGCTTTGCATCTGCTGTTGTATCCGGCTTATTATCCTCATCTACCTTATCTGACTCCATACCAACATCCAGCTTTTGTTCAGTTGTGACCTGACCTTTGTCAACAATAGCAGTTCCTGGGAGGGGAGTCACTTCATCTCCAATAGTGCCAATGTACTGAGGATATTGCAACTGTAACTCTTGGCTATCTGGGGCTGGATCACCTTTGTATGGATCAAAGTCAACAGGTTCAACTTGATTTTGTTTGACAGGTGTTTGGTACTTATGAGCTGGACTCTTTTCATTTTCTGTATGGGCAGTAGGAAGGGTGGGATCAAAGTCAACAGGATGAACCTTATTGGTGGAACCTTTTAATAGACCACTCCCACTCCTTTGTGATTGGTTGTCTGATTGGTCATGGGTTAACATGGGTTGAGGGGCATCTGGGGTGAAAATGGGTTGAGGGGCATCTGGGGTGAAAATGGGTTGAGGGGGCACAACATATGAATCCCTCTTTAGCATGACATCAGCTTCTTTTGTCTCAGGGCTACAAGGATAAACATAATACGATTGATAAAATTTGAAACACAGCAAGCAATATGTATGTAAAAATGACAATGTTTCAAATATCCAGCAATTAACCTTCATAGGTCTAATGTATATGTAACATGAATAAGCTGAAAAGGGTTAATCACAAGAGTAGTGAACATGAACTAATCTACCATGAAAAACAGGTTTACTAAAATATCTAATGAATTTTTTCTAATAAAATATACATAAACTCGTACATTATATAGCCTGATCAAGCAATAAACCTTCTATCGACCTTAATCATAACATGATTTGTACAAACATTACATTGGAATGGTTTATATAGACTTAGTGAGGTGAAATCTATGGAGTATGGACACCCTGTAATGATGTCATTTGATTTTGATGTAACATTAGTTGATTTCTGGGTAATCAACCTGATTTCCAATCAATCATGAAATGTTCATCTCTTTTGTTAATTTCCATCATTGGCCTCATGTTATAATTATAGAGGCCTATATAGACCTCAGAACAGGGTTATATGCATAACTCTGACTGCACCACACTGCTGCTGGAGCCTCTCATGTACTTTGTTCGTTCAGTACACAAAGCAGGCTGTGTGATCCAGTCACTGTTCTTCAATCCATATTTTAGAAAAAACTCTCATATATTTGGCTTCATTAATCTCATTATTAGTATATAGCAGACTAAAAAGCTTTGTAATAAATTGCAGTGCATATAGAATGCAGTTGCAGATACATTCTTTTTGAAATTAAGAAGCGACATGATGGATAAATTTTGAACTATTGTAAACCTTGCCTCAGTATATGCAACCAAAAATCCACCAAAAGCTCCAGGTAAAAAAAATTTCATTCTACTCAAAGCTAGTCTATCATGAAGCTAAGCTCAATTGTATCGATTCAGAGAATCAAATATATTTTTGTATCCGAATCCAAATATATTTATTTGTGATAGCATGCGATGACAGTTTCCAATATACATTAATTAAAATGTGTACATACTCTACAGGGAAACCTTCAGCAGACTTCATGTTGCGGAAATATTTCTGTAACAGGACAGAAAATACGATGGACGGAATAAAGAAGAAGACACACCAGCCAAGTCCAAACCAAAAGCCATTCTAAAAAATAAAAGAATAATTGATGTGCATGTTTAATTGCCACCATGCAACAATTCCAGTAAAACATGTGTATTTGTCTCCCTTTGGCCTTAACATAGAAATAGATTTCAGTTCCTTCCTTCTACATACTACCATAAGAATTTTGGTCTAAATATGAAAGTATGTCTATATGTGAACAATCATTTTAGAGCTTCCCAATAGCATTGAAATGTTTTGCATTTTAAGTTCATTGTACAGTGTTTGCTGTAATTGATAATTGGAAGTTTTTCTCTTCAAATTAACATACATGTACATGCATACTGCCATTCAGGTGAGTTATTTGTTTCAATATGTTTAATATTCATGTTCTTGTATCTTGAACAAAGTGATTACAAAATAGCACTTTAAATTCTTGAAAGTGTAATAAAAATTGATTTTATCACACTTTTGTATTTAAATCATTTAATAATGATGAAATATTGAGAAGTTCATGATGACATTAACATTTAAACAGAAGAATGAGATAGTGACTCCAAAGTTCTAACTTACCATAGCATCCACAAGATATCCACAGAGAGCAATACCAAATATGGAGTTATACAGGTTCCATATTGGAGTACACTTCCCAATATCCTCATTTACCTGAAATTGGTAATTTATTACATGAGACCATTCCAACAGACAAATGAAAGATGTACTTGTATATATTTTTTTAACAACACAAAATTTAAAAGAATAATTGTTTTTATAAATGAGATTTGCAAATCTGGACCTAGGTGAAGAGAGCCAGCGCCATCTATTTGTTTTGATGACTAATGTTGCTCAATGTAGTAAATTGGCCACGTTTACATTTGTAATTATAGTAAAAACTTGTTCATGCAGATTTATGATTACTTACAGCATTCAGCACAAAAGCTATAAAACTGTCCACAGTGCCAAGGATGCGATCGCCAAATAGCCTTGCATGCTGAAAGTACAATGAAATTACATGTACAAATGTGATTCATGGGAGACTACCTTCCTTGCTGGATGCAGTACACTTCCAGGGAATTACGTGAAATAATTACGCAATTTTAGGATGTGGTAGAAGCCCACAAAATAAAAATGCAAATTGTTTTAGAGTGATCATTTGATCTAGCTAGCATCTAATTTCGAACAAATCCTTTAAGACTGCCCAATGATTTATGACCATTCATAGACCTGGTACTCACTTTTTGTATGGTAGCACTTGCATTATTCTGGACATAAGACTCCATGGCTTTGGCTGTATCTATAGTGGTGTTAATCTGGGCCTAAAAATAGATATCAATCATTTCAAACAAAAACATATTTAAATCATTCATAGGCTGGTCTTCTGACAGAGGCCTGGAAAGTGCCTGGAAAGGCAAAAAGGTACAATGGAATTTTGCATTTTAATTTATTTTCTATTTTACTTATATCAGTGGATCTCCCCAGCATTAAAGCAAGTAGGCGCAGCACCCACCTGAGATTTTAAAAACAGGCTTGCACCCACCTGAAAATCCATTTGCACCCACTTGAAAATGACAAAAATCGTGAAAAATGGGCATATTTTGACAATTTTCAGTGTGAATTGTGAAAATGAAAATTTTGTACCAAAAAATCCTGGGGAGATCACTGTATATGCTTCCTATATATGCTATTGTTTGTCACCTTAATGAGCTCATTTTACATAAATGCTATAAAGAGGAGTTAACTGGATTTTGTTTCATTAAACATCACAAGCAGAAGCTTTGATGTTGAGTTAATCAAAATACCTATAAAATTGAATACAAATAACGCTCCTATTGTTGGGGGTTTATTATATAGATATTGGTAAATTGCAAACCATTGGCGTCATCATTCAGAACAATTCAGTTTCTATACATGTAACTTCTATCAAAAATCTAATCTATAAGTTGAATTGAGTATTCAATGGTTCATTTAATACATAGAAATGAGTTCATAACAGATAATACATTATGAATGGAGATGTACAATCAAGACACAAACACAATAAGAGTTGCTCACCGGCACTGATGCTATAGCTGCCTGGAAATTGTTCAGGTCTGTTATAAGCTGAGCCTAAAACATCAAAAAAATATCTTAAAGACAATCTGTTGGTTGATTATCAACAGCTTTCATATGATCAGATATGATTATCTACCATTCATTTAACAATTTAGAATAATTAGTTATAACACTACAATATACTATTAACTAATAAAAAAAAATCCAGTTCGACATTCCATGAAACCTATACTACAGCATCTACACCTACACTTCCTTTTTACTGACCATGCTAATTAAATATGTATTAATAAATACCTTGGCAGTATCTACATCAGCTTGCTCAGTGGTTTCAATGGCTCTTATATCAGATGCATGTGTTGTGAAATCACTCTGAAATAAAGAAAACAAACCTGATATAAATGTGTATAAACATTTTCACCAAAATGACACAATACAATGTATGAATATGACCAAAGGGGAGGGGGCAACAGTACCATTATCAAATCCTTGTTGTTTATCTCCCCCCCCCCACCTTTACTTGTATTGAAAGGTGAAACTAAATTATAACAATATTTTTGTGTTAAAGTATTGGTATCTAATACTCATCACATCAGAATTGAAGTCACAGACACCTGCTAGGCACCTGCAGATTTTATTTCATTTTGAAACTCTCATTGCATTTGGGGGTCATCAGACCTTATTATCAAAACTGTTCATTTGTTCTGTTAAGAGCATTAGAACTACACAGCCAATATAATTCGGCGCCGTTTTATCATCGTAAAAAAATTCGGCGCTGTTCCGGCACCGTTTCGGCACCGAAACCTTATGACACCAAAGCGCGTCGAAAAACAGATTGCATTTTGGGGGTGTAGGTTTGGGAGTGTAGGCCCCAGAGTATTAAAGTGGTTACATGAAATTTCAGAGTGAATAGAGTAAATATGGTACTGTCACTCACTATTACTCCTGCACTGTTTGGTGATGGAGTGGTAGCATCTCTCAAGGTTTCCAATGACACAGCAAAGTCCTCCAAACCAATTTGTGTAGAATTTTTACTTAGCTGAAAGTGAATGAGTAGTTTTGTAGATAACTTTCCATTTTGATTTCTACTACCCCTGATGTGCAAAGCAGCCCACTTGCAGAAACAAGGGTGCTGTAATGACACTTCTGTAAATCTAGATAAAGAAGTGCAGAGGAGATTAATTTTTGATCATATCTATATTTTTTGCAAATAATTATACAAGTACATACATGTAATCAAAATCAATAAGTGCAACAAGAAAAAACAAAGAAAAACAAAAGAACTGTAAATTCATTCTGTTCTTTAAATGGCAGGAAACCAGAGCACTGTTTACCAATATCATGTTTCTTCTTTAAATTAAAGTTTCTTTGCGACTCAAGATTGCATGCTGTATTTTTCAGAAAACAATTTTCATTGAATTGTTCAAATTGAGGCTGATTTGACTTAAATGGACAAACAGAATGACATACCATATATGGTAAACAACACTACAAAACTATATATAGTAGAGGGGGCGTATCAATAGGCTTACCTCTGTTATAAAGCTGTTAAAGTCAACATTGAGAGAATCCCTGAAGTCATTGAGAGTCGCCTCTGTATTTGCGTCAAATATGCTCACCGCAGACAGGTCAACATTCAATTTATCAATCTCAGCATCTAAATCAAATTGCTGAAAATAAAAACACAAAAATCCAATGACATTCTACTATCTTAAAGTTAATATGAAAAATAAGAGACATCAGATCACAGATTGACAAACAAGACTGTTATAAACAAAATCATTTTATATACTATTATATCTAAACATTTATATTTTTTGAACAGTTAACTTTGGAACATTCCATTTGAGTATCAATGTCAATTCAATCTGACTATAATAAATGTACATACACTTTTGTAGTCGGTGACATTGGCAATGTCAAACATTGCACTAAGCTTGAGGGCCTTGTATGCACTCACTCCATTCTTACAATCACTGAAATAAACAAGCATTGTTCTATACCATCAGAAAAATACTGGTTTCAGTTGGGGTATACAGCATTTACAAAGAATGCGTCGCCAGTGACATTTGTCTATCAACGTTTTTGTATTACATCGTATCACCACTTTTGGGGATGAGATAAAAAACATATAAGCATGGCTCTGTAGTGTTATCTAATTGGTAGCGGAGAATCTACATAGAACATATTGTACAAATTGCTGATCCTGTGGGTTCAAAAGTTAGTATTCAACGAAGAGTGTAACAATATACTATTTCAGTAATGGTATACTCACTCTAGAATGCCTGCAAATGTTAGGTTGATGGTACTGGTTTGTAGAAGCAGGTTGCCAAGCACTGATCCCCCTGTTCCATCACCCAGAGGACTGGCTGGACCATCCAATAACTAAAAGTAATTTTTTCTCATTAAAACTTTAAATCTAATAAAATATTTCGATTTCAATCATCAAAGTGTACTTCACTGCCCTTCACCTTCCCAACACAGTCTTGTTACCAGAAGGTATCTCTCACTGAGATTGACTATAGTTGCTAGATGTCTATCAACTGTGTTGTGTTGGGGAGGTGAAGTACACTGTACACAGGGGGAGAGGGGTACCAGGGGCGAATCTGGGAACAAACAAGGGGGGACAAATCTAAAGTCTGATAAAAAAATGGGCCCTGGACCCCTAGATACGACAATGGGTATACACAGTCTTGAAGCAAGACTAATTTTAAACATTAAAGATATTTCGACAATGAGAACGGTATTCAATGCAGAACTGTTATCATGGAAGAAGAGAATAACATTAAGTAATTGACAATGAAAGCATGTGTAAGTTGAATAACTTGGGATGACAAAATGTTCTACTTGGAAGGTGTTCCACTTACAATGTTCATTCAACAATAAATTAATGGACACTTATAGCCTATTACAGAACACTTACATTATTAAAAATCTTGTATTCAGGGTCCATGATTGGTTGACAGAGAACCTTTTCTAAGTTGCCTCCAACCATAAATAAGATGCTGATTAGTAGCATCAACAGCCATGAGAAAATGAACATAAAGCCAGTTGCCCTGGAAACACATTGAAATACTGTATACATGTATATGATAGCAATTACAATAGAAGCACATTTAAATTAATATGATGGCATTTACTCAAGAATCAAATCAAAATAAACACCTGGAACAATATGCCTTAAAAACTTCCAGTTTTTTTCTAATTCGATCATGCATACCTTATGATAACAAAGCATCAGATACAACTATAACGCTAATTAGCTACTAGCAAATCTTATCTATTACACATAACACTGTTCCTGTGAACTACATTTTGAATAAATGATGCATTAACAATTGACATGGTAATTTATAGTACATGGTTTCAAAGTTAACAATTTGTTACAAATGATGCTTCTAGGACCTTGATGGTGATAACGGTGATAACATAAAATCAACAGAGGATGAAAGAAAACTTACGCTAGTAGCATTCTGCCTCCGCTGTCTGAAACACATCCTCTGTTGGTCGGATAAGGGTCACCCGAAGAGCCTATTAGCCCCATCACCACGCCAATTATTAGCAACAATACGATTAGGGCTATGAGAGAGCACAGTCCAATACCTGCATACCATCTGTAAATACGAAATACAAATATCATGTCTCTGAAGCCAGGATTTGCGAAGGGGGGTGGGTCACTTTTTGAAAATTCCAAGGGGGGTTCACTTTTGACAACTGTGGCCCAAAAATAGGCAAAAATAACTTAAAAAGTGCTCAGAATGATGACAAATTTCATGATTTTGAAAGAATTTTTGGCCAGCTCGAACCCCCATGGCTACGGGCCTGGAGCCTAGTGTATGTAATGTATATATAATATAGTGGGAGCTGACTAAACAATTTGGTACTTAAGCAAAGTAATCAAGCATATTTTAGAATTATTGGGTTAAAAATCAAGTCTCATTTAGTGTAGTCTTGTATCTATTTATTGTTTGCATTGTATTGTATTTTTTCAACTTTGGTAATTCTACCCCTTACCTGTATTGGTCATAAGGTGTTATCATGCCAAATATGTCATCCACTTGAGTATTAACACCTGCTAATGGACTGGAATCCCCACTGATACCACTGATCATGTCCTCTATAGGGTTCAGGGCATCTGATATGGTCGTATCAAAATCATTGATCATTGTCTTCATAGCTAAAAGTAAGGAGAGAAAATTAAATGAACACTGTTCCTCATCATAATATTTTACATTATGAGTTTATCTATTATTTTACAGGCAATTGAGATAAATCAACACAACAAAATCAGGCATTTATGTTTTAATCATACGTGTGTACAAAGCAAACTCTGAGATTGAATTCTAAAAATCCAAACCCTAAAACTGAGTTCATGAAGTGCATGTATGAAACACACTGGGTGTTTGTTTCTAATTATGAAACACACTGGGTATTTGTGTGTATGAAACTCACTGGGTGTTTGTTTCCAATTGTTTACTGTTGTTATTATTTACTTACTTGCAATTGTAGCTGCAGACTCATTCTGCACTTTATTAGGTGTATCATAAAAATTTGCCCGACCCTGAAATACAAATATTGCCATTATTAAAAAGTTCATACTGTTTTATTTTATGAAAATGAGAATTTGATGCTTTTTGAAAATAGTGATAGGATAATTCAATTCCCAATCTTTTAGAACATTGAAATATAAATAAAAGTACATTCGTGTAATTTCCCTTAATTAATGAGAACATTTTTATTCATAATTTCAAATTAAAATTGAAATGTCTTGAAGATCATTCAAGGTTGTGACAATGATGTAAGCATCACTGTGTTACCAAATCTTGTAAGGGTGTGTAAGGGTGTGCTTTTACCTCATTAGCCATTGAAGTAAGGCTATCACCTCCACTAACACTGTCCATCATGCTCATCTGAGAGCTAAAGTCTGGCAACTGAAATAAACATGTGATACAACTCATTACCTGTCCTCCAGTCTTCATCAATCATCTTTAGGCCAACTAATATTTTACTTTAAAACTTTCTCAGTGAAGTAGAATAATCAAGACCAAGTTGTGTCGCAAAATTTTGTAAAAATGTACGCTCACAGTAATTCAAATCAAGTGGGGAAAATATGAGAGGAATATGCATATTTTTGACAATTTGAATGGCCAAAAAGTCTCTTGATATATACATTACATAAAAACATTGTATTGTACATCAACTACCTTCAATATTCACCAGTTAGATATCAAGCAAATAGTGTCAGTTAATTAGCAAGGACAACTTAATTTGGTCCCATTTGATATTTTTACATTGGCATTTGGATGTGTAAGACACTTCAACTCATATGTTTAAGGTGTTAATTCATTGTCTGTATGACAAAATTAATATCAGAGAGTAATTAAAAACTAGAATTCCAAAAGTTACACTGACTGGTTCAAAAAAGAATGTGACTATTTGCTTGAGTCTAACTGGTTCAAGAAGGAAAAATCTTAATACATCTATTCAGAAAATATTCCATGTGGCTGAACGTCTAATTAACATGATAGCTATGCAACCATCAACCTAAATCAACCTACATTTGCAGAATCTGCATCAACAGCCAAGACTGATGTGTCAAGGGTACCACATCCAGCGGCGTTACAGCCAGGATCAACCAAAGTACTATCTATGTCTGTTTTCTTATTAGCTAAAGCTGCCTTAAGAGCATCAACCTTACTTCCGAAGTCAGCAATGCTGGCATTCACAATGACCATCTGAGCATTTAGTGTGGAAATAGCTAGAAATACAGGATGATCACATTTAGTATATTGCTGAATGAAAACTGTAGCCGGGTGGTTGGTTGAATATGGGAGAGATGCTACTTAGGTCTATTAGGTCTACTAACATGGGCACTCACCAGACATTATGATACTGTGAGTTTGATTTGCTTTAAAGGCAAATTAGGGCATGTGTATATTACATTTTATAATCTGAAGATGATGAGAGAATAATCTTGAAAGCCAATGCTATATTCACAATGTATTCAAAGCGTAATATCATCCTTCTTCAAAGGACTTCATTTATGCTTAAATTCAAGGGTATTTTACAAGTACAGGGTGGGCCAAAAAATTTTGCAACTTTTTTAAAAGGCTAGAAAAGTATATTTACATTAAGGTATTGACATGAAATTTTTTTTAAAGAAACTTTAGGAGAGGCATATTTTACCATTCAAATATTTTAGCTAATACTGACTTCAAATTTCTTTTGTTGAATCTTTGAATATCAATGGTAAATTGTTCATGTGTCCGAGATTTACCCTTTTTCCTAGAAAATGTGACTTTCTATGATTTTATGTGATCAACAATAACACATTCATTATGTTCACCAAATTTGCTACAATCTTTGATAACTGCTTAACCAATAATAGGTTTATATAAGTATCTAGTCACTATGGTATTATGTTATACTGTATCTAATAATTATTTATTAAACAAATGTTCTATGCATCCGTCTTTCACCTTCACTATTGCGCGAAGACGAGGGCGGAACTGGTTAATGGCGCGATCCAGTGATTCTTGTGGTAATTCTCTTCACGTCTCCTTCAGAACTTCTTTTAGTTGATCAATAATGTGTGGGGTATAACCATTAACTACAATACATTGCTCAAGGTGCTCCCATGTGCGATAGTCACAGGGGTTGGCATCTGGTGTATTGGGTGGCCATTCATCTGGACTAATATTCTTCAAAAGTGACATTGTCGAGAATGAGGGCTTTTTCAGCCCCAAGTCATTACTTATTCCAGCAGGATAGCGCTCCCAGCCATAGGGCAAAAGTCAGTACGGAATATCTGGAGGAGAATACCCCTTGATTTATTAGTCCTAATGAATAGCTGCTCAATACACCACTTAACAAAGATTGCAGCAGATTTAGTGAACATAATAAATGTGCTATTGATGATCACAAAAAAATTATAGAAAATCACATTTTTTTAGGAAAATTGGTAAATCTCGGACACATGAACAATTTACCACTAATATTCAAACATCTGACAAAAAAATTTGAAGTCAGTATTAGCTTAAGTATTTGAATGGTAAAATATGCCTATCCTCAAGTTTCTGTAAAAAAAATTTAATGTCAATACTATATTGTTATGATACTTTTTTTGCCTTATAAAAAAGTTGCAAAATTTTTTGGCCCACCCTGTATATACTTGTAAAAATACCCTTGCAGCAAGGATGCATAATATGTTAATTTTAGGTAAATGAAAAATTGTAACTCACATTATATCTGCGGTAATAATGGATACAATACAATACAATTAGCAGCAAACTTGATTGTATAACAGTTGAATCATTTGATTTCATAGACCTTTCACAGTAAAATAAATTTTTTCTGAGATTTTACTTTATAGCAAATGTTACACCTGTAGCCAATATATGTAGCTACACCTGTCTTTTACTTACATCCATCCAGAGCCGCAATGCTGTCTAATGCTGCATCCACACCCCCTGTAGTAGCTATCTCATCCCTAAGTGGAACTCCCATCAATACACCAATATCTACAACAATTCAAATACCCTTTGGCATTACTTTGTTATTTAGTAATCAATAATATACCAAGCTAAGGTGAGACATTATCAAAACAAACTTCAATGATTGGATAGTAGATCCATTAAGTCTTTTTTTTTATATGTCAAGCCGATTTTTTTTCATTTTGGAGTGACCTCTCTTTGTCACTTTCCCAAAAATGTAATTTAACATTTTTTCTAAAAAATTAAAAAATGCTATACCTTTATAAATGAATGTGTATACTTAACTAACCCTAAGTTTAATTTTAAATCCTTTATTTGCCTAATGGCAAAATGAATACAGGTGTCTCAGTGGGTGTTAAAAAGTTACAGATGTCAATATGCCATTTCCCTTAGAACATCAAATAGTACATGTGTTTGATACTCTTATTGGATCATTCAATAGAATATACTGTTAGAGGGATTTTTTGTCATTCAATTCCCTCTGGAAATCAATTCCTGGACCAAATATTGGCTTGTTTTACTCTAAAACAATTTTTCCCGAAAGCAATGTCTTCTATCATAATATGATGCAGTGATCTCCCCACCATTAAAGCAAGTGGGCGCAGCACCCACCTGGGATTTTGAAAACAGCATTGCACCCACCTGAAAATCCATTTGCACCCACTTGAAAATGTGAAAAATCATGAAAAATTGGCATATTTTGACTAATTTTGGTCTGAATTGTGAAAATGAGAATTTTGCACCAACTTGAGAAAAAATTCCTGGGGAGATCGCTGTGAAGTGATTGGAATGTAGAGTTCCATCATTAATATTTATTTATGACAAATCTCTGGACAATGAAGTTAAGGCAGTGTAGGGGATCCTTAATTAGAAAAAAAGAATTCTGGGGATCTCTGACAATTACACCCTATTAAATAATGAGCATTAATGTGTATTGTTCATGTATCAAATATGAAAATGTCAATACTATAAAATAAGAAGTTTAGTTTTTGAGTTCTCGTGGTTCCTAGTTGAAACAATGTTGACTTATTTTAATTACTTGATTAGCATTAAAAAAGCACTCTTGTTCGGTACCATGGGTGGAAAGTCTAGCTACAAACTCAGAAACCAAATTGAGTGACTCCAAATCATAATAGTTCATAGGTAATATTCCCAACAATCAACAATCAAAATATTTGGCTGTATGTCCAGAATTGAATAAGTTTCATCATTTATGACATGGATATGATATTAACATGACACCATGACATGTCAATTTAAGACTGGACATGGCCATTATGAAATACTCTACATGCCAAAGTAACACACAATTCTATTCAGAAATCTTAGAGAAGGCCAAGGGCATATGACCTTTTGAAAAAAATAGCACAATCTATCTAAAAAGGTTTTTATCGTAAACAACCTTAATGCAAGTTACACTATTTGTAACCAAGGAGGATTGGAAGCCAGGGTTCCAACTCGATATTCTTTAATCTCCACGCATGCGTCATTTGCTATTCGTGTCTGTATAATTTGTACGACTGCATGGAGAATGACCCGATACTCTCCAACAAAGCTATCGCTAGGTGATTGTTTTGCAGAATATCGGTGTTGCATTCTGGGAGCCAATCCTCCTTGATTTGTAACTGTATTGGAAATGCTATTGAAGGACTTCACTGATTAAACACTGTTGCTAGGCAACAGGCAAAACATTCCATATGCTATGAGTCTACCTATTGTAGATGTTATTGATTATACTCTCCTTGTGAAACACATTTGTCTCAGTGTTAAGAAACGTTGTATTTGTATTTTATTTCAGGTTTGTAGGTTCTTCAATTTAAATGTGAGTGCACAGAATAGTAAGGTATTGTGACCCAAATACTGTACCGAATTAATAATGTGGTCAACTACAACATTAATTGTGTTTACTTTGATATGATAAGGGATGGTTTAGATCAAAGTTGATTAGTTAATTAATCAATTCAATTTTGTTTTATGTTACTTGCTCAGGGAGTGTACAACATTTAGGTCAAATTGTCTTAACTTTTTTTTATTATCATTTTGCATTTAAGGACTAAAAAATTCATTAAACACAACATGCACAAGTAAAAATAAGTTAATGACAGAAATAAATACTGAAATTTAATATTAATGGTTTTCCTGGTATTACCATGGGCTTTCAACTAGTTGAAAGCCCATGGTATTAATGACAAATAATTTTTGTATTTTATTTCAATCATAGTTGATAAAAACATTTCAATTGCTTCAAAAATAAATATGCAATTAAAATTATTAAAATGGAATCATCAATGAGCAAATAAGATTGTAAAATGAAAAAGGAAAGCCAAAGATATATCTTTCTCTAGTGTTTACACTTGAAATGTAAACATAAGGGTTATGTACTGGGAGGTTTTGGATATGGGATTTATCCAGGGGGAGATATGCATATCTACCTGAGGGACCGTAGGGACCGAAGGTAGATGTGTATATCTCACGAGGGATGAACCCAATATTCAAACCGACCGTACATAACTTCTTTATCCTATACTAAGTAGAGTTTTCTAATTTTCTTTAAAATTGTTTTCAATTTTTTTTTTCAATTTTTTCACATTTTTCAAATTTTATTTTTTCTATTTTTTTCTTTTTTCAATTTTTACAAAATTTTTTCAGATTTTTTCTTTTTTTCAATTTTTTCAAATTTTATTTTCGAAGCGGGAAGATATGTCCTGGAGCGGGAGATATGGGCGGGAGATATGGAGGTTCAGGATATGGAAACCTCAAAATCACGATACGGGATATATTTTACCAAGTTATCTCCCTAAAACTCTACTTGGCATTGGATAATAATTCTTATTTATATGAATTCTAATACGATGGACTTATTTCCATGGCCATTACGCAATAGATAATCTTCTGTATATTCCCTCATTTGAAGTAAATCAATAAGAAGCCATTGATTGGCTACAATTATACTGTCTTAGGGGAACCTTACTTTAGATGTAACAAAGGAACACATGAATCAATACTATTGAACCAGTATTTAAGAAGGCAGTATGCTAAGTTAATTGATTATGAATAAAGGTGACACGCATGGATGGGGTGTTATATTTTTTCTTTGATACCCAATTAATAACCTTTAACCATAATCAGGACCTACACTACAGGGAAAAAATTAACTGATATTTCAAACTTTCCAACGCTAATGATTCTACAGATTCTTTTCTTGTTGAAATGCTTTCAACATATCATTATTTTGGGAAAATATCTTCAAGTACTCTTAAAATAATTCAATATTTATCTTTTAGATGTCAAACTTCTTGAAATACTAAATTTTTATCAGATAGCATGTAATAAATGTTTATTTTAGATTGTATGTACTCTCAAGCACTTGTAAATTCTAGTTTTTCTCCATTTTTACATCTTCGGTAAAAGAACTGTTATTCAAAATCTTAATAATATTAGAAAATATGGTTATCACCAGCTCTACATATGACTCAAGTAGACAAAGCTGTAAGAGCTCATGTAAATGTCTATACTAGTAAAGAAATCTTATAATTTAATATTACTACAATATTTTTTTATACCATAGCTGCTAATAGTCTCAAATGTATGTTTTTATGAGCGCGTGCAACTGATTTTACATATTCCTGAATGCAATAAAAAATCATTGATGATTTTGTCTCCCCCTGTACTTCGTACTTTTCCTTTAAAACCCAGACTCTGCACTACATAACCGGAAATCAATGCTAAGTGATATGTGTACATAAAGTTGTTTTTAGCAGACAAATTTTGAATTTCTATAGAAAGAGCCTACGGTGACATTAAATAAAGGAATAATCTCTAGTAGTGTTTGCACAATGATCATGGTATAGTGTTATTTTGGCCTCCTATGTCATAATAGACCCATTATAAAAGGCTTGGTGTCATGTAAATCTGTCAAGTTCTCCTTCAGCTCTGTTCCTAACAGGAAAACACTTGCCAGTTCTTGGAACCCATCATTATAAAATTATCGTAATACCTGCGTGTACTTTAAATTTTTCCTGTTTGCTAGGCATATATTGATCAAATATCTTTATAGCTAGGCCATTACTACAATCTGCGTACCTCCACAATTGAATAAGAGAAACATTGTTTGAATCTATTATACTTTTTGCTAAGATTTGCAGCAGCATATGCTTTTGCATAGGCATTATGCATTCTTAACACTCAGCAGTATATTATGAGGGGAAGAGATAGCATATTGTAACTTGATAAAGATAGGCTTAGGGTTATTAGATCAGTATTTCTATAGATTTCAAAATGTCAAATATGTTAATAAAATAGATGTATTATACAGGGTGGGCAAAAATATCCATGTTTTATTCTTCAAATTGGCGATACTTTTTAATAAAACATACATCTAAGAAATATTTTTCATGGAGATGCAAGAATAAAGTTTTCCTCAAATGGGATAACTGATCAATCTATCTTTAGGACCGTATAGGTGTATAGATATAGTAGATATTATTTTATATTAGTTATATTAAAATAAAAATATGGATGTTTTGGGCCACTCTGTACATGTATAATTACTTAAAAGTTTCTAAATGATCAAATTCAACAATATCATTTATATGTAAGGTCACAATCCCAATTTAAATTAAATGAATAAAAAAAAGAATTCTCACGATTCTAAACTCTCTATTCGATCCCTGGCTTATACCCGTTAAAATACTTACTGTCAAGGTCCCTAAATATGACAGATTTTGTAAAGCCAAACTCATCTATAGCTGCATACTTGATTTGCTGAAATAAAATAGCATATATTTACATGTAATACATCTATTCACAACATAGTTTTGAATATTTTGGGTTTTAAACAAGTAACACTTCAATAAATCAATGGAGTTTGGAATATTTCAATAAATCAATGGAGTTTTAAATATTTTCGGTTTTAAACAAGTAACACTTCAATAAATCAATGGAGTTTTAAATATTTTGGGTTTTAAACAAGTAACACTTCAATAAATCAATGGAGAAATGCAAGTTATCTTTTAAAGCCTTCGGTTGCCTTTTGCATATACAGTGCAGTATTCTATGAAAAGATTGCATATAAGAGTATTTGCCTTTCATTTCTGATTTGATGTGAATCAGTGATCTCTACAGCATTAGAGCAACCAGGTGATGCAACCCATTAAAACATTTCAAAGTTACACGCCACTCTGTTTCCACACTGTCGAATGTACGAAACATTGAGACTTTGACTAAAACAGGTAATGTTAGATTTTGGCAGTCCGTTGAGATATAGCAACCTGTGGATATCATTGTACCTGTTCTAATTTATAAATAGTGGTAGTTGAATGAAGGTGGACTTACGCCAACTGTGTCATTCATGAATGTGTTGATGTCAGCAAGATTGGTTGTTACAGACTTGGGGAATTGGCCAAGCGCAGTTGTCATGTGACTGTTACTGATATATGTACATATGATACCACTCCTGAAAATATAGCACAGACAGACAAATATAGTAAAAGTGTATTTATAAAAATAGAATAATTTTATATCAAATTAACCTATAGATTACCCTGCGTGCAGAGTCTAGTTAAACTACACTCTGCCTAGTAGAGACCATATTACAGTTAAGTAGCCCCGCCCCCAGGACGGGTACCGGTGACAGTTTGGGGAGTAAATCACTTCTGACCTAAGTGCTGACCTTTCTTCCACCAATCAGCGAGCTTGAAGAAACATACGCCAAATGCGTTCTAATTAAATATGCGTATGTCATTGGTCAATTCTGGGCTCAACGATGACGTCAGAAGGAATGCCCATATATAGAACGTCGGTCAAATTTGGCCGACGAACACTGATTGGCGCGGTGAGTTCACAGGTTTATTTTAGTTTGAAAGAGTGAAGACGAAGCTCTATTTTAAGAAGTGAAGTCAAACGAATGCAAAGGGTACCTATAGATTATAATCATTTAGTTCAACTAACATTATAATTTTCAACACATCCTTCTGTTTTCAAACTAGCAATGTGTTTCTCGTTGAAGGACTAAATAATGATTACACCCAAGCGTCTCTATTATATAAATCAAGATTCAAAATTCAATTCAATTTTCAACGATCACCTACCTACATTATAGCTAGTAGCTAGTAACCTCATCAATACAAAAATATACATCTACAGTATAGAGACAAATATTCTTACCCCATTAATAATGCCATTAGTAGTAGAACAATTGAGAAGACGATCTTCTTGCAGCTGGCGCTTTCACTGTGCTTTGCTCTGAGACTTCCCCCACAGCCACCGCAGCAACAACGACAGCATAGCATGCAGCAGCCAGCGATGGGCATGATGATCATGAAGAGGATGCCGATGACAAAACATATTGCGAAGCCAAGGATGTACATCACAACCTGTGGGGGATCGATAACAATCACCGAATTTATTGAACAAACTAATACATAGTAATCAATTTAAATATCACTTATCCTAGAATTCAGATCCTTGAATTCAATGGTCACATATCAGATGTGCAACACACTTTCCAGTGTTTTTAATATTTAGCAATTTAGTACATAACTAAAGGTGGGAAAGTCTCAACAACCTTTTGGTAAAGTAAACTGATTGTTGCTGACGATCCTCTCTCAGGTAGAAACATATACAAGTTGTACTTGGTGGTAATATGATAATATTGGACATAAAATGTTAGTTACTTACATTCATTATATTTGCCATGATGTCATATGTGCCACCTACAACACCACCAATTATGTCTGAAATATGTAAAAGTAAAATTGTTACAAATGATAATTGCAAATTAGAAAATCACTGTAGTAAAAGATTAACAAAGGGTTAACATATCAATGTACCTACTTCCTGACACAATCAAAGAAATATTCTCCTCTTTGCTTTATACATTTATCAATATCAAAAGTAACATTAATATGCATGGATTCAATGAGAGGAATTGTTTGAAGTTATAAATTATCAAAAGAAGATGAAAAGGGTTCTCCAGTTACATGTATATGTACATGTATTCAAGGGGCAGATGAGGGTCAGGGGGCTAAGGACATGTCATTATGTGATGCATCATTGGTGATGTCATATATTCAATTCCAAAAGGAGCATGTTGTATGGGTTCAATGATCCTTAAAGTGATCCTTAAGTAAGAAGGAATATCCATATAATGATATATTCTCGTATTGAAATGTATCTATTTGGTGTACAGATCGAGGTGTTCAGATATACAGGTGGTCTAACTGGCTCTAACTGTATATCATACCCTTCAACACACCATCATTATCTATAGATACTTGTACAATAATTTGAATCCCATGATGTTTGACAAGAAAACAATATTAAAAATTAATGCTAATGCAATAATTACTTTAGTATAGTAATAAATCAATACGGCAAATGTATGTTTTTATCTGTATTTGACTTATCTCAAGTCTTAAAAAGTCATGGCACTCTATACAAACAGGAATTGATTCTTTCACTAATAATGGATTTTAATTCATTTACTTTACAACATATTTTTCAGTCATTTGAGATTTGCTTCTTTTATCATATATACGCTCGTACAGTAAAACCTGTCTTAGTGAACACCTCTCTCTAGTGAACACCTAGTAGACACCCTTCCTTCCCACATACTCTGATCTGTATAAGTTACCCTGTAGTGAACACCTCTTAACACTGAACGTTTTTACTCTAAATGTTCAATATACTCAGGTTTTACTGTATTTGTATGTATGTTTAACTGTAAATGCCTATCACTCTACTTCTACTTATATTACACAATGGCCATATTAAACTCTAAACAAAATGGATGATTCAAACATGCTTTATATTTTACACAAAATGAAAGGGGTCCCCAGAAGACTGAGATGATTATGAGACCTACTATGAATTATGGGTCGTCTCCTCCTTTTATTCCGGACCTTTCTACAACTGCTATTTTTAAACATCAAAATGTTACATAGTCTGGAATGATTGATGGTTAACAAAGTACACTGTACTATTAAATATGGTGATGGAACACTTCCTTCTTTGAAATCAGACCCCCAACAATGAAATGATTACATGGTAGACATGTAAAACGATGTATAGATCTTTAAGTGATAATTTGTAGTATAGGCCTAGTATATAAAATTACACTTTTTCAACATGTCCCTGTATTTTTGTATCTTTTTCTCATTTTTTAAATGTTGAAGTTAAATCGTGAGAACGGTTTTAGAACCTTTGATAATTTTTACATGTAAGAGGTGGGATTTATGTTTCATTTTGAAACACCAACTTTCAGTACTGACTTTATTTGATAAAGAAATTGATTTGAGATCAAAATTAACATTAAAAATTCATTCAGTGTTGGTTAAAAATACCTAACTTTACTGATGGGTTCAAAAAGAGGGTATCTAAAGGTATGTTTTAAATTAAATTGAATATTCTAATTTTATGTATCAATTAAGGGGAAAAAATATTAAATATAAATGATTTAATGTTTTTATAAATATAAAATTCTTAAAGTGAAGGTGACTTAATAAATTGTAGAAGGTCAAGAATAAAAGCATTTTGAGCTCTACCTGCCATTTGTTACATATTGCACAGAATGCCAAACACTAACCAAACACCAAACATCATTAATAAAAAAGTTGGAGACTATAATGATATGTCACCACTTCTGGTGGTGGGATAGTATATTGAAAATGACACAACAATAAAAATTCTACTTGACTCTACTAGACTTATGGTGAGGTTGCTAATTAAAACAGAATGAGAAATGTAACTATAGAGTGTTCAAGCAACATGATTCATTGCATTCATGTATCGTATGATAGATTGCATGCTGATAAAACCATAAATATGCTACTAAAATAGAACTTCATTTCAAGTAGTAGTTAACCCTAAAGGATAGAGTAGTAATACTATCTAACATAAATATTAGGAAGAAAAAGATTAAACCCTTAACCCCTAAGTGACCTATACATTTATACATGTATTCACTATATCAAATATAAAATAATATAATATCATCCAATTGAATAAGAATGGCTTCAAATCTAGTAGGACCTTGACATCAAATCTGATTACAGATTAATGTAATTCATATTGATTTCGCTTTGATGGCTTTAGTGTTAAACTAGCTAAGCTGATTTTATACATCAATGTCTTTCTATACATTGTAACTAATAGGCAAATACAGAAACATTGATATGAAACTGGAAAAGGCTTTTACTTTAACATTTACAATTATATATAATTTTAATAGAAAGCATCATGAATAAATTGTACTGAAAATAGAAGATCTATAAATAATTCAACTGTGTACTATATCTAGTATATTTAAAATTCCTCTTAAGGGGTAAACCAATTTCCAATCTCGAATAATATTACCATTTTTTAAATATGCAGTTTTGAAATATGCAGTTTTCTAATTGTTTTCTGAATCATGGTAATAAACACCATTCTAAATGAAAGTGTTGATATGTTACTAAGCAACAAAGTACAAGCTGAATATACTCCAGTTCCCGACCAATAACCACATTCAAAAGAGAAGAGAGTTCTTACAAAGAGATATGTTTGTCTTCCAATCCAACAAAGTTTGTCAACAAAATAATGTTCCATAATTGAAACCATAGAGGAAGGGCTTGAGAATTCTAGAATGAATCTCTCAAGAAAAATAAAAACTAAGTCACGTTTTCATTTCTGTTTTTTAACTTTTTGAACAAATAGAAGGTCATGGTTTCTCAAGATACTGAGTTTTATATTTGTTCTTCGTGTTGCGATATGCTTAGTAATGGGAAATGCACAATAGATCAATATTATAGAGGGGCCTTACCATATTTAATTAAGTATGCTGTTCAATTAAGACCTGTGTGTAAATGTTTCACAGGCAAGTGTTAATAAATGATTGATGGCCATAGCCAAGAGGTGATTGCAATAAATGTGCAGTGTAGATCATTGGTGAATAAAAATATGAGGAATATCAAAAATATACTTAAGGGTTAAAAGGGTGGAGGTCGATTTTTCCAATCTTATTTAAGATCAATTTCTTTTTGTCTATTCCAAGATCTGAAAATCTCAAAATGATCCTTATCTCATTAAACCATTAAACAGAATATCAGAGATAACAACTTTTCTGCATGTATTACTTTTTGGTATGATATTATTTATTGGATGTTTTTGGGATAAAAGAATAGTGCAATACATTAATCCATTGAAAACTGTAAAGTGGAACAGCTCAAGAAGTGGAACACCTCTGTAAGTGGAACACTTTTCAGGGTCCAAAGACCAATTAAAGGGGCAACAAGGCCTATAGAGAGAAAATTCGAATTATTTTACTTTTTCTGAGCTACATGTATCAGGGCAACATTTGGCTTAACATCTTCTTTGACAAACCTATTTTCTTAAAATGTATGGATAAACTATCAATTTCAGCATGAAGAAGTGTAAATTCAGTTCAAAGTTTCTGTGGATTTTAAGATTCACCATATGCATGTTTCGAGGAATATCAGCTGAATATAATGTTCATCCAGGGGGTTTCTTTGGAAATAATAAATTAAAATATATGTTAGTCTCAAAGAATAACCAAACTTAAATATATTTTGACACTTGTCCATGATCGTTGATGGCCCCTCTGCACTCATTGTTGCACCTTTAAGCTTAATGTAACATGATGAACCTCTACAAGTGGACCCCCCCCCCAAGTGGAACACTTTTTACAGGTACAATTAAAGGTATTCCACTTAGACACATTTTACTGCATGGTTGATTAGCTGATTATTCACAATTTATTTAATCTTTAATACAGATTCTCCCAGGTTACATCCAGAAATGTCACATCTAATTTAGATTTAATAATTTTGGCATTTTTCAATTCAAGCCCTCATGACCTGTTATACACCTTAGGTGAAGTACATAAGGGGGGGGGGTCAAGAGATATGATTTACTCTTTCAACATTCTCTCTTTTATTTAGCACTGATTAGTGCAAGTCACAACTTTTCAAAGCACAAGTATATGTTCCGGCTGCAGGGCTGTCAACTTGGGACCACCTAATATGAGTGACTTACAAATGTTGGACACCGAAGTCCAAATCTGAACACTTTTGTCAAAATTTTGAACACCTTTGGCCAACTTTTAAACACCTTTGGCCAAAGTTTGAGCACCTTTGCTAAACTTTTATCACCTCAAATTTTTCGCGCTCGCTACGCTCGCGATGTCGTCGACGGAGGGGGGGAGGTACGAAAATTTCCAATGAACATGCGTGACATATACGGGATTCGCGTGACAAATCAGAACAAATTGCGTTCGTTTTTTTCCGACGTTCGTATTTTTACCGTATCATAAACATATTTTGAATAAAATTTTACAGAAACATATTTGCGTGACAATTACCAGGTAAAATGCGTATTTGCGTGACATTTTGTGTCACGCAAAAAAAACTGGCGTGACTTCAAATTCTTCAGCAAATGCGTGACAAATACGCAAATTGCGGGACAGTTGACAGGCCTGCGGCTGTGTGCATCATGATATCACTTGTACTTGCAGTTTTAACATCACAGATATGCAAGTTGGGAAATGATTCATCCTGATCAACAGAATGGGGGTGATCAAGCTTTACATTTCAATCAGCGAAATTAGACAAAATGTCTTTCTTACCATAGGGAAAGTCATTAGGCTGGATGACATTGAGAAATCCTCTGGTCATGTCGTAAAATACCCCTAGACCCCCAACATCATATGTGGAATCAGTCTGGTATTCACTGCTTGCTGGTACTGGTGCAAAAGTAATATTGCTATTTGCATCAGCGTAATTTCCCAAACTGTCATTTAATGTTTCTGGGTTGAAGACTGGATCGGCCATGTGACATATTCCGATAAAATGTAAAAATATCCATAAAATTAGGAACGTTCTGTTTCCATCCATTTTTCTATTTTTTATAAACTTCCTAAGCTTACAAAATACAACAGATTCTAATTGTTGATGTTTTGTCTTAATTATACCTTCTTAATTAAAGTACATGAAACTTAATATATCAAGTTTACTCCATTAGATCACACATTGTCCTACAGTCTATTTTTACAATTACATCAAGCAATTACTGAATTAGCAAGATCCTTCTCTGACTGTTTGAGATTTTACTCATCCATGTATTTTTCAGTATTTTTCAAATAGGTAATTATCAAATAAATATCCTCAACTATCAGATAACATTACAAAGATTATTTTGTCAAAGGTTTCGTCTTCATATCTTTTGTAAATATTTATATTATCGTGGAAACGTTGTAATGTTTAAATCCCCTCGTAATAAATCCGCTTTGAATGGTTTGTTTGTATAATGTATTTCCACCTGACTGAAAGATGGCAGCACTTAGAAACAGAACCAATTAGTTTAAGAATAGACAGTCTGTGCAGGGTTTTTAAAACACAGGGAAATGGAGACGTTGTATTTTCACTCAGTCTCTCCATGGACGTATATCAAAGTTTCTTGTGTTTTATCTTGTTTTGTTACATCTTATTCACTCATTTGCATGAGTAAATAGCTAAGATAGTAAAAGTTTATTTACATATACACTGGCATTACCAACATTAGTACACTGGGGGATTATTAAACACTTTATAACGTATGCCAGGGCCTCAGCCGGTATCCGTCCATGCTCTTTTCTACCATTTGCATTCGTTCGACCGAGTGTTCGACTTTGCTTCTAACAGAGACTCTGCTTCTAATAAGAGAGAGAGAGAGAGAGCGAGAGCGAGAGCGAGAGCGAGAGCGAGAGCGAGAGAGAGAGAGAGAGACAGAGACAGAGAGAGCTACAGAAGTAACGTCTAGACTATGCCAGTTTTATATGTCTCTGTGACTTTGCGCACCGGGTAAATGATCTTCAAATGTCAACACCCCGGGGTCAACACTTGCTGACTTGGACAGCAAACAAAATATACCCTCAAAAACATATTTGGGGGAATATTTTGTATGCTGTCACACCAGGGGGGAAATATTCAGACTAATAGTCCACAAATTACTTTACATTTCAAGATCGGGCACCCGGGCCCCCAGCCCCCCTCCCTAATCCGCCAGTGGGCAGGGTCCCTCTTTTTGGTTTTAGGACGAACTCCCGTGCAGTGATATACCGAGACACTGCATAGGAGTTCGGTTTTAGGAGCCTAAAAGTTTTTTTCTATAAATAAGACAAGAATTTTGCCCCCCCCCCCTCCTTGTTGGTTATATTTTTTAGTGTTCTTCACAACAGAAAAGTGAAAAGAGTGAAAAAGGACTAAACACTGACTGTGCAAAATAATTTTAGTAATGGTCTGCCTGCTGCACTCAGTCACACATTTAAAATAAGTCAAACCCTGCAAGAAGGTTGGTCCTCCTTGGAAAATTGGAAAAATCCGGACCAATCCAGTTTCATTGGCCTTGTTCTATATTCCAAAATACTTCATTATATCAAATTTGATTGGTAGAGAACTTGAGTAAAATGACGTCATTTCCTAATTTCACCAATCAAATACAGTGTTGCAATTCAGAACAAAATCTGATAAGAAGGGTGTAAACCAAAATAAAAAAATATTCATACTAAAATCGACAAAATGATGTATTTCAAGCGTCTATTTCGCTATGTCTTATAGTGTTCATGATAGTTAAGTAGTCATATTACAATAAATTGTAAAATATATTCTAAGCACATCGGTTTATTGGAAGAATTTCTCTGCTAAAGTCGACAATTCGGGCTGTTCGAATTCTCGACAAGATGGACGACAATTTTCACAACAACCGAATGAATACCAGCAGTTTCTTCTGTGGTGTTGTTGAAGGTAATTATATGTATAATCTTACATACGTATTCTAGATAAGTTTGGATAACCTTTTCCTATGTGCATGGATCACCATATTTACTGCTCATAGGTGTATGCATCTTTATAATACACCACAAATCTGAAAAGGTGAAGGTCAAACTCAAGAAACAAAGTCAAATAAAATAGTTTGTTGTTGTTTCCCCTTTCTCTGGCATTTTCTCATACATCTAGGTCAATGATCTGCAAAAGGTGAGTATAGCCCATTTAAAGAAGGGGCTTCACACTTAATATTTGCAATCTCTTCAACGAGGAATGTTGAATTGTTCAGAATCAGATCGGAAAAGATAAAGGGGAAATGGTCCTAATTGTCGCATGGTCCTAATTATCACACTATTGTCTTCCCCCGGGTGTAGTCCACAGCTAAAATATTCAACCAACCCTGGTGCGATAATTAGGATGACCACACATGCGAATCAAAATGGGTCACTTAAAGTATAAGGTTTGCCATTTGGAGATTGAGATTGTCAAACACAACATAACTTAGTAACCGTGCGATGAGACCAATTCCTTTTACATAAATATCAGATTACAAGTTAAGGATGAGGAAATCCAACCCCTTAAAAATAGAATAAGATGTTAGGGGAATTCAACCCCTACAAATAAATAGAACAGATGGGAGAACATTAGAGGCTAGAAAGTAGAAAACCTCCAACTTTCCTAAACTTGATGATGATGTAACATGTACATAATGAATAGTCCATTTCAATGTTTTATATTCGTCAATAAAACTTAAGAGATAAAGAATCTAAAGATCACTATGGAATATTATATAGAAAAATATACTCATAATGAACACAAATAACAATTGTACATTTCAGATGAATTAGTTCTATGTGCAATAAACCTGTGGCTTCGTAATCTAAGGAGTTTCAGTCATGTTAATTTTTTCGAAAACAAGCATCAAAACATAAGAGGCAACACATTTGATGAGTTGAACCGCAAGGAAGCAATCCCAATATATACAAATGTCACTTGTGTATAATATGAAGATATTTTTCCACATCTTACAGATTGTAACGATCGATGAAAATGAAGCACTGAAATAGACTTAAGTAATAAGAATAGCGCTAAGAAAGGAATAGGTTAACCTAATATCGTACAATGGCCTATCTTAATGTAAAAACTTCTATTTTAGCATTCTCAGTCTGTTATCTATTGAGTCTATTAATTTATTTTTAACCATATCGCTGATTGGTTGAAAAACATTGGTCACATTGCTCTGAAACAAAATGTAAAACTAGACTATTAATCTTATTTCTCCTTTAGACTATTAGACAATATAAATAATAAATACCTGTCTATAAGATTGCAATTGCATATTTTTCTTGTATTTCACTTTGTATCTCAATCTGCCACTAAATAAACCATTTTGAAGCATTTATTTTTGGGTAGTAACATTTCTCTTATGTAAAACATTATTTTCCACTTTTCCAGGGTTCTATGGCAGGCCATGGACAACAGAACAGAGAAAGGATCTTTTCAAAAGGTGAGAGTAATTCAAACTTAGATTTTCATATAATGAACTGTGTGTTACTTAACCTATTATGATGGATACTAATCAGTTTTTTCCATACATTAGGATGTTGTATGAAAAAGACCGGCCACTATCTCCTGGACCAGGGTAGATAATGACCACTATGGTCAATGTGGTCACAACATATTTTTACAACATCAAATTCATGTTTCAGGATGAGGAAAATGGGTATGAACACATATCTCTATGCACCAAAAGACGATTACAAACACAGAGCTTACTGGCGAGACCTCTACTCAGTAGAAGAAGCAGGTAAGTTTGTGAAACTTCTAGAAATGATTAATGATAGTAAAAAGGGCATCCTTTTATTGGATTAAAAGAGGAGACATTATATTTGTTTGAAATTGATCAAAACGATATGTTACAATTTATTTATTTAAATCTAGTTTTCATACATACACCCTATGCAGACAGAGCTTGTGGGAAATATTGGGTGCGGCGCAAATGAGCGGAGGGTGCGGAGCTAACGGTCATTTTTGAATTTAGAATTGGGGTATTTCTGAAACTAAGCCGTTTTGGGACTTCAAATATACCAAGATATGTGTATTTGACACCAAATATCAATAAAATTGTGAAAATAGTAGTGCAATTCATTTTATAGCGACGCAGTATGCCTTAAACATTTCCCAGACCTATATATTTTGAGACTATCCTTTTAATACTGCGTCCCCAGCATTCATAAAAAATGGTGTTCAAGATACACTACCCATGCAAATTATTTTTGCATCTTGGAAGCCAGGCAGTATCTGTGTGATTTTATAAAAATTCGGAAATGTTCTTCAGATATGAGCCCCCTCTAAATATTGGGTGCGGAGATGCAAGATGCAAAAATAATTTGTATAGATAGTGTACCTTGAACACCATTTTTTATGAATGCTGGGGACTCAGTATTAAAAGGATTATTTCAAAATATATAGGTCTGGGAAAGGTTTAAGGCACACTGCGTCGCTATAGAATGAATTGCGCTACTATTTTCACAATTGTATTGATATTTGGTGTCAAATACACATATCTTGGTATATTTGAAGTCCCAAAACGGCTTAGTTCCAGAAATATCCCAAATTTAAATTCAAAAATGACCGTTAGCTCCGCACCCTCCGCTCATTTGCTCCCCACCCAATATTTCCCACAGGCTCTGTCTGCATAGGGTGACATATAAATATTTACGAAGACATGAAAAGGACACTGAGGGAGGGGGGTGTATACTGTATAGATTCCATGTTTTGAAATATAATATTCCTTGAGTTTATAGTCATTTCATTATATACAAACTCTGCTTATATTACTGATTCATATATTATTTTCGAGATTGTTACATCATTACATAGTTTTTAGAGTATGTTACATTTTAGCATATTGTACAGTAAGTTACATCTTTACATATTTTCAGAGCATCTAACCAACCTGATCAGTGCTGCGGAGGCTGAGGGTGTCACATTCCTCTATGCTCTGTCACCTGGCTTGGACATCACATTCTCTAGTACCAAAGATGTTCAGTTTCTTAAACGTAAACTGGAACAGGTTAGTTGCTAGTTTTGTAACAATATTAATTTTGGTGCCATGATTGGTAATATAATTTCAAGAATTTGCATAGAATTTCCAGTTCCATAATTGTCAACTTGTTCAGAATTTTAAAAATTTTGCTTTCATCATTAAGGAATGTAGCTTGACAATTTTCATTATTCTCGTTTTAGGTGCAGAGATTTGGCTGTAAGGCGTTTTCACTGCTGTTTGACGATATTGATTCTGAGATGTCCAGCTCAGACAAAGAGATGTTTCAGTCATTTGCTCATGCTCAAGTCTCTGTGACCAATGAGACATTTCAGCACTTGGAACAACCAACATTTTTGTTTTGTCCCACAGGTTAGTGCACTTATATTTTTTTATAATAATTATTTTATTGATTCTGTGGAAATGTACAGTAAAACTGCATCATTCCAAGTTTGTTTGCCTATCCATTCTATGTTCCAGAGAAGGTATATGTTATTTAACATTTATGGAATTAGACAAGTAAAGTAAATAAATAGATAAAAACATTGAATTTATTTGACATGGAATAATTTCTGTTTGAACTACACATGTTAAAAAATATGATAAAAACAATTGGGTACACATTTGTATTTCAGAATATTGTGCCTCAAGAGCAGTGCCAACAGTTTCCAGTTCAGAATATCTCAATACAATAGGTGCTAAGCTGTTACCTGGAGTGGATATACTCTGGACAGGTAAGCTAATGCCCATTAAGGTGGTCCCTGTGTCTCATGTTTTGTTTTTAATAAGATATATTTATTTCATTATAAAGATTGTGAAGTTAATCTCTTCAGTCCCTGAAGGCATTATAGAAGAGTAGGGTTCAATATTGTAAAACAAATACAATATGATGATTAAGGTCAAGGCCTCAAGGGGTTCACCTGCACTTGGTATTGACCATGGGGTGGAAATAATCGCCTCATACTTGCGCATGATATTAGTATGAAAACACCTGTTTATGTTATTGTTTATCAGGTCAGTCAATTTCTATTTGGACTTAAGGTTGTATTTATTTGAAAAAACATGTTGACATACAAAAACACAAGACACTCTTTCTTGTTATAATTATACAAATAATGTATCTAATATACAGTGCACAGATTTATAATAATGGAATGGCCTCCCACAGTTCCCAGCAGTTTTCACTGTTTATGTTTTATTCCTTTGGTTTTATAGACATGTGAATGCAATTGCTTTTGTGAATAGGAGTCACAAGGCAATTTTCCTGTAAGTTTGACCAGTGTAAAGATTTGTCAAAATTCTATTTTGTTCTTTTTTATCATAGAGTTTTGTCTTGACTAAATAGCTGAAATCCCTTTATATTTCATCATACAATATTTTCTTGCAGGTCCCAAGGTAATATCTAAACGTATAACAATCCAAGCAATAGAAGAAATAACCAAGGTGCTACAGAGGCCCCCAATCATATGGGACAATATACACGCAAATGATTATGATCAAAAAAGACTATTCTTAGGTCCATATAACGGTAGATCCTCAGAACTAATACCATACCTAAGAGGTGTTCTGACAAATCCTAACTGTGAATACGAAGCCAACTTTATAGCATTCCATACCCTAGGACAGTGGTGCAAGTGTAATGCAAGCAGTATTAAAAAAGATGTAATATTAAGTAAGTATTGCTTGACAGGTGGATGTAATACAGGTTAAATTATTATATCACTCATATTCAGTAATGGTGCATGTATGGTCCTATTTTGTTAAAATGTCCATTTGAATATTAATGTTAATACAATAATGTGTTTTTGAATGTGTAGTCTCTATCTTCAATTGGTTTGACACACCCAATTGTTATACATTTTAACACACTTTTCATCAAAAATCAAAGTGTTATATTGTCACAGTAGTTGTTTTATGTCACCACCCCATGCAACATATTGTTATAGTCTCCAAGTTTGTTGTGACGGCGTTCAGAGTTTGGCATCTGTAACAAATGGCAGATAGTGACATTTTGCATGTTAATGCCTTGTTTCTTCTTATTGTGAATATACACTTGTTCAAAGTGTCACCTATTCATGTACATTCTCCTTGTGTGATCTTGATATAAACAAACCTTGTATATTGTAAAAGAAGTCTGTACACATTTACTGTTCCAGGTGAAAGCCCAGTGTGTTCTGATATCAAACTTGAGACAGATGGTGAGGATAATAGTGACTTAGATGACAATGTATCTGAAGATGATACAAATGAGCAGCTTAATGGCTCATATAAACCAAGACAGGCTCTTATTGCAGCAATTGGGGATTGGATGGAAGAAATATACTCTACACGAAATGCTAATGGACAACAAAAAACACCATTTACTCCTGGTGGGCTGCCATCTACTCCAATATTACCTGTTGTGAACACTTGTATGTCTGTTAGTGGAACGACAATCACCAGCACAGCAGGGTCTAGTCTGAGTGGGGGTACTGGCCTGCCAGATCTCCCTATACCCGAAAGTGGCAATGAATCTTACATGCAGCCCACAATGAACCCTGTCAACAGTCTTCTTGATACCCCATCTATCCCCATTCCCGAGTCTAGTAGTACCAGCAGTATAGAAGTAGAACCCATGGATTGTGTCCCCTCCCCCGGATCATCTCCCACACAGACAGACTGTGACAGCAAAGTGGACATGGATAATATGAAAACATTAAACCCACCAGATAATTCAACTTCCACAGAGAAAATGCAACTGGACACTGACAGTAGCAGTGATATATATGATATGAGGAAGGCAATACCAGAAGATGATGTACTTAGTACATCTGATGTGATTCTGCTGGCTGATCTTTTCTATTTACCATTTGAGCATGGTAAACAGGCGTGTCAGTTAATGAACAAGTTTCATTGGTTGAAATCACACGCACATTATGTAGCCGGTATCACTCACAACGACAGTGAAAGGGTAATTACTGAATTTGATGTTATATTATTAATAATGCATTTCATAGTTAACAATAAGGTCACCAATCCCACAGCCATCTCCAAGAGACCATTTTTCTGAAGATGATATTTTGTTAAATGGAAAATTACTGGAAAGATTCTTCATACATAAGACCCATGATTCTCAAGAGTTGTTGATTTAAAATGTATGTTTATGTTATTACAGCAGCAAGAAGTAAAACTACAGGTAGATGAATGGCAGCAAAAGGCAAAAGATTTTGAAGGAATCGTAAAGCGAGTCGGAAATCTAGCAAGGAAAATGACAAAGATTCCTAACAGGTCTCTACTGTATGATATCTACCCCTACATATGGGATATCAGAGGCACACTTTCTCTTATGTCCTCATTTGTCAACTGGTTAGGTACGTAACTTGGCCGCATCTGGTCATTAATTTCATAAATACCAACAGCTCTCGTATTTTTCCGTGGAACTTTTAAGCACTTTGAATACAATGTTAATATTGTGAGTCTGAGTTTGATTCATATGACTCCTTTTAACATATGTTGTATTCAGAAATGTTTAAATCACACTGAAAAATTCTCTCCCCTCGAACATGTCTGTTTTTACCTTAAACAAATTACAATTCACAAATGGGTCTTCCTATAAGAGCTGTCGGTATTTTGCCATCATTCTAGGCCAGTAGTCTGGATATATGAGGGGAATATGGGATATATCATATCCAGGCTACTAGGCTTCTGTATGATTGGGAGATATCCAATCACGGGAGGTTTCTGGGGAGTTTGTATACAATTAAGATCAATGGGTTTATAAAAAGCAATTGGCTCACCATAGAGAAAAATAAGGTTGTCTTTAGATTGATTGGAAAGCTACATTACTGACGGTACTTCTGTTTCTTTTGTTTGTTACATTTTATTTTTTAATGTAATAGCATATCCTGTGGCGCTACCATTGCCTTGAAATGCACAACAATTTTGATGTGTACATATACCAGATTTTCTTGGACCTAGTCACATATGTGACTTGTAAAATTTCTTAAACACTGAAATTGTATGCTCGTTTCAAGTGCTATAAAATGGTATCTCAAAAAGGAATGAAAGATTTTGCCATGGAAACACTTTGAGTTGTGCCCAACATACAGAGGCAGTTATCCAAGAAACTACAGATAGATGGCAGCAGGCTAGCAGAATACTATGACACACACACGCTCACATACATTCTACATACAGCTCTAGTGTAGTGGCAAAATCTTTGTAAATGTGAATGATAAAGGTATCTGGTACATAGATATAACAGTACTTGACCATTGAGTTTAATTGTTGTATGTACCAGATATCTGAAATTGTATTTCTTCATAAAGCAATGGACAAGAAGTCAACATGCATCTATGTAACTTGATCACTAAAAGAGCAGAAGTACCTCAAATGTCACACAAATCAGGTGTTTTGAGTTCTGTAGTATACTCATAAATGGGCTCATAATCAGTAATGAAGCTTTCCCTATGTTCTTGTTATAAATGTGCTCTGTTTAAGGCTGTACAATGGCTGGACATATATATCTGGCTTCAAATATGCTCTGCCTCAAACCTTGGGAACAAAATCCTCCTACTGTGTCATTGTGTGTAGGGAAAGAAAAGTAATGTGTCTAAAAACAAGTACTGTGTCAAGAGACATTACTTTCCTGTCTCTCGCATCGAAATTCTAAAAAAGTGGTTTATGTTTCTGTTTATTCAAAAAATATATTGAAAATATTCATATTCAATTACATAATCTTTGGAATTTCAAAATTTCATGTGCTTTCCATGTTTTTTCACTACAGAATGGCATTGAAAGTTACAATACAATTATATCAGTCGACCTTGATACTTGATGTTAGAAATGGTTTGAGCAGTGACATTGTCTGGAGTCAGATTATATCTATATGGATATTGTTACTTTGACGACACCTTTGTTTTCTCCTTGCTGACCCATTTGCCAATATTGCTTTTAGAAAAAAAGAATGGATATCTCCATTAAACTAATCCTTAATTTTCAGCATTAAATTAACAACAGAATAAAACAAGAATATCTTTTCACTTCTAGTGAGTGTAGAAAGTAAACTAACGATTTTAATTTACAGTTAAAATTGCTTGTTTCAGCAGATATTTATTTCTTAATGTAATATCAAGCCTATGTAAAGCAACCTTATGTAAAACTATAATACTACATTTACTAATCCATTTTTTATTTTCTATTTTCACAGCAATTGGCCATGTTCCATATATCAGCGTGATCAACAATGCAGGGAACCACCAGTTTACATGTATGCACCTAGATTTTGTAGTTCTTTTTTAAACATACGTATCACAAACATATTGGTACAATACGGTAGGTGGCACGCCTTTGAGGTTGAAAAGTCACATGCGCTAGCGTTTTATATACTCCACTACGCATATAGTGTGAGAGCAACTGAGGAAATGTGCCTCGGGTGAAATATGTACGAACCCTATTGGGAGGGAGCGTTACTGATGTAATAGCTCTACCAGGCTGCAAAGATATTGACTTGTACAGCAACTAATCATGTTATTTTTTGTAACAGGTCCAATTGACAATAATGCCTATTGTGGCTTTCTTTTATTGTGACCTGCTAGTTAGTCGACTCACTACTCCAAAGATAGGCCTTAACCAGGGGGTTACAACAGATATGTTGTAAGGATTGTAGCACTGAACGATGTGTAGTTAGGGAAGTGGAGGGGAAGAGAAACTGTTAAATGAGATTCACAAAAAGATACTGGCAGAATTGAAGGCCTCATATCTATGAATTACTGAGTGCTAACTAGCAGAATTAAATGTACCCCATGGACCCCATTCCAATAATCAATTTTCTGTCCCTATGAGCTAACTATGGTAACCTGTAATAAACCAGCTTCTCGTTAAAAAGAAAACAACTTCGTAAATTCCTTTCTGTTAATTCACAACAGAAAGGAATGAATTTCAAAATGGACATTTTGCTCCTCTATTTGACTATACACAACTTGTTCTTGATATATGTTCATCTCGAATTTTGGTTTATTACACCTACACTTTAGATAGCTCAGTATCATGGATGTGGCTTTTGCGCAGCGTATAATCCCTTAGAACCCTGAATAATGGCAGAGTCTTCATAACCTCACTCTCAAGAAATATATCTCTACGCTTCAATCAACTTCATTTTCTTCAAAATGTTCTTTAAAAAATAGAAACTGAATTTCCTTTGCTTTAATTCTCATTACTATATGATTCTGCCATAATTTGACAACTTTATGTAGAAGTTAGCCACACTTGATTTTGCACGTGCTATAACATTTTGTTCATATCATATTCTAGGGAGTAATAAGAACTATAGGGAAGCCTTTATGAATGGAGAACAGGAGCCATGGGTGTTTAGAGGAGGTTTACAAGCTGAACTACAGGTTTGTGAAATTATGGAATAGATAAGTCGCAAATAGCTGGGTTTATTCAGTATTTGAATTAAAAAATTGAATAAACTCCATCTATATGTGGATTTTTATATATTATGTTTTGTTGTATGTATTTTACCATTCTTCCACCCTGTATATATTTCTCATATTGTTCTGGGGGTATTAACAGAAACTGACATCAATTTGAAAATTCTTAAGTCTGTTGAAGTTTCTGTTAATGACCCCCTGGTATGTCTTAATGCATCTGTCTAAACTTTCAGTTCATTTCTTATCGAGTTGAATGTACAGTGAATTTGATGCCTGCAGCTACAGTTATCCAGGGTTCTTAGTATACACCTTGATGTCGTGGAAATTTTATTTTTATTTTCAGTTGTCTGAGAAATTATAATCTTGCCAAAAGTGTCATTAAATTTTATGAGAGCAAAATATGTCATGGAAAAGTTCAGGGGCTTTTTAATTTCATTGAGGCTGTTACATTCTGGAGTTTTTAAAACTTCTGTTACTGTTACTGTGAGGATTTTTTTCCAAAATCTGCTAGGAATCCTGTAATAGCTAAATGCAGGTACTGATTCTGGATACAGACAGATGGATTAATTCTAAATACAGTGCTTGCATTTTAATTTAAAGTATTTAATATTTGGTTTAGATTTAGGAACCCCACTCTAATTTGTGCAACAATAAATTGAATAAATCTCCAGTTCAAATCAAATCATTTATTTTTTTAGCGAATGCTCCCTCTTGATGGCGCCTCAGACCTTTTCAATCCTATTGTGTTGGACCCAGCCTCAAGTGCATGCAATTCTATGACGATAGTGCGTCCCTATCTGCCATCTGATAAGAATGCAGTGTTTGATCTGTGCAGGAAGATCTATGACGAGCAGATGGATGTGACTGATACCACACAGGAATATCCTGACCTTGTGCCCCATCAGTATGTACTTGTTTTAGTCAATAAACTTTTTCAGGAATATCAGGCCTTTTCAGTAATATCCTATTGAGTGAAGTTTTAGAGTTGGTTTATGATTCACATTGAGGGTTTTAATTTTGTTATTCAAAAAAATGTTTAAAAAGAAATAATGTATTTTGATTTATTTGAATTTTATGCAGGGAACATGGCAACATGTGTAAGTAAGCATATCAAGCCAGTGGGAACATCTAATTTTTCGATTTGAGATTTCTGTGAGGGATTCCCATGTTCTCCCCATTACATGATCTTTCTTCAAGTCGGTGCACAATTCACAATTTTGATCAAAATTTGTCACTTTTCATGTTTTTTTCTCAATTTAAGTGAGGGCATAACTACTTTCAAAATCCCATTTGTGAACATACCCACTTGCCTTAATGTTAGAGAGATCACTGAATCCTGTAATACACACCATCAAACCATATAAACACACAGTACACAAAAACTTATAGGGAGTACTAAATGATTCGGACAACTTGGGCCTTGGTGGGTGGTGGCTGCACACTTATCAAAAAAGGTTGCACTAACAGATGGAGTATGTTTGGTGTTCATATACCTTCATAAATGATGTTTGCCATTTAAGAAAATTTGATTTTGTCAATTTTAGAGTGAAACAATTATTTACTTAAAATAATTTCTTTTTTCAGGCTAGTAGGTTTTAAATTTTTTTCTTTTTTCAGGCTTGTAGGTGGCTTCCTTCAAACCACTCCAGAGTACTGTTTTGTTGTGGAGGATGATGCTGGTATATATGGTTATGTCCTGGCCAGCTTGGATGCCAAAGCCCACTACAAACAGATACAGGAGGACTATCTCCCTACCCTACATAATGCTTACCCCAGACCCAAGTCAACAGAAAACCTAACTCCTGCTGAAGTGAGTATTACTTGTATTATTCTTATTTACATTATCTATTGAAGAGCAATAGTCTTGTATCAAATCAACATTGGGAGAAGAGGCAAAATAGAGGTTTCATGCAGGACTTCAGAAACCCTAAAAAGTTAAAGCCATATTTCCTGAATTTTGAGTTTGTTTAGTTATTAGGATATTGCAGTCCTTGTGGTTAGCTTTTGTGGTATTGACAGTCCTGTTTTATTGTAACTTCCAGCTTTCATTAAATTATTTTGAAAGAGCAGCTTTAATGATATATGGTTGACATTCTTACTAGAGGCTTTTCCATAATAGTACCATTTTGGGTTGTTATCTAATATTTGTTATTGTTCTTTTCAGGAAACCATTGCCAAATTCCATGACTTCAAACCATTTTTACCTGACCAACTTTATGAAAAATATCCCTCAATGTTGAGGATAGACATTCTCCCTGAGAGGGCAGTGGACCCCAACATACCAAGACGTATGATCGCTTGTGTGCTGTCTGCTCTCAAGTCAAATGGCTCACAGGGTGTCCATTGTGAGCTCGATCCAACAGACGAGGCTTATCTTGAATTTTACTCCAAATTAGGATTCTTTACTGTGCCATTAGACCCAGTCTGTCCAGATTCAACTATTGTAGGCAGAGTGATATAATTGGTTGATAATGCCTATGGTTGCTATGTGACATCATTTGTTCTATTTGTGTCAATGGTTACCGTGTCAATTACAGTTAACAATTGATGGTTTTGTTTCGCCTCATAATGTGAGCTGCGAAACAACAGTTCTAAGGTAGAAGAGTGAAGAATATATCACCACATCACAAGGTCATCCATATGAACAAACCGGTCTAGAGGGCAAAGAAGTCAGAATCATGACTAACCCTTAGCTTATATCCCCATCTTCATAATGTGAATGTCCCCTGCCTCAGGGCTTATGCAATAATTTGCCAATAAACCATGCTCTCAAGTAATTGCTTTTAATGTTTCAATTATTCATTATTATGAGTTTACTTTAATAAAGTCATGATGCAAAATTATTTCTTTTAAACATATGGCCCAATCTTCATTTCCTAACAATAAAGTCATCTCAAGGATATCAGTTAGGCCGATGTTTGATTATTTTTCACAACCTTAAAGGCGAAACATTCACACCCTGGTGAATCAATTTATGTGGTTATTTATATTATTCCACCACCAAAATGTGGTGACATATCGTTTTGGTCGACAATTGGTGGTTGGCGTCTGTAGCAAATGATGGTGACATTTTGCATGTTAATGCCTTGTAATATTACATATGGTTCTCCGAGCACCAAGACTGATCTGATATGTGAACGATATGAGATGATATTTATTAGCCAACGACATGCTGAATGATTGTCAAAACAATAGCCAAACTTGTGTTGAAACAAAAGCAGTTGTTAGATTTGAAAGGATGCTTGAAGATATTAAAGCTGACTTCAAAGGGAAAGAATAAGAATGTCCAAGGGTTTATAGCAATACCAGACTATTTGCTGATATGACAGAAGGGATTTGAAGATGCATCAGTAATGGGATGTAAAACATCTTTGTGCATTAATTTCTTCAACAAAAACAAATTTGCAGTAGTTGTTCAATTAAATATGAAAGTGTAATATACTGATGTAGACTAGTCTATTTATTTATGGTAAAAGATCGTTAATGTAAAGAGTCATGTATTTTAGTGCACTTGTCATAGAATGATTTAATCGGCTTTAACAGATGTCCAGTAGTGCAGTCAGAATGAGGGTTTGAGCGTGCGTTCAGAGGGATTTTATGGGACATAATTTTTTATGTTGCTAGTATGATTTTACATATTTTTATGGATTATTAGATCTTAGTTTTTCAGCTTTTAGATTTTGTGGCCATTTTACCCCCCATGGGCTATAATTTGGACCCCTACTATAAAATTGGGCTAGAACTCCAAAAATACTCAGTAGAATGTTTCCAAATTGCTATGGTATATTGGTATAGGCTAACTAAATATACGATAACAATTTCAAGTCACATGGTTAAGTGGTTGCCATGGAAATGGATAAAACATACCCTTCGAGTGTCAATTTTCAGGCCAAATTTTCAGATATGATAGAGTCATTTCATGCATATTTTGTCACCAGTCTGTTAGGAAGGGTTAAAATGTGAATAGAAAACTTTTGTAATATGTCAGTAACAATCTTATGTAAAGATCAGTCCACAGAATCTCAGATTTTGGCCTTATATGGGTCTATGATTTATACAGGGTCCTATTTCACAGATTCGAACCCCCACATTGGATGGATGCTATAACTTTTGAAGTAAGGGAAATACAGGTCTCATTTTTTCAGATCTTCATAAATGACTGGTTTTAAGTATTGTATCATACTTTGGGAGCTGGCATATGATTGGTTGCCATGGTAACCAAGATTTTAGGGAAATTCTGACCCCCACATTGGAAGGATGCTATAACTTTCGAAATAAGGGTGATACATGTCTCATTTTTTCAGATCTTAGACAATGATTGATTCTAAGTATTCAATCAGACTTTGGGAGCTGAAACTTGATTGGTTACCATGGTAACTAGGGTTTTATTGAAATTTGGACCTCCACAATTGATAAATGCTTTAACTTTTAAATTCAAGCAGATACAGATATCAGCTTTTCAGAACTTAAAAAATAATACGACTTGTGTATTGTCTCTGACTTTGGGGGTTACAATTTACTTGGTTGCCATGGTAACCATGTTTCATTGTCATGGAAACTTCATTTTTGATTTTAGATGTACCTTCATTTGAGAATGGTCAATACACAACATAGAACACAAAATTGCTCAAAATTATCATTTTACTCCTAATTTAACATTTTTACATGTATATCTGACAGTATTGGCTCATTCCATTCTACTAGTTCTCACACATATTCTACTAAGTTGTTTTTACTCATCATTTTAGCTATTTTTGACCATTCTGGTATAAAGAATTCCTCGGGGAATTCATAGTTCATTCATGCAGTGTTTGGCTCGGTAGAGCTGGGTTTAGGCTGGTGGGAATGTTTCCATACACAGGTTTGATGATTCACCCTCTTCAAATGTGAAAGAGTTGAAATGTCAATACCTTCATAAGTGAGGGCAGCACTGTTCTGTTTTTGAGAATACTAGTATCTCATGTGAAACAGCTCATCATAGTGGTAGTTATTTTTGTAATTCAGCTGTACTTTTGCAGGTGAACAATTTAACTTTGGATTTTATGGTATCAGGAATTTCTATATTGTTTCCTATTGAAGAAAACAACTTTAAGAATTGTTTGTCTTCAGTTTCAGTTGATTTATTTTTCTTTTGTTCAGATCCAGTAATGCATTGAAGGCTAATATAGCTTCAAATAGTACGTCGTCCTAAGTTTGCAGCTACAGGGGTTTGGTTGAGCTTCTGACATCTAAAGGGACAGAGTTCACATCAGTTGAGGTTCTTAACGTTGTCTTCTTCATAATAGGAAACAATATAGAAATTCCTGACACAATAAAATCCAAAGTTGAATTGTTCACCTGCAAAAGTACAGCAGAATTACAAAAAAACATTTTTTAACTGACATGGATAGATTATGATATGAGCTGGTTCACATGAGATATTCTCCAAAACAGAACAGTACTGCCCTCACTTATGAAGGTGTTGACATTTCAACTCTTCCCGTCTTTCAAGATGGGTCCTTGACTGCTTTCATAGCAGCTAATGTAATGCAATGAATTACTTTGGAGCCAATGATGTACTCTTCCACCTTTGAAGAGGGTGAATGACAAATCCTATATGTGGAAGTGGAAACATTCCCACCAGTCTCCCAGGGAGTTCACTATATATAAACCTTGAGGGGGATCCTCGGCTCAGGTGGGGTACTTCAGACATTTGGTATGGCAATAGACCTAAATTTTAGGATCTGACATGAGAAATGAGAATGTCCTCCAAATTATGACTTGAGGTATGGCAATGGTCAGATTTTTCCACTTACTGGTATGAGAATGGTCTTGGAGAATATGTTACCCCTCACTTGTAGTATGGCATTGATCTAGTATATATCCTTAATATGAGGTTGTTTTTGGGTTGTTTTCCTCAAAGATCTGCCTTCTTGGGGCATTAGACATTTTGAATGGCCATGTTTTTATATCTGGATATTTGATATCACATTGATCCTACATTTGGGCATTTGGTATGGCTTTGGGCATTAATTTGGTTGGTATGGGAATACATTCAAATTTGACAGATTGGTATGGGAACATATTGATATCTGAGGGTTCAGCCTAGGACCCCAGCCAAATATACAGTGAACCCCCAGGGACCAATCTTAACCCATTCTGCCAAGCCCAATACTGCATGAATGTATGAAATCCCCTGAGGATCCTCCACTCCAAAATGGTCAAAACAAGCCTTCATTCCAACAGAAACGGTTGAAATTTAAATCAAAAGGCAATTGTGCAAAATGAAAAAGTAATGATGAGTACAAATGAACAAATTAGGAGTCAGAATATTTGTGAGAACTAGTGGTATGGAATGAGGCAATATTGTCAGACATAAATGTACATGTATTGTTTACTAGTATTTAGTATTTTATGAGCCAAACAATTTTTGCATCTCTAGTATTAATGAGTCATGAGCATGTAAATCATATAACATAGAAAAATCCCCAAATTATGAATAAAATGGCAATTTGGTATTTCATATCATGTATTGACCTATCTAGAATAAAGGTGAATCTAAAAACAAAAAAGACAGTTACCATGACAATGAAACATAGTAACCATGGCATCCAAGTAAATCCTAGCTTCCAAAGTCTAATACAATATACACATTTTATTATTATTTTAGATCTGAAAATACTATACTTTTATCTGCCTGTATTTAAAAGTTATAGCATTCATCAATTGTGGAGATCTGAATTTCAACAAAACCCTGGTTACCTTGGTAACCAGTCTAATACAAGCTCCCAAAGTCTGAATCAATCCTTAAAATCAATCATTGTCTAAGACTTGAAAAAATGAGACACCTATATCCCTTATTTTAAAAATTGTAACATCCATCCAATGTGGGGGTCCGAATTTCCATAAAACCCTGGTTACCATAGCAACCAATCGCATAACAGCTCCCAAAGTATGATACCATACTTAAAACCAGTCATTTATGAAGATCTGAAAAAATAAGACCTGTATTTCCCTTATTTCAAAAGTTATAGCATCCATCCAATGTGGGGGTTCGAATCTGTGAAATAGGCCCCTGTATAAATCATGGACCCATATAAGGCCAAAATCTGAGATCCTGTGGACTAATCTTTATATAAGATTGTTGGTATATATATATTTCTTTATTGCGACCAATTCTGATCATATACATATAGTTTAACATAAAAGGTTATAAAAGGTTATGAAGAAAAAACATACAAAAATATAACAAAATATACAGTAGTTGTTTAGTGCAGGACGTTTAGAGAATTGAGAAATCTAGTTCTCAGTTGGTACATATGATACACTGTCCTGGCTATTATAATACAATCATCATATTCATTTGGGGCAAAAATATTTTCAATTACATTTAGGTCACTTCCGCCTAAGTAAGGTCGTATAGGATTTCTAGTTGTTTCCAGCACATCACAAAACTTAATAAAATGTAACAATGATTCATGCGAATTACACATTGGGCATACCCTATTCACATTTGGCTCGGTATGACGACCAACACCTTCACCAACCAGTAGTCTCACCATAAGTTTACATTTGAATATCATTTCAGGTTTGTATTTACATAGCTGGTACCAGACTATTGGAGTACGAGTTGTTACTACTTCTCTATAATGTTTGATTTTATTATATGTCATGCATTGAAAACGCCATCTTTGCAGAGACTTTGTAAGAACAGAACTTTTCACTATCTTTTTCCAGTGCCACTTGGATGGAAATGTGTTATTAGAAATATAGCTATCCATTCTTTCTATAAGATCATATTGCATTCCAAGTTGTATAATTTCCCTAATTGGTGATGAAACTGTTACAGCACATTTATCTACGAAGAAGCTATATAGTATAGCATACCATCTAAAGATACTTAACTTCTTACAAATACCAACACTAGTATTAAAGATGTGCCAGAAATACATGAGCTTCCTGATTGCAATAGTTTCGCTTATACCTGTCCAACCAAGTTGAGCAATCGCGGCACAATCAGTTGTGTTCTTTGGAAGAGATTGAATTGACTTGGCCGAATTGGCATGCACCTTTTCTAAAGTTTTAATATTTGATACATTATAATTTAATACCTCGACACCATATAGCATGGTAGGAATTGAAACAGTCCAATATAAATTAGAAGCAGGTAAGGGATTTACGCTACACTTTTCGGGGGTGACACAATCTACAGTGGCATAGAAATTGCGCCTTGCCCTAGATGTTACATTGTCTAAGTGATAGGCTATATCCCGCTGTGTAACTGGTAACCCAAGATGAACAAGGTCTTTGTTTATCGGAATCTTAGCGGATCCGAAATCAAAAGGTTGTACATCTTTAAAACTACTTCTAGTAAAGTGAACTGCTGCACATTTCCCTGGATGGATCTCAAATCTCCATCTATTTGCATAATTATAAAGAATGTGCAGCATTTCTTGCATGCTATGTCTGAACATTGATACCAGTATGGTGTCATCTGCGTACGATGGAGCAACACAGTTTATCCCCCGTACCTGACATCCATGTCCAGAGCTCTCTAATTCTAATAACAAAGGGTTCATGAATCTTACATACAATTCCATAGAAAGGACCCCACCTTGGTGGACCCCTTGTTGAACATAAAATAAATTACTTAATATACCATTGACCTTAACACAGCAACGATATCCTACATATGTCTCATAGATAATTTTCCACAATTTTCCGTTGATACCCTGATTATATAACAAAAACATCAAGCCATTTGTAAAAACCGTATCAAATGCCTTTTTCACGTCAATTGCCAAAACATAGGCATCTGAGCCATTTTCAAGTTGATGGGCAACTGTTTCCCTAAGGACAAGGGAGGTGTCAATACAAGATGACCCTGACTGTGCTGCATATTGAAGTTTTGACCTATTAAAATGATCACAACATTTGCTACGGTTTAAAATCAACCTATCTAATATCTTACTATATGTACTCATTAGAGTTATTCCCCGGTGGTTATCTTTATCAAGAACATCCTTATTACCACCTTTATACAGTGTTATCATAACTCCTACTTTTAAACTACTTGGTACATGTTCATACTTAAAAATAGCATTAAAAATCGCAGTTAAAAGATTAATAAGTGCCATGCCACCATATTTAAGATGCTCAGCTGATACACCGTCCATACCACTAGCACGTCTGTTATTCAATGACGTAATCGCTTTCAAGAGTTCTTCATTGTCAAAATTAACATCAAAAGAGCCATCACTGTTGTTTTGGTATTCTTTTTTCATAATATTTACTCGAGAATCAATATAATCTTTAAAGTCGGAATCAAAATTAACATTACATTTTGGGGTAAACAGTTTCTCAAAATAATTAGCCCATTCATTTCTAATATCACCAGGATCTTGTAGCACAGTCCCATCATCAGCTCTAATATGTATCGATTGTTTACAATCCCGTTTATGTCTGTTAGCTAAATACCAATAGTATCTCGAATCCACATCCTGAGACTCGTCAATTTTCTTTTGACAGGTAATATTATATTGCATTTCGGCCATTCTTAAAGCCCGCCTGTAATTCCGTTTGGATTCTTTATATAAAAGCCAAAACTCGTCATCGCCCCGCTGCATTCCGCTGCATTTCCAACGATTCCACAGCCTATTCTTTTCTTTCATAAAATCTTTGACTGTGGAATTCCAGTATGGTTTCAGACGCTTATTATATTTGCGCTTTGGCATGTTACCCTCAGCGACCGATTTCAAAATGTCTGTAATATTCTCTAATGTTTTATCTATAATATGCACATTATATCCCTGATCTTTACAATTATCCTCAAAATCGGTTTGGACATGTTCTAAAAGATCCTGAACTTTTGATGTATACAACAAATCAATATCGCTATCTGAGAGCTGATCCCATGAGATGTATGATTCATTTAATGTGTCATTTAATATGTTGTTTAGGGAGCATGGTGCCTGTCCATCAAATACAATATTAACTGACATAGACAGGTGATCAGAGGTATTAATGATACATTCATTATGCGTTACTCCAGACTTGATGTTCTCTAACAATGCGGCAGATATTACACAATGATCAATATACGAACTGCCGGTGTAATCTCTACTAAATGTATATGAAGGTCCCTTCCAAATTTTACTCAACATATCAACTGGGATTAGCCCATTTCTATTACTAAAATCCATAAACAATCTCCCATTACGTGTTGGACAACCTATACCCCTATCTCCATATAAGGAATCAATACATGCATTCGTATCACCAAAGATTATGATATCACCCTTTTTCATCAAAACAGCTATGCACATCTCAAGTTCAACCAAAACCTCTGTAAAACTAACCTTTTTACAATTTTGGTGTGGCAAGTATACACATACAACATATAAGTGTCGTTCATTACAATTAACATCAATGGCACATAACCTATCTGTATTATTGCATTTCAAGTTAACTTTCGAAACCAACTGTTGTACATCATTTTTAACAAGTATGGCAATGCCACCATGGCCTATGTTATGGTAATTATCAAAAACAGACAAATCTCTACTACTTTCAAAAACTGTACAATTAAAATGCATATCTATGTCATCTAGAACATGCTTTGAACCACTATGCAACCAATGTTCTTGTATTAAAACAATGTCATTAAATTCCATAAGATGTGACAGATAAGGTTTGGAGATGCCCAAACCGTTCGCATTCCAAGATGCAATATTAAGAGAAAAATCAAGATTTACTGGCCCATCATTTTTATTGTTACCAGTGCAGTTCATTGATGGCGTGTGTGTCAAAAGCAGAAACTGAACTATATACACAAAATATAACATAATTGTCAGGCCAGCCATCAGTCAACATTATCGTTTGTATAGCCGTAATCGCGACACTCTGTATTTGAATAACCGTCATATTCCTTGGTTGAATGATAGATATCACTGTAATCAAGATCGGCGTCGTCCATCGGACTATTATTATAGGACCGACGAGACACCCATTCTCGGCACTTTATTGGTGCTGGCCAACTGCTCTCCAACAACGCAAGTTGTACCGATGATACTGGAACTGTTATTTTACAGCCCACGTTATATTCAGACACCCTGTTATGAATCACATAACATTGCATTACACGTATATTGTTTAGTTTAGCCTGTAATATTACTTGCTGCTTAATGTTAATGTCACTTTCGCCTTCCTCTTTCTCGATATTTTCAACATACAATGTTACACCCTTTTCACGTTTAACCCCTCTCAAAGATCGCACTGGTTTATCAACAGCTGCTTTATTAGGGATATGTCGACGAACGGTAGGTTGAGATTTCTTCCTGCGAACGACCTGTGACCATGACACGGCATTATCGTCGCTACTCGGTTTCGAACCTAAAACCACCTCAATTCTTCGCTGTGTAGTTGACTGTTGGTCGGGCTGAGGTGCGGGTGCAGGTCTCGGGGTTGATTTAGTCGGAAAGGGAGCATGGCGGGTAATCCCAGGCATTCTACCATCAGGTGCCGATACGCTGCGTCCCCTCCCCCTGCCCCGTCCCATGGATGGAACTTGGGGCCGTACCTCATGTGTACGATTGCTCGATTTGGTGATCAAAGCGTCAACATCAACAGCTGATCTTTGTTTATCAACACACGCGTCATCACTCGGCTGCTCAGTCACAGTAACATTACAATCAGCTGATCGTTGTGTATCGATGGACCCCACACTGATTGGCTTCTTAGTCTCATTATAAGTGAGAGGCAGTGTACACCCTTGCAGTTGACCTATTTTACATTCAAGTTCCTTGACTCGCTTGGTTAGAATGTCAAGTTGACCTTTGTGAGCCTGTTTCATGTTCTGAATTTCCAACTTCAGCTCATCGTTTGAGCTGGTTAAAATACTCAGACGTGCTTGATATTCTGCAGCATTCGAGTTATCTGCCATATCCTTACATACGGTTCGTTCCCTAAGGGTAGAGCGTAGGTCCTTTATACATGTAATTTCCTCCGGTAATACGCTAGTGGGGGCCAAAATACTACGCGGAAAGTGTTCCGTTAGCCCCATTAGATATACATACATGTCATATATGTCGTTGGCATAACTTACAAGTTTATTATCTCCTTTCCTACGCTTGATCTTGAGATCCACCATTTGGTCCTCACCCCTAGCTGTTTGGGGTCCGAAACGATCCTCGCACAAAGTAGATATAGATTTTTCCACCATAGAAAATTGATATGATCTAACCTCATATAGCATATCCTCATCATAGTCCATAGATAACTGTTCAACAATTTCATACCTCGGTGTGCATTCAACAGTTCTAAGCAGGTTATCCATGCACGGGTCAATTTCAAAATCAGACGCCATATTGAAAATTATTCCTAACGGTCACAGCGTGGATTTATCCATCAATATCCATGATTTAGGCAAACGCCTACTGGTTTGCAGTTGACAGGTCGCTACATTGAACCTTTATAGTCAAATCAGATTCCAGTAGAAATGTGTTTAGATGTAAATCCTCAAGGAAATCACCAAATACTCGGAGCACCATACACAAAAATATTTTCATACAGCGCCACCTATCATAGATAGACACCTATCATGGTAATATATTATAGAAGTTTTCTATTCGTATTTTAACCCTTCTTAACACAATGATGACAAAATATGCATGAAATGACTCTATCATATCTGAAAAAATGGCCTGAAAATCAACACCTGAAGGGTATGTTTTATCCGTTTTCATGGCAACTGCTTCACCATGTGACTTGAAATTTCTATCATATATTCAGTTAGCCTATACAAATATATCTTAATAATTTGGATACATTCTACTGAGTATTTTTGGAGTTCTAGCCCAATTTTATAGTACGGGTCCAAATTATAGCCCATGGGGGGTAAAATGGCCACAAAATCTAAAAGCTGAAAAACTAAGATCTATTAATCCATAAGAATATGTAAAATCATACTAGCAACATAAAAAATTATGTCCCATAAAATCCCTCTGAACGCACGCCCAAACCCTCATTATGACTGCACTACAGATTATTTTCAATGAAATCAATATAATGTAAAATTAATCAAATTCCTAGCAATATAAAAGTTTTTGATGAATTATATTTTAACGTACTACTTGGATGGTCAAAATTGCAATTTAGAAAATGCTTCCACAGTCATTATGTCTTAAGTGACTACACTACTATTATGTGTCATCTGGGTTGTGCTTTTCTGAGAATGTATTTTTGTTGACCAAATTGCAATCATTTATGAATCATTTGGCAGTAACGTGTAAGTGAACGTGCCGTGTTTTCTGTATTTTGAACATAAAGGTTTACTAAGTTCTGCCAGCAAGGTTTGTCTGTCCAAGTATTACATTAAGTAGGCCTATTTGTAAATTGCTTTTAAAATTGGATCTTTACAATACTTGAATAGCTAGTGCAGCTGCATGAACCAGCAGCATAAATCAGTGGAATCTATTTTTTATAGTTAACTGTTTCATTCTCTACAACAGTGTTTTGTCCAGCATTATTTTTAGCAATGGTAGACCAGCTGATTTATTGAAAAAGATGTATGAATCACTGAACAACAAATATAAAGTTTTATGTTGCTAATGTATTTACTCTCGTGTTATGTTGTTTGAAAGAGGTATCCAGGTTTGTGGAGTTTTATCGTTCCCAAAAAGTGAACGATATTGTGTCAGCTTGGCGGAAGGGCGGTGTCTCAATTTTCTTGTCATCGCGATTCCATGAAACAACTCGATCAGATTTTTAACCACAAACTTGCACAGACCCTGAGCCAGATCCAGTCTCCATAGGTAACTTTATTAAGCCTAGAGACCAACAGGAGGAATCTGTCCGAGGTCTGTGCAAACTTGAACATAAATCTTCCCAACGCGAAACCAGGAAAACCATTTGACGGAATTACCTTAAGTTTTATACATGGTTCCATGCATCACTACCACATTTTTATTCAAGTTGGCGCCTGCTACAGAGAACTTTCAGAGAACTATGCTCACTGTTTTAGACATTTTTGTAAGGAGGATTAGCTCCCAGGTCGATATTCTGACATACATAGAGTCATGTCACAGTCTGCGAGTCATGTGATTACAAAATTGGAATCAAATAGCCCCCATTTTATAACTTAGAAAATTAAATCGCGAATTTTTGTCTTGTTTCCAAAAAAAAGATTCCAAAAAACAAAAGAAGTGATCAAAATAGTATTTCGAATCTCTGAATCTCTATACTCCGTTGTCAGAAAATAACGACATTTTCAATGCTGTCGTCGATCAATACAAAGTAATGGTTGAATATCGAGTTTGGGGTCTGGGAGTAAGTCACCCTCGGATTTTTTGTTCACTCCAAAAGGCGGAGAGATACAATAGTGTTCTTTGGTATAGAGGGAAGAATATGATAGTGATATAATGATTGCACACATAAGTTAAATTGTTATTTTATTGACGTGACTCAAAATAAAATAATATAGTACAGGGTGGTCCAAAAAAACATTCACACTTTTAATAACGTGTCATTCTCTACTGATAGGTATACGTTTTTCTCATATACAACTATTGGTGAGCACATCTCAATAGTTTGTGATGAGCTTGATTTAAGCTATTTTGGTGCTTTATAACTGGATATTTACACATCGAAGACGGTAATTACCCTGCCTTATATAGGTATCCCCAAAAATTTAGATAGAATATGCAGGTCATGTGTGGTACGGTGAACAAACTATTGCGCTGTACTTACCAAATAGTTGTATGTGAGAAAATACCTACATCACCCCAAAAATTCTGAAATTTTCCTATCAATAGAAAATGGTACATTATCAAATGTGCGAATGAGTATATTAGATTTCATAACAGTTAGGCTACGTAACTGCCTCAAAATGCACAATTCGTTTGTGGATTAATACTTATTGAAAATGGTCCAACAATAAGTGTAAACTTCTGGTCCATTATTTTAATATACACAATACATATCAGCAAGCATGAAAATAATTGTGATAACTTGTTAAAAGGACGATTCTCGGTTTGGAGAACGAAGTTCATCAATCTAAATGAGCATTATCCCTGCTTCGGACAAATTTGATTTTTTTACATAATATAGATTTGAATGTCTTCTTTTGAATAATCATAATTTAATTTGGGTAATATTTCTGGATTTTTCGCAAAAAAATATTAGCGCAGTACACTGATGAACTTCTTTCCCCAAATCGAGACTTGTATTTTATTGAATCGGTCTAATTGAGCGTTATCCCTGCTTCAGGCCAATTTTTTATTTTTTACATCTTGTAGATTTAAATGTCCTCTTTTGAATATTTATAGTTTAATTTGGGTAATATTTCTATATTTTTCATGAAAAAAATCATTAGCCCAGGAGACTGTTCTCCAAACCGAGAATCGTCCCTTGGTTAAGGCAATCTTGAACGAAATGGCCAAAATTTCTATGTGTGCCTGTATACCATAGCCTTGCCCAAGGCAAGTGTAACATTTCGAATGTAATATTCAACTCGATAGAGTTTTATGTAGATATTCCTTATATATGAAATACACATTGCTGGATCTAAGTTTCTTGCCTTGATCGAGATACACGAAAAGTATATTGTTAATACTTGACGTTGTTCAGATATTTTGATGTGCTTGATGTTTCGGTATTTTCAAAACACTGTCACTTCCAACTCAAATTTCGGACGCCAAATACATGTATGATGGTCACAAAATGATGCCGTCCCACATTTTCATAAATATCCACAATGTACATCGAATCGGTTTGTCACCCAACCCGAGTCTAATGTTTCATTTTGATTTAATCTGTGGTATCGCCTATGATTTAAGATGAGGCTCAAACATAGCAATAGAAATAGAAATGCATGAATCCTCTTGGGAAAATAAGTGTAACCCAAGTGCTCCCTGGGAATAGAAAGTTTCATTTAACCCGATCAGTACATCAACTTTTAATTAATCTCAAGGAATTATAGCATTTTTATATGAAGTATTTAATATTTAAAAAGGAAAAATAAAACTGTATAAGCTCTGAACATTTCAGGATCATACGTAAAAGTTATTTTTATGCTTCGTTTATATTCACCATACGGTACTATTATCATTTAAGACGTAAAACCGGGTTTTATAGTGCGATTAATGTTACGACGTGATGTACAGTATCTGACGACGTATCAACTAATTATGACATGACACAGTACACATATTGCGCAAACAGTCCAATTAGCGTAAAATAGGCTGGATACCTACATAGTTTCATAGACTGACGTAAAGCTAATGTAAGAATAGTAGGATAGATTAACCAAGTAATACTTTTTTATGACGCATTGCATCAGTACTTGAATGGTACATATTTACGACCACTACACTAACACTGTGATAGTTAACGATAATTTGCATCACGTATCTCATAATTCGTTTATTCGCCTATACTTTATCAATGGGGATGAGCAATCATATTTATATCAATTTTCTCACTGTCCTCAGAATTACCGTCATCATAATCTAAATTATCAAGCAGTGGCAAATCAATGTGTTTTTCTAACTCTCTTATGAATCTATACTTTTCACCGAGAGGTACCTCTTCTTTGATGTCTGGCGGGTCGTATTGTAAGTCTTCTTTAGAATTAACAGGGGCAATCCTTTCAACACTAGCCTCGTGATCGTAATAGTCTTCATTGATAGAGTTGAGCCAATCAAATATCATAAGGTTCCTATTGCTTCTAATTCCACGATCTTTTGCTTTGTCGAATGCTGCTAAATCTGCTTTGCGAACTTCGTGATACCTTGGTCTTCCCATTCTGTGCTTTATATCAGCTTTGATAACTTTGCTCAACTGTGGAGCGATTCGTACATTTTGGGGTATACGTGGCACTTGGGTAAAGTCATTTTCTATGTAAGGGAATGCCTCATCTCGATCGAAGTAACCCCTACATACAGTGGGTGGATCTCCAGTCCCCGTCACTCTTTCTAATGCACGGACCGTCTCACGAATTCGGTATTTTACCTTTTCCGTCAAAGGTCGATCATAATCGGGCAGGTTGAATGTCATTCTGGTACGTGATAATGGACGCTTTGATTTTGACTGCGTCCCAAGTTGGTGTGTTGTGTTAACTGACGTTGGTCTCAGATGAGGAGAAGCTCTTGGACTAGCAAGGAATCCTTCAAGTTGTGGGTTGATTGAAACACTTCGTTCAGTTTTTCTTTTCCCAGACATATTCCCCCCATTACGGGACAATGCTGTTTGAATCCTTTTTGGTATATCATGTATGTTACTTATATTTGATGTACTGCCACTTTTTACGTTCCCCTTTAAGCCACGTGTACGTCTCACTAAGTGTAGTAAATGTCGCTCGTCCTCTTCCATCATGTCAGGTATTTCCTGATCCTGGTGGATGTAATTACTGAACTCTGCTTTATCCTTTTGAATCATTCTATCCAATAAACCTTTCATTCTCGTTTTCTTTGCCAGTTCAACCCACTTCATCTCTTTCTTTGGTGGATCTTCTTTCCGTTTTCCTCGTCTTCTTATTTTCTTTTTTCTACCCATTTTGCTATTGGCGGTTGAAAATGACATAAGCGACAGTTCTGTGGCAATAGACTCTTCACTTGGGATTCTTAATAATGGTGATTCCTTTCCCAGGTGACCTGAATATAACAGTTTCCTTTCAGGTTTCTCAGTTAAGTCAATCACATCGTCATCATCTTCTACCTTAACTCTTCGAAATGCTACATCAACTCCTCTGGATGACGAATTGCTTTTCTTGCTGGCTGTACTTGTTCGGGAAGATGGTCTATAACCAAGGCGTTGTCCTTTGCCATTTTGTTGACGTACGAGGTCGTTCTGAGCGGCAGTCGCATTTGCATCCAAAGATCGGAGTAGACTCAACATATCTCCAGTAATAGCTACCTTCGGTGAAGATCGTGTCACGGTCTTTTTGCGCAGTATTGTTAATCATTATTGGGAGTGTTCAGATAATTCCCCATTTACGGCGCTTTCGGCTTAAGATGCTTACACAAGAAATAAGATAGTGGATTTCTGTGTTTCTGAACAATTGATTTTCTAGATTATTAATCTATTTTCCCCACACCTTCAGATATTGTAATAACATGGACTATTGGAAGTCTAGTTTGTCATTAGTAGGCCTACTCTAGGTCTATGACAATACGTAACAAGTGATGATATGAGATTTCATTCTCTTGTCGAGTAGAAGTTCTCCAGGAATTCAAAGTGTCAATGAATCGTTTTTGAGTGATGGTGTTTCTTCAATCTGCTTTTATCGTTGAATACCATTACATCTTAATCGAACTAAATTAAGGATGTTTGGTGACAATCACACAGTGAATCAACAGCGGATGATGATCCGTCGAGCTCCCTTAGTCAGTCAGTGGCAAGTGTCGTTTTATGTCCTCTCTCAAAAAGGATAAGAAACTGTCCTCTTTTGGTTGTGAATCAGTCTCGATGTCCATGCTTTGATGTCCATGTATTCACTCTTGGAAGTGAAGCAAGCGTTATTTTGTCCAACTCTTTGGGGTTAACAAGAGTACATCCACATGGCTCTTCAAATAGATTGCAACCTTTATAATGATAACTATTAATTAACTGTATTGTTCGTTTTTTATACGTGTGAATTGGACAATAAACTGCTCTGCCTTGGTCCTGTAAAAACAACAAAAAATATGGATACAGTCCGTTGGTATTTGTAATGAGGCACTTAGCGAGCGAGCATATTTAGAGCTTACTAAAAGTTGTAAAAAGCAAACCCAATGTCCTGTTTAGAACCTCTATTCTTGATATTGAAAATGGATTCTAGCAATACTATCCAACATGAATCTACTTGTTGAGACTTGGTCAACTTGAGTTCTGAGAAAATGAGGACTTAAGCAAGGGTGCCATTGACTTATAATGGGGATACAATAGACGTTATCCTACATGTAGATATGCAGGAAAAAGTCAATTGCATCCAAGTTAATTCATATGGGAGTGTTTTGCTAAAATCCATTTTCAGTAGTAAAAATAGGGGTTAAGTTCCTAAGCAGGATATCAAAGCTTCGCGTCAAGTTTAATTTTGAAATATGATTAAAATGAACAAAACTTAACAGTGTTTTCTATTTCAAGTTGCAATCCTGTACTTACCTACTGAGAAGCAACTGTCGGCTGTCAATGTCCTAAACTGCAAACTGTGATATTATAGACTACTGAACTAAACCAGGCTGCTGTAAGCCATACTACTGTTAATCGTACATGTCACATTGAATGTTATCAGAAAGCGTATATTGTTATTGATTGAAACACCATTGAAATGTTGTTGAGTGTATGAATACAGAGTAAATATTAGTTAAGTGGATAAATAACAGGTATTTCGAGAGGAATCTTGGGATTTGTTTCGTGGTAGCCCCTAACGACTGACCTTTAAAGTAGCACGTATCAAAGTTTAGAACATTTAAAGTTTAAGATCAGCGTTTAACGCATACTTTTTACTGTGTTAATGAAAACATTACTTCTTTTTTATATTCATGAAGAAAGTTTGCTTAAACTCCCGGGGTAATGGGTACCAAAAGTAACCTTTGGTTTTTAGCTAATAAACTTTCTAATATTTTCAAAAAAAATTCTAATAATGTTTTTGTAATACTTTGCTGAATGTTTATTGTGCCCCTATCACGAAAAAAAATATTGAGTAAAGATTTGTCCTTTGCAGCATTCCAGTGCCTATTGAATACCTCTATAATAAATTCAGTGGGAGCTTTAGTACGTTCGATCCCCGTGTTAGATCTCTATATATTTGTAGAGATGATACGGCTTGGGACAATTGTTTTGGAAATAACTATTGGATATATTGACTGGTTATTTTATTGGGGCATTGATAAACATTTGGTAAGGGAGCATTTTTGGTATTTTGTTGGTTAATGGATTTATTCTTTGGGTCTATTATTGTACTTTTACAAAAAAATATCTTACAGCGCATTTGACATGTTTGACCGTAATACAGACAATGTTAGTTTAAATAATTATACCCGGGTAATCATCCCTTTCGATTGATCGATTCTTACCCTTTGCATTCGATCGACTTCGCTTCTTAAAAGAGAACTTCGTTTACAACTCGACTCTGTGCGCAGGGTAATCGATTCTTGCAATGTTTTGGTAAGTTGAAGTCAATTCATCACTAATACAAATAGCAGTTATCACCTATTCAATTATAGATATTATCAAAATGTAAGTCAGAATCTCTAATTAGCTTGTAATTATTAGCACATAGAACTGTCTTGTTATTTTAACCACAAAACTAGTGATAGTTCCCCATAAAACACGATTTATTAAGACGAAATTGTCAGCCTCTGGCATTCTGTTATTCTCGCGGACCTTTTGAAGTCATTTGACCATGATAGTTTTGATGTACCGTTGTACTGAGTTATTCTGGCGCCAAATTTGAACATTTTAAAATGATGATCGCAAACTACCTGCGACAATATAGTAGCTAATCTGACATCGCATGACCTTGATCACCCAAAGAAACAAGCATAACATCATACCTGAAAACCGCATCCGTCATTTCTAAAATGCTAAACAGTACAGGTATAACAAAGGCAGCAACGGCTTTAAAGAAATCTACAAGGCACATTATTTGTTTGCTATATATCGATGATTTAAATATGTTTAACCAATAATTATATTTTTTAGCCTTAGAACATCACAAAAACAAGCTTAATTAAAAGCCTTAATCCCCAAAGACAATGCCTTGCTGTGGTATTCTAATGTAACTTACATGCTTTTACAAGCGATATGATCGGATTGATTCACTTACTAAACTGGTACACACTTTCCAAAATTGATTAAAAAAAACTTTAAATCATGCAATTAGTGGCTCAGACTTAGAGTGAACAACTCGTTTTTGAGGCCAGGTTTTTACTTTTTATCTAACAAATCCTATTTCGCGGCAAATTGATTCCCGACGAAATGTCATTTGACAATCGTGTGCTCTGAAAATGAAAGTAAAGTATACGGTGAGGTAGCATAAATAAAATCCAAATCGAGTAAAAAGGGGTTCAGTTTTTTGTTCGTTTCGAAAGACAGTGATATCATTCGAACTAAAGAAATAAGACCAATGGATTAAAGAAACAGTGGAATTGATACATGCGTGGACCACAAAAAATAAATGATCTCGGCTTCATGGAGCTTCCGAGGGGAGGATTTACGATTCCTGATCGTTATATTCATGGATTTCATGATGTCACCAAATACATGTTAATTAAAACAAACTAGTTCTGGCAATAATCCCAGAAGGATTAAAAGTACAATCCACTTGGCCTACCTAATGTTGTTACGATTCCATCATTGGTGGTATTGTGGCAATACAAACGTAAGGGGCCTTTAATGCAATTATCGCAGTGATCCATTCAAAGGGCCGTTTCAGAGTAACTATTCAACAAGCATAATCCCCATTCAAGGAAGAACTTAATCTTTATTGACCTCCATTATGTTTTCACGAAATGTGAACACTTATAATGAGATTTCAGATATAAATATGGTATTAAGAAACTAACCATGTTACGGTGATATAAATCCCGAACGTCCCCCAAGCTGTTTAGCACCAGGACTGGGACAATATGCTGATGCCTAACAACAGGGCGATGCTGGGGTGTTCATTTACGTCTTTGGATTAGATTATGCAAATGGGATCTAAATACATAATTGATATGTAAAAGACATTTACAATGATAGACAAAACTTCAAAAATAATTTCTGAATATTGTAAAGTGAGTTAGAATAAAGGCATTTGGATCGATTCAAGTAAGTACTGAGAGTAATACTAATTTTGATTTTTTACAACTTTACATAATCTATAAACAGATAAGGTAAGGTTATCTATTAGGTTATGTTATAAGATGGCACAACTAATTTACTGGTCTATATGTCCCTTTGTTATCTGATGGGTATATATGGCAGTTAAGATTTCAGAATAGACCACAAAATACTTTTTGTGGTTTGTTTATCATAAAAGAATATAGAATTTAAGACCTACACCGAGATTTATGTCAAATATATTGCCTTGGATTTTATAGCTCCCCATAGACAAATACTTCAATCTATAACATCACAAAGTCATTGACGTGTTGACAAAATAGAACCTTCCAAAGCCATAACTATGTATACAACACTGGTCATATATACTCCTTGTTTGCTTTCAGGGAAATGGCAACATTATCAAGACACCGACAGCACGCGAGGTCTTCCTCTGCAGGTGATCTACAAAAGAAAAACGATATCTTTGATTTTGGAAACAGACATATTCCGATAGCAAATATCAAAGAAAAAGTCGCCAAAAGCAATAGACGCAGATTTCATACTGTTGCAGAATTTAATCATGTCCGTGGAAACGGGAACAATTATAATCATTATAGAGTCGATCGCATGGAGGATGATGAACTTCCACCTATTAATATCTACAGCATTGACGCACCCAATAGGAATTCTCGTCCAAAGACAGCGGCTGATATTGGTGAGAAAAACAAACAAGGACATTACCCAGATACCATCAGGAAAAAAGTAGATCATAACGGGCCGCATAGAGAAGGTGTATACAAACTTGACGGTGCAGAACAAGCTGTTCCCAAGGAACGTTTTGATAAGGATGGTGTGGTTTACATTGATGGAAGGACACTTGATGAGACAATAGAACAAGGAAACAGGCATATAACCTTTGAGAGGTATTCACCTCGATTAGCCGTGAAGCGATCAAACTCACCGAGAAAAATATCACCGACAATGGACCCTAGTAAATTCGTACCTCGTCCTGGTGACCTCTTCAATGCAATCCTCGAACAGGACGATAATCCTACGGGAGATAAGACCCAACGAAGTACAAATCCTTACCGAACAATCGATCCGACTTTATTACAGAAGGACCTGCCTTCTCCGAGGAAATTAGAAACATATGTTGTTACAAAAAAGAACTCGATAATGCTTCCCGATGGTCCTGCCTTGCTCACAACGGAAAACATTGAAATGCATGATCATTATACGAGTCCAAGGAAGCCAAATGATCCATTAATTTTAAAAGGAGCATTAGATAATGACCTTGATGAGAACATCAAAAAACCGTCAGACGAACGCATCGTTCAATGGGTAAGCGAGAGACAGCTCAGCGGAGGTCAGTGCCTACCACCAACTCTCGAACACACTGTTGTCATGCCTGATATGCCAAAATGACACAATTTCAATTTAATGAGTCGTTATTATACTGTGCGAAACCTGAATTTGATTCCATGGAAAGCAACATACATGTAATGAGACATAAGTTGCTCTGGTGTCATTAAATATAGTCATAAAATTATACATTTCCTGTGTTCTAAAACAAAATAATACGTAACAAATTCCAGTTTACTACAAGATTTAATTCTAGACACTTCGTGTATCCTCTCTTATTTAAAGGTATAACCAGAGAAAGTGAATGACTATTCCAAAATTCCTGAATTTCAGACGATCTGACGTCTTCTAATATGATTACGCTGCCTCATGGGGATACCACTGTATATGAATTATTCAAATATGCCAAGCGTGTCTCAGCCAATCAGCTGAGAGTACTATTCTTGTATTTCTGTGCATGAATTCAAGGTATTTGATCAACGTACTGACCAGAAACATTATTTACAATGCATTATGGTGTCATAATGAACCGGGCACTGGTAAAAAGTGACGTCATCACAGTGCATTATGGTTTCTTAAAGAACTAGATCACGGTGTATAACCCAAACGCTCCTACATGCACGACGGAGCGTTTCATTTACGCGGAAACGCTCCGTAGCGAAATAAAATGGCGGCTAATGAAGATTCCACTATGACCGACATTATTGTTTCTCTCGTTTCTCTTACACACCATATGTTATGGTGAAATATTATGTACCAATACCGTGAGCAAAGATCTTATTTATTCAACTTCTGGTGGTAAACTGTTATTTGCTTGATCAAAGCTCCGTAGTGTAGATCGAACGAATCTGAAGATGACGATTTCACAAACTACGAATTAAACTAGTATTTCTATGAAAACGTTAATCTTTCTGTTAAAGTAGTAGATCACAAACTCGTATATTCTCATTTCCTAAAATCCCAGTCCAAATCCATTACTTGTTCTCAATAAATCGCTTGTTTTCCTCGAAACGCTCCGTCGATTTAGAACACAATTTTAGAAACGCTCTTACCATTTTGTTTTGATATCATTTTCAGATTATTAGAGAAGAGTTCCGAATCGAATCTTTCTCTCAAAAACGTGTTGTACTTGTTAGGCAAATTGAAACATCTGAACCTGGTGGTGCTAAACGTGCAACTAGCGCTGATTTAAGCCCACATTAGATGATGTCATGCCTACATGTGTGCTAAATCATAAAACTATAGAAAAAAACGAAAAATATGTGAACTAATCTTTTTTCTTTTGATGACAAGGGGTATAATAGATCTTTTCTTTCTCTTCCTGAAAAGGAAAGGCAAGCTATATATTTCCTAAACAGATCTAGACTATCGGAGCGTTTCCAGTTCACTGTGTTAACCAGATCGGAGCGTTTCTTGAATATGAGAATGTCATCATTTTTAAGACCGGATTTTCGGTCATCAAATCACTATTACGATAATGTATGGTGCGTTGAAGCATTTGAATTTGACTAAAATATACGTTGGTGCTCTAATCTTGGCTCAACTAATCACATGTACCGACTAAAGGGGTTTTGACCGGTAGAATGACAAATACGTTTTTGGATTTTGATAACTATACTGCTTCGTACAGCTCTTCCTAATTGCTTCAAACGTCAACAGCCAGCCAAGTGAATATCGCATGAATATCACCAAGAATATCACACCCATCGAATGGTATACTCGAAATATATAATTCATACCTCTTATTCCCATTATTGGGGAAATCGTCAGACGGCTCACCATTCCCGCCAGCCAGTTTTCCTACTCCGGAGCGTTTCTTTGTTTAATTTCAGAAATGAAACGCTCCGTCGTGCATGTAGGAGCGTTTGGGTTATACACCGTGTAGATAGTGTCACTGTGGTAAAGGAGTGATAGTATATTTGAATTGCAATAAAGAATCCTGTATCACTCTAAATTGTATTAAAAATCATCCATGCGTGTACCACCCCATCCTGATATTGTACTCGGGCTCTACCCTCGTGCATTATGTGTACGAATTAGTACATACTCTCTTCCTTAAAGATTTCCAATAAAGAATGCAGGATTATTATGAAATTATATACGATACATTATTTCAAGGTATGCTGAAATAGATAATGTAGATGCTAATCGTGCATCTATTAGTTTCTCACACAGATCCACACTTATTTTTTAAATGATTATTAAAACGTTTAGTGTATCACTTATAACAAAAATAGGGACCCTGGTAACGATTTTTTGATTGTAAGCCAGAAAAAACTATTTTCGGTCATTTTTGGATAGCTTACTGTAACCTTGATATAAAAGCAAATGAAATGGCAAATCCATCTTGTATACCTGTCCATTATTAGACTCCAGATGTCAATCTGGAGTCTATTGTTTTTGCCAGTATTCTTCTTCTTCTTCTTCTTCTTATTAGACTCCAGATGTCAATCTGGAGTCTATTGTTTTTGCCAGTATTCTTCTTTATTCTTATTCTTTTTATTCTTCTACCCACGTTTTCTCCTCAACTAGAAGACATTGAGTCAAGTCCTGTATATGGTCAATTTAGGTCCAGTATCTAGTTTCTCGGAAATTGGGTCAATTTTTTATCTAGGTCAAAGGTCAAGAACTAGGTCAAATCCAGTACTTTGTCACTTTTTTCAATTTTCTCAGTCGTCCTTCAATATTTTCGATCCAGGTTTTTTTCATTGTGTTCCTCATAAAAAAGTAGGAAAGCTAGGGTCGATTTAGTTTTTTGATATCTCAAACCGATTTTGAGATATGGCGTTCAGAAAGTAGGTCACACCAAAACGTGCTCCAAATTCAATGTATGAGTTATGAATTAGGAGTAGAATTTTGTCAGGAATCCGAATCTGCAAACCAAATTTCGATCCGACTTCTGGTTCGGAAGTTATGGCGTTTTGAAATTTCGGAAAATCGATCTGATGGTATCCTGATAGAAAGTCAAGAGTAGAGAAGTCGAAAATATTGAAAAATGTATCCATCCTTCCTATCTGATCTTATCCTATCCTATCCTTCCTATCTATCCTTCCTCCGTATCTTTTCCTATCCTTTCCTATCATATCCTTTCTTCCTATTCTGTTCTATCCTATCCTTCTTTCTTATTCTATCGTTCCTTCCTATTCCATCCTATCCTACCTTCCTATTTTATTCATCCATCTTTTTCTGGATGACTCAGCTTATTCTGGATGACTCGGCTAAAAATGGTCTAAATCTGGAGTCTGAAATTGAACTTCGTTCAATTTCCAAAGTCTAGTTATTAGACTCCAGATGTCAATCTGGAGTCTATTGTTTTTGCCAGTATTCTTCTTCTTCTTCTTATTAGACTCCAGATTGAAAATCTGGAGTCTATTGTTTTTGCCAGTATTCTTCTTCTTTAGACTCCAGATGTCAATCTGGAGTCTATTGTTTTTGCCAGTATTCTTCTTCTTATTAGACTCCAGATGTCAATCTGGAGTCTATTGTTTTTGCCAGTATTCTTCTTTATTATTCTTTAGACGATTTTTCTATAACTATAAGGTATCCAGTAAAGACCATTATACAGTTCATTTAGGTTCAGTATCTAGTTGGTGGGAAATTGGGTCAATTTTTTATCTAGGTCAAAGGTCAAGAACTAGGTCAAATCTTACATTTTCAACCTTCTGTTCATTATCTTCGTTGTTATTTATCGAAACGTCTTTGTCTTTTTTCATCATGTAACTTAGAAACAGCCCTTTCATCATGTGCCATCCATTTTTTGATTACTCTTACCAATTTTGAAATATGGCGTCCAGAAAGTAGGTCGAAATTAGAGGTTTCTCAAATTTAACATATGAGTTATGAACTAAGGGAAGAATTTCCCCAGGAATCCGAATCTGCAAACCAAATTTCGATCCGACTTCCGGTTCGGAAGTTATGGCGTTTTAAAAGCTCAAAAATTTGGTGCCCATGTTAAGTCAATGGGAAAAAAGATTTTTTTTGAAGTGAGAAATACGAAATATAGACTGAGTTCAGCTTAATTTAATGAAAGCCTTCAAAAGAAGGGGACCTCAAAAGCCAGTTAGTTTCAAAATTTGGACACCAAAATGCCTAGGTCAAAATCTAGGTCAAATTCAAAGGTTTTCCTTATTTTTGCGATTCTGACACTACACTTCAATTATATCCTTCGAAATTGTGTATACATGTAGCCAAGAGTGTGCTAATAGTGTTAGCCTTTTGCCGTCAGAAAGTATTTTGACCCACTTTTGAGATATGGTGTCCGAAAAGTAGGTAAAAATAAGAAAAATCCCCAAATTTAAAGTATGAGTTATAAATTAGGGGTAGCATTTTGTCAGGAATCCGAATCTGCAAACCAAATTTCAATCCGACTTCCAGTTCGGAAGTTATGGCGTGTCCAAAAAGTAGGTCAAAATAAAAAATCTCCAAATTTAACGTATGAGTTATGAATTAGGGGTAGAATTTTGTCAGGAATCAGAATCTGTAAACCAAATTTCGATCTGACTGCGGGTTCGGAAGTTATGGCGTTTTGAAATTTCGGAAAAATCGTTCTGATGGTATCCTGATAGAAAGTCAAGAGTAGAGAAGAAAATATTGAAAAATTCATCCATCCTTCCTATCTGATCCTATCCTATCCTTCCTTCGTATCCTTTCCTTCCTTCGTATCCTTTCCTTCCTATCCTTCCTATCCTCTCCTATCATATCCTTTCTTCCTACTCTGTTCTATCCTATCCTTCTTTCTTATTCTATCCTATCGTTCCTTCTTATTCTATCCTATCGTTCCTTCCCATTCTATCCTATCCTTTCCTGTTTTATCCATCCATCTTATTCTGGATGACTCAGCTTATTCTGGATGACACGGCTTATTTTAGATGACTGGGCTTAAAAAAGTCTGGATCTGGAGTCTGAAATTGAACTTCGTTCAATTTCCCAAGTCTAGTTATTATTTTTCTTTAAGAGTTTTTTCAATAACTATAAGGTATCCAGTAAAGATCATAATATAGTATATTTAGGTTCAGTATCTAGTTGGTGGGAAATTGGGTCAAATTTTTATCTAGGTCAAAGGT